TATTGGACTGAAGTCATAAATTTGAAATATTTTTGTGCCAAAAGTTTACTAGTATTTATTTTTTGTAATAATGATATGTATTGACTATTTCCATTCTAAATATCTTGAGAACGGTTGCTCGTAGCGATTTTTACCAAGATACATTTTTTACGTAAAAAATCACGGAGATGTATATTTTTTCACTCGGTAGTTTTATACAGATACGTACAAAAAGTTATTACTCTTCAAAACAGTTAAAACACATGCAGGTGGCGCCCCCTACAAATAGGAGTCATATTGATATCAAAATTAAATTTCTCATGTCAAAAACACTCTCAGACACCAATTTTCATCCAAATATTGACGTTACTTCAGAAATTATTTTGAAAAAAATCGAAATAAAAATGGAACGTTTACACCTTGTATCACCGAAAGTAAGTCTTTTAGGACATACATTTATGCGAACTTTTTTACTTATTTTTATCTGTAGAATATGCTGACGAAGTTTCCGGAATACAGTTTGGACCACCCTGTATATGACAATGTTTAATTTTGTTTTAAAGATAACTTTGATAAACTGTATGTTCAAAAAAGGTTGTAAATATTATTGAGTTATCAAAAATGTTATTCTATTGTTAATGAAGTTGTCTTTGTGATTTTAACCATTATCAGGTGTATAGACACAATATTTTGACATTTGAAAGTTAGAACTTGTGATGTCGAAATGTTTTTATGGGCGGTAAATACCTATATGTTAATAAGTATTTGAAGAAATGTTTTTATAAGGTGGAAAACGTGTTGTGTTATTTGTCCCAGTATTACCTAATACAATAAAGTAAAAGTATTTTAACAAAAAATCGGTCTAAATTATCTAATATCAAAATAACTCTACAGTGACTGTCATAAATTTCATAACAAATGTTATTACAAATTAGAAAAGAACGTTTGTGCTATCTTTTCTGGCATTCGCTGTATAATTATTAAGATTTTTTTTCTGAACGTTTGGTTTTCATGTTAATATGCTTTTACACGTTCAAGGATGTTCCTTACTATTTAATAAATTAATTGTGAGTGATTTTTGTCACTCGTCCTTAGCAAATTTTATTTTTAAATTTATAATAGGCGAATGTAACGTACAGTTGATACCTTTTTTTCGGAACGGCAACTGGAAGTTTACAATGTTTTTTACAAATTTTTGTATGTGTTCTTTTTTATTTTTTATTTAATATATATTTAATTTTTTTACATATATTAAATTATTGCGTTTTTATTTCTATATCCCTGTTCTTTTTTAGAGCAACGACGATTAACAACCAGTGATGGGCGGTGGGTATCTAATGAGTAGATAAATAAAATCTGGGTATCTACCTAGACGGTGTAGGGTGTATACCCATTAAGAAGCATTAAAAATATATTCCTGGCATTATACCCAGTATTTACTATGCGGTTCTCGGAAAATCCCCTATAAAATTAGGGTGTTCATCTAAATAATTGCACTGTCAGTGATATGCTGACGTGTTTTTGATATAATTGACTGGTTTTTATGAACTCTTCTGTACATTATTTGACCAAGTGTTGGTTTTCTGACCATTTATTCAAAAATTTTAATGTTTAATTGCCATATGAAATATAAAACCGCATATATCTGCGAAACCGTTAAAAATTTTGAAATACTCTAAATACAAAAAATGTTCATCTATTAAAAAAATAATATACAGGGTTTTCCATTAAAAAAACAACGAATTTATTTTATATTTTAAAAAGTTTGGCGTAGAATTTTAAACACCCTGTATGATTTAAGATTACGATTATTATTTACAAAGTGCATAAGCATTTACATAAATGCGGCAAAGCGACAATAATAGTCCTAAATCGGCTCAATATTATAGAAGTATGAGCAGTGTGGGTCTGAAATACACCATAATACTTCAGAAACACCACAGCACGTTTTGTAAAATATACCATAATCTTCTACAAAGTGCATAAGCATTTACATAAATGCAACAAAGGGACAATAATAGTCCTAAATAGGCTCAATATTATAGAGTAGGAGCAGTGGGTCTGAAATACACCATAATACTTCAGAAACACCACAGCACATTTTGTAAAATATACCATAATATTTTACAAAGTGCAATTATATAATGACTACACAGTTACGATTTTTAATTAATAATTTGTTTAAAAAAGACCATGTTTTTAATTTATTTATTAATATCTTTGAAACTATCAAAACATATTTAAACATATCTTAGAATTATGTAAAGTGATAAAGGAAGCAAAAAATGAAATAATATATGCAGGTTGTCCCATTAAAAAAAATCATCCTGATTCACTCACACTTCTTTGAGCCACCCTATAGAGGTTAAAATATTTTCCCGAAGTACATACTTTAGGTGTGTACTAAACAAAATTCCCAAGTTTTTTTTATTCTAGGAGCTACAGCTACAGATGCCCGACGCACTATTGCCGGACCCTGTATACTAGGTGCAGGATCTTGGATATTTACTCGTAATTTCAATATACCGGGTGTTTGCCCATCGCTGTTCAACCCAACAACTAAGGGTAACAACTAAACAATTCGTAGTAGGGATGTCCAAAAATATCGACTTAACAAAATATCAATACTGAAGAAATTATCGATAATATCAAGCTCTACATTGCTGTGGAAGTTTGTTAGAATTTTAACTTCAGTCTTCAAGGTAACAATGACATGGAAAAATCCATTACGTATATTATAAAAAAGTATTAATATACAAATATATTATATGGAAATATTAATTTTTTAAAATAAACATTACTAATATAAAGTGAAATAAAACGCAACAGAGCTCCTTAAGCACTTTATTTTGGAAGAAATCCACACTAAGTTAATTACAATTAAGGAGTATTTTTTGAAATATAAAAACAAAAGTAAATGCGAAACTAAATTAAAAAAAACTTTTCTTGATTTTTTATATTTATATATAATTTGTTACAGCTTTGTCATTTTTCTCTACAAATTTTTATGATTTTTTCATAAATTTTAGTAATTGTATCTGGGTTTTATACACACTCAGAGTAGCAAATAAACATATATTATTTCTCATGAATATTTTTTGATTCTCGGTGTAAAAACAATTATATATGTCCGATTTTTAGTTAAAACAGTATTAGCAGAGTATTTTAAGACTGAATATTTTATTAATTAATCTAGTCCTACTGTATTGACATAATTTATGTTTACAAAATAAAATCACAACTTGGAAATTATCACAATAGAAAATATTATCACAAAAATATCTGTAAACTTCTAAAATATGCATTTTGAAAGCTAGTTAAATTTAAACAAAATTTACCCTTTTGCCAAAATAAAAATATAGAACCACAAATAAATATCTTCTTTAGATACATAGGATTTTAACATTAATTTTAGTTAACCCTATGTTAGATTATAAGAATAAATTATGTATTTAGAACTTTTAGATTTTAAAGGTCTTATTCTGGAATAATACTGGAATGCATTGTGTGTACAGAGTGTTCTAATAATCTTTATTTATCTAATAAATTATTGAACATTCTGTATATACAAAGTTAGAAGATTCTTATTATTCTTATACCTTATGAGAACTTTCTGACGTTTGACATTGTATATGCCTTGAGAATTTTACTGCAAAACATTTCAATTTACTTTTTTAATATTTTATTTAGTCCTAATAGAATTTTATTCTATTAAGTGTTATACAGTGCTTCCAACAATTTTGTTATTTCGTAAATAAAGAATCTTTGTGAATATAAAATTCACTATAAAACTTTTGAAGCTCCCCTGTATATCGAGTATTTTTTTAGCCCACCCCTCTTTCAACGGAAATGACTACAACTTTTGATTTTTAAATGGTACTCTCGATATTTTTTACTTTATTTGATTCAATTGTCAAATTTTGATATCTTGCCTTAACAAAAATAGTATTTTAAATTTTAATATAGAGTGGCACGACTGTGTTAAAACCACTAATTTTTAATCAAAGAAGCCTTTGAAAAGTACTTCTGATAGTTTACGTAATGTTTTTGTGGCGTTTCCTGGTTAGTTAAAAGATGAGCCAATTGTATTTTTTCTTTATAACTCATTTTTTTCAAATAGAACAAGGGTGGCTCGTTAGGATATTTAGAAAATGATTTGGTTCCACATACTTGGTATTTCGAGTCAAATTGTTGTTATGATCGAACTATTGCACTCTAGATTGAAATTTAAAATAATATTTTTTAAGCGTAAATGTCAAAAGTTTACATATGAGACTACTATGAGTTTACTCTTCAGAATGTCATTTTCTATGAAATAAAGTAAAATACACTGCAGTTTTCTCATCAGAAGTTGTAGTCATTTCCGGTGAAACAGGAAGCGATCGAAAATAATTGATTACGTCAATCAATTCTGATTTATGTCATATACAAACATACCAAAAGTTATAGTTGCAGTGTATCGAGCAGTAATAATCCCCACCATGTTATACGGAAGCGAAACCTGGGTGCCATGCCGTACTAAGCCGCCGGCACACGAGCGCATTAAACAAGTTGCAACAGAGACACCTTAGACAACTGTTAAGAATCAAACGGTACCACCATGTCTCAAACGTATCAGTCCTTGAAAAAGCAAGCTGCGAGAGCGCTGAAGTCATGATTACTAAATTTCGCTTTAGGTGGGCTGGCCACGTATGTAGGATGCAAGAAAACCGCCTACCGAAATCTCTCCTTTACGGTGAACTTGTAGAGGGTAAGAGGAAACCGGGTGGTCAACTCAAAAGATACAAAGATGTTTTTCATGAAAACTTAAAGGGGATAAGTATGCAGCATCAGTGGGAGGAAGCAGCGCACAATAGAACGCAATGGAAGAGAATTGTAAACTCAGTTAACAACTACAACCAAAAAGTAAAAAGGCAACAAAGTAATGAGATTTTTGAATGTCCGGAGTGCGGAAGAGAGATAACATCACGTATCGGGCTTTTCAGTCACAGAAAAGCTCATGACAGGAAACGCCTTGCGTAACCATTTTCTGATGCGTGTCAAATACTCGTCAGCGAGTAATGGCAGTAAGTATGTAAGTAAAAGTTATAAGGGTGAGCCCTTTTTGAAAAACACCCGATATACAAAGCAATATTCTGAAATTTGACAGTTTATTTTCAATTTTCTGGACTTATCAGTAATAAAAAAATTCTCAGAAACTTTATATAAATCATTTTTCTCACTGTTGATAGTACATAGACGGTATCTCAAGATCATACGCCATATCAAGTTGTCTCTAGTTTTTATACATCAAAATAAAATCTTATCACTTTGAATATCTTTAGAGTTCCTATAGGACATACTGAGATCTACTCTAGTTAATATTCTTATTTTATAATAATTTATTACACGTTTACTCGTTTGGTTTGTGTAGCGGCGTTGCAGTGCTTACGTAACTCAGTTTCTATGTTGTCAGGTTCCGGTGGTGCTATTGCATTGTTGGTTTGCACCGAAAGATCTGTCACTTTTTTCTGTAATGACGTCACTGTTTCCTCCTTATTTTCCAACTGAACCTGAAATAATTATATTTTACTATCTGATTTTCTTAAAATCTGTTTCCGTTAGAATATTTTTAGTGTAAACAATAAAAAGTAACAATTTGAATCATTGTTCAAGATACCTATATGCGAGGGGTGTCTCACTACTGGAATTACATGTACATTTTCTTGGCAGTCATTGGCAGTCTTATGGCAGTCGCCTATAATAATTACATGGCTGTCATAGGCAGTCTTCTTCATAGTCATTGGCAGTCGCTTAGCAGTGGAAGGATATTTTGGCAGTACGTGTACATTTTTTACCCGAGTGAGACACCCCTCGCCTATATGTCATATGCTTATTTTTTTTTGTCTGCGTGTATGTTTTTATCTACATATATTCCTTATTGGTGGAAAAGTTAGAAGTAAAATATTCATGTCAGATAATCAAAAGAAAATCAGTCTTACTTTATTCCCGTGTGTTAGTAAACTGTAATTCTCTTTCTTTACAGACTATGCAACTCTAATTCGGATTATATTTTTAACCAATAATTGAAAGTAGCTTTACAAATTTCCTTTTTTTTCGGACATATTTCTTCTTTGTTTATTCTTATCTTTGTCAAAATGTTTATTTGTAACTATCTAATGTACCTAACAAGTATTTATTACCAATCAAAAATGCCTAGTACCAAGACCTACAGAAAATCGCTATCTCGAAAGTAACTTAACGACTGTAACGGGAGCATCAACGCCAATAGCGACCGACCAAAGCGCGACAGACGAAAACTCGACCCAAGGAGCGCTCCAGCAGTCGCGTGACAACTGGAGCGAAACACGTCGCGGTCTAGGTCGTTACCAGTTACATCTGTCCGCGACAGAAGAAACCGCGACTCTAGGAGCGCGACGGCTGGAGCGAAACACGACGCTATGCGGTTACTGCGGTTTGAGCCAACTCCAAAATTATTATCTACTATTATACTTATATATTCACTATTCTGAATAACAATTATCAAATCTGCCAAATGTTCATACCAGGATCAGTTTTCATTTGCAGATTGTTTATAAAACTAACGAATTAAGGTATCTTACCTGCAAAAATAATACTTGTCTTCTGAGATCGGCTAGCTCTTTTTCTATCACATTGCCATTATCAACATTTTCGTTGAGTCTGTCTGATTGATCCTCAAAATAGTGGTCGTCGTTATCAAGTATGGTGTCTCTAAATGGATTTTGAGTATCGGTCTAAAACAGAATAGAAAAAGTCTTAAGTTAGATATGCATTAAACAGGTAATACCATTGGAAATCTTGCTTTAATATTTTCCTGGTTTCAAATGGATGGCTGATCATATAAAAGATAACTCTTATTTTGATATTTTAAACGACCAAATATGACCGTTTAATTTAGACATGAATTAAATAAGTATAAATAACGTTTATGTAATGGTGCAAATAAAACATTATAGTTAATCACTGTTTAGTCTTTAAACAAAGTTTATACAAACGGTGCAAGTGGGCATTAAAATTCTATGTTAATAATAAAATATGTTAAAACATTATTTGATTTAATGGAAAATCTCTTGTGAACCACCCTGTATAAATCCGAGTATAATAATTAGGCTTTTTAATTAGGCACACAATGATTTTGTTTTTGTTTCTGTGGTAATATTACAAAGAGTTGAACTTAAAATACAAAATAAGCAAACTTACGTCGTTTAATACCATTTTCAGCTTGATCAACATTTTCTTTATATTCCTCACATCCTTTTGAAGAGTGGGTGATGTTGGTTTAGAGTTAAAGTTCAGCGTAGAGAATGTTGTATTACAGTTATAGTTTATCGAGTCCAAGTTCCTTGAATCGGATAAATTGGAAGTGTACGAAGGGTAACCCAATTCTCTCTCCAACCATGGCGAATCTGTACTGTTTCTATCGTTAGATAATGCGATTTTTTCAGATAATTTTGACAGCGACCTGAAATTTTGGAACAAAAATACTTGAATACTTAAATTTAATCTTAAAGCAGCAGTTGTGTACATAATAGTCCAGTCATAGAATAAATATAGTCTGTTTAACGAGAGGATCCCTGATATTGACCGCTGTGTCTGTCATTTTAATTCATAATAAATTATATTTTCTTTAATTTTTTTAATATCTTCTGTCAAAATCTTCCCCGTCTTCTTTGACAGAATATATAAAAATATCTAGTGTTTATAACTCTATCTAACGATAAAATTCTGACAGTAACAATTGTTTTCTCTAATTTTAATTAGGAAATAATTTTAATAAATAATTTTTTTGTCAATTTTCGGTTGTCGTCTGTCGAAATAATCTCTTCCATTGTTGGACAGACTATAACAGCAATGAAACAGCGTGGTAGCATTAATTTTAACTGTGACAATTCCTCTGTGATGTAGTATTTGACAGGAATTTACAATTACTTTAACTACATGCCATGGCAATGGACTGCTTGTAAAACTATAGCTTTAATAATTATCCTTCTGATAACAACAACAACAACAAACAACGCTTTATTGTAAAAAAAGCCAAAACAGCTTCATCGACAAAGCACTCACAAACAACAAAATCACAAAAAAAATACAAACAAAAAAAAATACACAATACAAATAATACAATTGAAAAAAATTTAAGTCTTTAAAATTACAAAAAGAATATACATGGACAATTTTAGAACAGTACGCAGTAAATAGATATAATTTTAGAGTTATAATATATTAAATACTTGACTTTTGACCAGTGTGTGAGATGATCAAAATTTTAAAATTCAAAATTGTTCATAATTGAACATCAAGTAAAATGTCGTTTACAGCATATAGGGCTCTCTCCAGTAGGTATGATTTGAGAGCTTTGCGAAATGCGGGAAAGAATGAAAGCGACTTGATATTCAAAGGCAGATGATTGTACATTTTTTTGGCATTGTAAAGTATTGAACCTTTAACTAGTTCTGAGCTCGGGGTTGGCAGATAAAGATCGTGTTCTGCATTCCTAAGTGGATAGTTATGAGATGGCCTTTCGGGAATAGCAGATATGTGCTTGCGGATTAAGCAAACGGATTCAAAAATGAATAAAGAAGGAAGAGTCAGTATTTTCAAATTTTTAAAGAAATTCTGGCAGTGAGTTCTACTGTTCAGTCCCAATAAATATCGAACTGAAGTCTGAAAACACGATCAAATTTTGTTGCGCAGCAAGTACCCCTTTGAACATACCTTTGAAGATCGTTTACTTCGTTGGCATGGCTTGAGTCGTAGTCCATTATAAAATCGCTGCTACAGAGACTCTCACAAGATGACAAGCTGTCTAGACTTCCGGTAGATTTTGTAACAGCACGTCGGCCTTTCATTGGACTGGACTCCATACTTTTCATTTTCTTCTGATTTTTGAACAACTGGAATAAAAATGGTGTGTTTTTTTAGGTACCATTAATAAAGTGCTTTTTCAATAAAAATGGAAATAAATAAAAGTGATTAAATATAAACTTATTTAATTTAAAATCTCTGTGATGAGTTCTGTGTTAATCGTACTAGACCGAAACTAACACGTTTATATAATATCCTGTTTTATCAAAGATAAATATTTCAAAATAACAAGAAAGTGTGGTTCATATCATTCCGAATTATGAAAAGCGCATTGAAAACTTTATTATTATTTTAAGTATTCTGACCTTTAATTTAAAATTAAATTCTATTTTCTGACATTTCTTATGTTTTCTGTCAAAATCTTCCCTGATTCGTTGTAAAATTCATATAGAAATATCTGACTTTTATCTCTTTTAAGTTCCCACACAAGATAACTGATTTTTATCCTTTTTAAGTTCCCACAAATAATAAAGAATATAAATTAAAAGCGTAAAGAATATGGACGAACTCCTGCATGTTATTAAAATAATGTATTAACTGTAGGTTTACAAATTAAACACAATACAATTTAAAATATTAAAAAAGATTATCTAACTTATAAAATATTACTGTAAAGGTTTATAGAGGTCATACAAATCATATTAACCAGTCAGAGATACTTTTCAATGGATAATAATCGTTGAGACATATCTCTCGCAGAGTATTTAATTTTGTGACTTTTAAGATAATCGCAAATGACTGAAACAAACACGTTTATATTGAAAACTGTTTTATCAAGTAACAAGAAAGTGTAGTTCATACATATTATGAAAATTATGCAAATTATGAAAAGCGAATTGAAAATTTAATTTTAAGTATTCTGCCGTCTTAATTCACTATTAAATTCTATTTTCCGTCATTTTTTAAATATTTTCTGTCGAAATCGCCGGCTAAGTGGACACACTATAGCAAAAAATTCATATTTCAATATCGATGTAACCACCTTAACATTTTTAACAATTTTCAAAGTAACTTAAAAAATTAAAAATACGATTTGGACATCTTTAAACCGGCCTGGACAAGACACTAAAAATATTAGAGGTCAAATCTATTTTCCAAAGATCCTTGATTAAAAATTAGTGCTTTTAATACAGCCGTGGCATTCTAGATTGAAATTTACCGTTCAAATACAACTTTGTTTTAAGCATGTCATTCTATTCATTGCGAGTGCCATTTTCTATTGAATAAAGTAAAAAAATATTGTCACATTTAAACATTAAATGTTGTAGTCATTTCCGGTGAAACAGGAAGTGGCCGAAAATAACTGAATACGTCAATCAATCCTGACGTATGTCATAATAACGTACCAAATCTTGATTTTTTTATCTGAAAAAAAGTTAAGGGTGAGCCACTTTTGAGACGCACCAGTATGGGAGACTTTTCAATAGATAGTCATTGAGTCATATCTCTCTATCTAAAGTGATAAGGTTATCAGATATTTCGATAGGAATTTTTACTCAAATCTGTCGAACGAGTTAGGAAATAATTCGACAGAAACCATACAGAAAATGACAGAAATTAGTAAGAAAGTGTAGTTCATGTCAGTGCAAATTATGCGAATTGAAAATTGAAAATTTAATTTTAAGTATTCTATCATTTTAATTCATAAATAAATTATATGTTTGTTCCAACCGGACAGGAGAACCGTCATAGAAAGGTAATTTCCTATCAGTCAATTCATTTGTTAATCTTGACAAACGATCAAACTTTTCAAACAATAAGTGGGCGACTAAAAATTACCGTCCCAGGATCGGTTCTCGGTCCGGTTGGAACGAACCTACTATTTTCCCCCATTTTTGGACATTTTGTGCAGAAATCTTCCCTGGCTCATTAGACAGATTTAGTAAAAAGTCATATCAAAATATCTGACAACCTGATTACTTTATTTATGGATGTTGTGTGATATATTTTATATGTTTTAAGTTCAATTTTAAATCAAGGCAATCTCTAATTATTTCTAGCATTGAATATTTTATAGGTATGTCTTTATAGGTCAGTGTAATAATTTAGAGTATCTTATATAGTTCGGAATCTAAAATTAAACGAAAACGCATCAAAAAAGAGGAATGCACTATAAAATAAGTGTTCTATTATAAAAAATGCATCGTTAAGCAAATATTTAAAAAGAATCTAAATACAGACAAAAACTGACATTAGCAATGACACAAACTCGACATAACTAAGCAGACTCTACCTGGTTTCTCAGCGGCTCTTCACATTTATACTTAATTGATGAATTGCTGCTTCTTTCGTCTTTTTCTGTATGCTTGAAGGTCAGTCCAGGCTGGTCAGCAATCTCGTCGTCGATAAGAAAATCTTTTTCCTCCACCAGAGACATGGAACTGATGTTCGTTGGAGATGGTGGAGTGGAATCGGGAGACTTATCGTTGGTATCTTTATAAAGAGAACTTTTCGTGTTCGGGTCTGCTTCGGAAATTGAGAAACTTTCTATGGGTGACAGGATTTCGTCGTCTAAAAGCATACCTGAAAAATAGTTATTTTAATACCTACTATGTGAAGATAAATAAGCATATTTATATAAGTACGTTATAAGTAAACCAGTCCATAAAGGAAAACTTGCAACGGATTTTTTTTTGTAAAATATAAGGTGTTATATTGTATTTTTGTATTTTTAGCTCTATTTTTATGATTTTTTAGCAAACTGTATATAAATAAAATATATACTTTAATTCGTAATGTCAGTGTTTTATACATTTTAGTATTTGGCTTATTATAGAGGGTTCATGGATTTTTTTACCGCAAATTTAATACACCATGTGCAAATTTTCCTAACATTTTATTTTTAGCCCAGAACCATGTCTCCTGTGCATTTGGCTCATGTCAACACAAGTTAATTTTTCAGAGTGAAATGAATTTGCCACCAGTAATTTGTAATTTTTTTTAATTATTATTTCTTTTTGATGTTATTTTTCAATATGACGAAGTGGCTTAGGTGACTACTGTGAACTATATACTATTATGAACTGGCCAGCATGTTCGACAGACCTGAACCATATATAAAGAATGGGAAAAAATAACGCGATATAATACCGTATCATAAAAAAACGGCGTCAGCGATGGCCATGAAATGAAGATCACTGTCATTTTATATGTAAAATTGTATGGGGAATATCATCGATCGTCATTGCCAAGCCAAAGGGACACCGATTTTTTTCGATCATATGGTATTTGCATCTTCAATGTCAATATAAACAGACATCTAAGGGCAGTTGTCGCATCCTTCTCCCTTGACTTATAAAATAATAATTTTAAATATAATTCTTTACAAGTTTTTTTTCTGATCGTTAGTTCTGTTATTGTTGTTAATGATTATCAAGGCACGTGTTGATATGACTATCAAAGAAAATGCTCAGGAGACATGGTTCTGACCAAAAAATACTGTTTTAAGAAAGTTTGCTTACGAAGTTATTGCACAGGGTGTTTTAAAGTTAGGGTTGACAACCCTTCGAGCTCCTTCGGACCCCCCTAGCAAAATACTAAAGTTTATAAAGAACTGAGCTTACGAATTAAAGTTGATATATTTATATACAGTTTGCTAGGAAAAATAATGGAATTTGGGCTAAAAATAATAAAGTAGAACACTTTAATAATTTGACGATTTTTTCCGTTTATTTTTGATATAGTTAATTCTATATTACCGTTGCTACTAGCTGTAACAGAAGCTACAAATCCTAGATCTTCATTCAAAAGCGTCGAATCGGGAGATTTAACTGTTGGCAATAAGTTTAAAGGACTGGAAGTTCTTGGAGATGATGAAAGTGGACTATGAAATAACGAAGTAGGAGCAGCAGTAACTGTATTATTATATTTTGGCTTTTTCTTGATTTTTTCTATCTCGCTTAGATCCAATGCCATAGCTTCACCAGCGTTATCCTATATAATAAAAAATTATCTGTTAGCATCATACTCCATAATGACAAAATTAAATACAATAAGAGATGGGCAGCTAGGATGTATCCTCTCAGAATTACATAGTACTAGCTATAACATTATTATAGTATTAAATTAGCATACCCAAAGTTCTACTTGGTTGTCGTTCTTTGCTATTTCTTCCAATTTCATTTTGAAAAAGTTTTTTTGAAGATCAGGCTCGTAGAAGGAATCATGGCCGAAGCCCGTACGTGGCTTGTCATGTTTTTCCTTTCCTGTACTACTGAAATAACACAAAAAAATATTGAATTAGCAGTGGTAATACCGTGTTATGGAATTAAAAGACAACCTTTTAAAATACGACGTAGGCGAAAAAATATTTAAGTTCGAACTTTACCGTACCTGTTGCCGAATTTCTTGACATAATGACAATGAATAAGAGTTATTTGTTGTTATCTTCAACCTACTCTAAATTTCATTTAACACAAATACGGTAAATATGTATTAAATAATGCACATATACACTGTCTTCAATAAAATGTCCACATAACAAAAAAGATTGTTTTTTATTTTTGTTCTTATTTGAATTTGTAGAGATGGGTTGTTGTTCTTTGATCTGTTATTTCACAAATCTGTACTAATATATAAAATCCTTAAGTAACTGATATACTGATTAATCACGATCCTGCTCAAACCACTCAACGTAAGAAGCTCAATTTTGGCATATAGGTTAATTTTAGGGTGTAGAGGTCGATAAGAAGGGATTTTTCGAAATTCCAATTCCAAGAGGGTGAAACCACCCCTCAAATATTACAATATTTTTTATTTAAAAAACGGTCAAGTTTCCGTAAAAACGCTTAAACACGTATATTTTTTTTTTACATATTTTAAGTTTTTTTAAAAATGTATACAGGGTGTTTCGAATCTGGTCATTGATTAATCACGATCCTGCTTAAAGCGCTTGACGTAAATGCTGATTTTTGGAAAACAGGTTGACTTTAGGGTGTAGAGGTTCGATAAGAAGGGATTTTTCGAAACTCGAATTCTAAGGGGGTGAAATTATCCCTGAAATATTAAAATATTTTTTATTTAAAAACCGGTGAGTTTTTCGGAAAAACTTTTAAACACGTATATTTTATTTTGTTGTTTTACATATTTTAAGATTTTTTATAAATTTATACAGGGTGTTTCATAAAATCTGACCATTGAGTAATCACGATTCTGCTTAAACTGCTTGACGTTTAAAGCTGATTTTTGGCAAACGGATTGATTGTGGGGTGTAGAGGTTCGATAAGGAGGGGTTTCTCGAATCTCAAATTCCAAGAGGGTGAAAACGCCCCTCAAATATTACAATATTTGTTATTTAAAAAACGGTTAGTCTTTCGGGAAAACGCTTGGACAAGCATAATTTATATGTTTTTTTTTACATATTTTGATTTTTTTTAAACCATACAGGGTGTTCCAAAAAGTTGGGTAATTTCTTAACCACGGTTCTGCTTAAACTGCTTGACGTAAAAAGCTTATTTTTGGCAAACGGATTTTTCGAAAGTCAAATTCCAACGAGATGAAACTACCCCTCAAATAGTACCAAGTTATATAATAATATCGTCATATTGTTTTTTACCACGCTGACATAAATGTGAGAAAATTTTATCCAGTTTGTATGTTAATGGCAATTGTTGCTTTGCTTTATCATCACCATTACAAACGATTAATTCGACGCGAACGAAGTCGCTGGTATACGCTAGTGTTATTTATAAATAACAGTTCTCAAGGTTTGTGGTTTCCAAAAACCAATAGTTATGAAAATAACAGCGCTGGCAGTTATAGCTAGCGATGTGAAGTCGACATTAACGCGCTATAAAATTTTACTAAGCTCGACAACAGTTTCTGTAAACAGGTCTGAAAATAATAAAGAACTAACAGCGATGACTTGGGTTGTGATATCGACATAGCTGCGCCATAATTCTACCATACTCTCAACAGTTCTTTCAAAAATAACAGATATGAATAGTGAGATAGTCTCGCAACAGTTTTGGTAATTCCATAATATAAGAGTACGCTGACAACTTAACAAGTTTTTCTTATATGTAACGTTGTGATATTGATATACTGATTTTATATTTTGACTTTCTTTTGCTATTTATTATTATTGTTAACAGATTGTAGGTAGAAATCTGTCATTATTGTCATATTTATTTATTTATGAATAATCCATAAATAAATAGGAAATTACAGATAGGAAAAAGTGTTTATTAAAATATAGGTACTTGTTTGTTTATATTTTCACTGTTTGAGAACAGAAACCTGCTATTTAAAAAGTTTCTGATATTTATTGGCTTAAAATTAAGATGTTATAATAACAGAGTTGGTTTGGTTGCTATCATAAGATTAAACTACTGGCCGAGATCGCTGAAAACAACCGAAATTATAATGATCCCAAAACACGGTAAAGATTTAAACAGAGTTTCCTCATATCTATTCTATTACAACCAAACCAAACCAAAACACGGTAAAGATTTAAACAGAGTTTCCTCATATCGCCATATTAGCTTACTACCATTAGTTTCCAAAATGCTTGAAAGACTGATACTTCGTAGAATCAATTCAGATCCAAAAACCGAAAACTGGATACCACATCACCAGTTTGGGTTTCGAGAAAGACATTCTACTATTCAGCAGATACATCGGATTACCAGCAATATAACTCAAACTCTTGAGGACAAAAGGTATTGCACATCAGTGTTTCTTAATGTTAGTCAGGCTTTCGACAAAGTATGGCATACGGGACTACTTTACAAAATTAAAAATAATCTTCCCATGTCCTACTTTTTGATATTGAAATCCTACCTAAATGGTAGAGTGTTTAGAGTCAGAATAGGTGACGATGTATCTGAAAATTATAGCATAAATGCAGGTGTTCTACAAGGTAGTGTCCTAGGGCAACTACTCTATCTCCTTTTTACAGCAGACTTTCTCACAAACAATGAAACAACAACGGCTACTTTTGCAGATGACACAGTAATTATGGCTGTCAACAAAAAAACGGAAACAGCTTCCTTGATATTACAAAGACATCTAAATGTAATAGAGACATGATTATGTGATTGGAAAATAAAAATTAATTCATCAAAATCGACCCAAGTAACTTTTACTTTGAATAGAGACCAGTGCCCTCCAGTATATTTAAACAACACACTAATTCCGCAGTCTTCCTCTACCAAGTACTTAGGCATGCACTTGGATACTAAGCTTACCTGGAAAGAACACATAGTAAAGAAACGAAAGCAAATAGATTTAAAAATAAAAGACTTAAATTGGTTAATAGGAAGAAGATCTAAACTATCGCTAGAGCATAAACTTCTTTTATACAAAACCATAATAATACCTATTTGGACATATGGAGCAGAACTCTGGGGATGTGCTAGTATAATAAATCAAATATAGCCATAATACAAAGGAACCAATCTAAAATTCTACGGATGATAACTGACGCACCATGGTATGTCTCCAATCATACCTACTCTACATGAAGACTTAAAAATTCCGTACGTCAAAGAAGTCATCCAAACTTGGAGCAAAAAGCATTTCAATAGACCACATGATCACAACAATACCTTACTTCAACCTCTACTTGAACCAGTACCTAGAAGAAGACTTAAAAGACAATAGCCATCTGATTTGAAAGAATATTAAGGAGGATTTTTCGCTGGAGAAGACCTCTGAAGTCATCAAATTAGCCCATTCCTTGCAATTATTCTGATTGCTAATAAATCATAATAAAAAAATAATAATAACAGAGTTCAGTTATTGTTATTTAACGTTATTAGCTATCTACTTTAAAAATATATTGAAGAGTCTTTTATTCACAACCCTCAGTATTTACAACCAGCATCTATTATTATCTTAGTTGGATGCAAAGTTGTTTTTTTGCAAAAACTCAAACATTTCTGAGAACTATATAAAATGCTTTTGGTTATGAACAATTCACTTGGATATATCGTATATGAAAATCCTATTTTTATTTTAATATTACTTAAAACTAATAATTTTTTTTCTTATCACACTAACTCACCTTGCTTCATTTCTCCATGTTGTTGGCCTTTCATGCGCTTTATTATAGTTATTAGAGACTTTTGTAGTTGTTTTCTCCTTTTCTTCGAATTGTGTATTATTATTGAAACGTTCTTCCATTCGACGACCAACATGGGAGGCATAACTTCTATTTATAGGTAACTCATCGTATTTCTTGTAATTAATCTCATTGTTATTCTTAGCTAAAAATTAATAAAACTTGTAAAATACGAATCTGCTAAGAAAAAGTCACAAGCGTCATCCCATAGTCGTCTAGTCTGTCTCTCATGTATTGGCGCATCCATGACTGATCGAAAATAGAAGGAGATTATTGCTGGGATGACGCTTGTGGCTTTTTCTTGGCTGACTCGTACTTTACCTATTCTCTAAGTAACTAATTCTTAATTATGTATAGATATTTTTTGCTTTATAATAAATTAACAATGCATAATACACTCAGATGCAAAAAAAACGCAACGGAGAAATTTTTGGTCAAATTTAAAGTGTTATAGTTTTGTTATTTTTAGTCCTATTTTCATGAATTTTTTAGCAAGCTGCATATAATTATATGAACTTTAATTCGCGTATTCAGTTTTTTTAAAAACTTTAGTATTTGGCATATTATACAGGGTTAATCGAGGGGTTGTTTTTTTACCCTAACTTTAAAACACCCTGTGCAATAATTTTGGGTGTGAATTTTCCTAAATTATAATTTTACGGTCAGAACCATGTCTCCTGAGCTCTTTGTTTTTTAATTCATCTCAATACATGCTTTGGTTAATTTTTAAGAGCGAAATGAACTCATCACGATTAATTTGCAATTTTTTAATTATCAGTACTTCTTGATGTAATGTTTTAATATGACGGGATGGTTTTGGTGACTATTGTGTAGTAAAACTATGACTGCGAAAATGTCGTATTAATTGCATTGGATATGAATAAAAAAAAACGTTAAAAACTAACGATACACTCCGGATTTTAATAAATATTAATAACGATAACAGAACTAACGATATTAAAGAAAAAATCTGTAATACTCAAGTATACAAACAAAAAACAAAAATTGTAAAAAATACCCTAATTCTTTGTATTGCCTCCCTTGGCTGCTATAACTGCCTGTATACGTCCGTTCATACTGTCATTGAGGCTGCATACAGGGTGGACCATCGAAAACGTTCCGCAAGACAAAACGGCCAGGATATTTTTTTTTCAAAAAATCCAAAAACACGTCAATTTTGTTTGTGAGGGGGACAACTTTTGCCCCAAAAATGATTGCAAAATCTTCAACCCTCTAAGCGGGGGTGTCATCCCCCAAGTTTTTTTAAATGGGAAGGGGGGTCAAGTGGCGCCGCAATGAAAATAGCTTTCTATTCTCTATATTTCCCCGCTTCGTTTTTGAAAATCGGTCGAGTCATTGAGAAAATATGAAGGATTGAAATTTGAAAAGTTTATTTAAACATTTATCAGAGTAAATGATAATGATAAATTCCTTCGACCAATTTGCTGTTTGTTGCCACAAGGTTGAACGATCAGGTGCGGTCTCAATATCGTTAAACTGACCCACAATAGAATTTCCAAAAATACCAGCCCGCGACGATCAAAATCGTCTTCGTTGAGTCCTTGTACCAACTGAATTTTGTATGGGTGGAACTTGTGTTTTTTTTAGTATCGTTTGGACACTTGTACGATTCACGCCGGTCGCGGTCTCATTGGCTAATTTTCTTGTACTCAGCGTACTACCTATGGCAACTTGGCCCAATACGAATACCTCCATAGCTTCATTTACTACAGGATTTCCCTCTGCCTCTTTTTATTCATAACGGAACCAGTTTCGTGAAATTTTGCTACTAAATCGCGAACAATTTTGCCATAAAGGTGTTTGTCAGGATAGCATTCATTGAATATCTGCGCAAACCGATTGCTACATTCATTAACCATTATTTTTAAAATAAAGTTCGATTATATCTACTTTTTCTGCTGTAAGTGAGTACACCATAATTGTTAAAAAGTTTAACGATATTGAGAAGAACTTCAACGCACAAGTCACAGAACAGCTATCTAGCAACTACCGCACCTGATCGTTCAACCTTGTGGTAAGTGAAAAAATAGCGTAGAAATAATAGAAAGAAAAAACAGCAAATTGGTCGAAGGAATTTATCCTTATCATTCAGTCTGATAAATGTTTAAATAAACTTAAACATTTTTGGGGCAAAAGTTGTCCCCCTCACAAACAAAATTGACGTGTTTTTGGATTTTCTGAAAAAAAAATACCCTGGCCGTTATGCCTTGCGGAACGTTTTCGATGGGCCACCCTGTATATCATATTGCTTTATATTTTCCTATTATTCTTTAAGGACCAAGTGAAGTTCATTATTTAATGCAGATGGTAACGCTTCGCGACCTCTAACCCTTTTACCAAATATTTCCCAAACTTCGACATGATGGTCAGTTCATAGTAGTGTATAGTTCACAATAATCTTGTCATATTGAAAAATAACTTCAAAAAGAAATTATAATTGAAAAAAGTTACAAATTGTTGGTGGCAAGTTCATTTCGCTCTTAAAAAATAACCAAAGCATGTACTGATATGAAACAAAAAACAAAATGCTCAGGAGACATGGTTCTGACCGTAAAATTATAGCAAAATAAAAACACTAAATCACCACAATACACCAAAACACTTTTACTTTACACTGGACGCGCGTTTCGCTAAGCATGTTAGCATCATCAGCAGATGATTATAAACTGTCTGAATTGGCTTTGCATGATTTAAGAAACCAAATATCTGCTCCTAATAACCTAATCTTAGTACTAAACTTACGATAAAGATTCAGTTCCGTTGACCGTAATCATCAGCAGATGATTATAAACTCAGTTTATAATCATCTGCTGATGATGCCAACATGGTTAGCGAAACGCCCGTCCAGTGTAAAAGTAAAAGTGTTTTGGTGTATTGTGGTGATTTAGTGTTTTTATTTTGCTGTGTAACATCAAAGGTTCCAACCCTCAACTGTAATCGTAAAATTATAATTTAGGAAAATTGACACGCGAAATTATTGCACAGGGTGTTTTAAAGTTAGGATAAAAAACAACCCCTCGATTAACCCTGTATAATATTCCAAATACTAAAGTTTATAAAAAGCTGAGTATACGAATTAAAGTTGATATAATTAGATACAGCTTGCTAAAAAATCATAAAAATAGGGCTAAAAATAACAAAAATATAACACTTTAAATTTGACGAAAACTTTCGCCGTTGCGTTTTTTTGCATCTGAATGTACAATAAATTACTTGAAAATGTAGTTGTATTTGTAAGCAAATTGTCACTATTCAAACTCCTCTCCTGTTGCTGTTTGTTGTTTGCGCTCTTTCTTCTAGTATTAATTATTGTTTTCTCAATTTTGCTCTCTATCACTCTGACTGGCTCAAGCTGTGGCAACTCTGTGCTTTGCAATGTATATTTTCCTAACTGTAAGAAAAATATCTTTACTGACATTATTTGACTTAAGACTTTGTTGCAGCTCTGCCTGAAGACTAATAATTAACAACACTATGAAGCACAATAGGGCTGCGATAGCAGATCACAGTATAAAAACAGAAACAATATCTTACCTGTTGTGGTTGTGTGTTTGTCTTCGCAGTTCCATACAAAAATTCGATTCTATTTACATTTCGAGCTTTGGATAAACTTGCAGTCTGTTCTATGGAGGTACGAGTTGGTTGATAGGATGAACCACTTTCATCCTTGGTAGTAATATCGAATCTAACTTGGTTCTGAGGTTTATTTCCACGAAAACCAAACCTATTCAGAGATATTTAAGTATTTAGAAACATAAGCAAATAAATTTGGTTTATACCTCTTTGCATCAACTTTAATATCATTTTGTTTAGGGGTAACTGAGGAAACTTCTTCTCGCTCTATAACGGGTTCTTTTTTAATAATAGTTCTTTTGGGTAACACGTGCTTTTCTTCTTGCTTTTTTATATCTAAAGGAAAGTCTCATTTATTGTAAATTAATATTGAATTTTTATTGTGGGTTACCAGTTGATATTGATGCAGGTCCACTTACTGGTCTCTTGCGAAAACCGAAAGACATAGCCACGCCTTTGGTTTGAGTTGCTTTCTTCGGTACAGTGCCATCTTTGTTCTTCCCGTTAGTCTCTCCTTCAGAATTATTCTTCTAAAACAAAGAGGTGCTCTATGAAGTATATTTATAAAAACATAGTGATATTAAAGGAATATGTTATTTTTTATTTTCAAAGGAGTTATACTTTCCTCTTTTTAAATTACAATATAACTGTTATTTTGTTTTATTAATTATTTAGAGTATGTCTTGACTTTTTTGGTAAAAAAGAAAATTTAATTTTAGTTAAACTATAACTGCAAAGTCGGTAGTCGGTGTATGTTTTTAGAGTCCATTTCACCAGTCCGAAAAAGTAGCAAAATAAGCGTTTTGCATTTAACGTTTTATGTAAAACTGGCTAGGTATTTTTACACAAATGAAGAAAGAAATTAAAGATAAAGGATTAAACTATATCCGTATTGTGGCACATTTTTAGATAACTTCTTCATTTTTAAGATTTTGATGGTCAAACATCAACAAAATATACCTTATGTTTGGACTAAATTTTCTCGAAAATAAAGACATAATTGAAATTCCGTTACAATAGATGGAAGTTTTGTGATTACAGTGATATACAGGGTGTCCCAGAAATAAGTGCAAATATTTTAAGGAGTGGTAGATCTCGATAAAAGAAACATATTTTCTCTTTATCGTTTTTCAAATAAGTCCAAAATAAGGGAGTTATTTTACTTTGAAAATTTCCAAAAAAAAAATATTTTTTGCTAAAATTTTGAGAACTACTGGATCTAATATAATATTTTAAAATTGATTTGCTTCAGAATGGTTACTCTGAAATGGCCCTTGACAATATTATATCGAATTCTAAGACAAGCTCATTGATGCATCAACCTGAAGATGATGCTCTATATCTCGATTATTTCATATACAGGGTGTTTCAAAAAACATGTGCCATCTCTCATGAAGAGATTCCTCACGTAAAAATAAGATTTATTTTTCATATCAACATAGACACTTTTATAGCATTAAAATATGTAGCACTTACAGTAACTTTTACCCCCAAAATTTCGTTCGAATCACTAGCAGTACTTGGAAGAAAACTATAATAAATCGAAAGATTATTATTAACCCTGTAGCTACAAAATAAAGCAGAATCAGACCTATGTTGATATAAAAAATAAGTCTTAGTTTTACGTGAGGAATCCCCCCACGAGAGATGGCACAAGTTTTTTGAAACATCCTGTATAAAAGGAACTGCTTAAATTTAAAGATGCCCGTTTTAAAATCAAACTACAATATCTTCAGTAATCCAAGTAAAAAATGTTTTACGATATGATAACCACTTAAACTGGTAACCAATAGAAAATTGCTGTCTTCACCCAACTCCACACTGGGTGAACACCTTGCTTTAGACGACGCGACGAGAAATTAACAAACAAGACGAGAAACATGAGAATTTAACCAAGAAACCCACTTACCTTTTAAAGACCTAGAAAAAGCCGTCGATTATGTAAATAGAGACAAGATATGGAAAATAATGATAAAAGAAAGGATTCCCCTTGAATGCATGTATTAAAGAGCTGTTATCACAGATATATCCTCTATTATAGATTCAGGACGATATCGCGGTATCAGATCTAAGGAGAGACCAAGTTAAAGAGGTGGATAAAATGGAGACAGATGCTCCAGCCTCCAACTCAAGGGTACCTCAGCCGGAGTCAGGGTCCTCGACTGTGAAGTGCACGGAGTCAAACCCTTACCATAAGGGTGTATACCCTCGGAAGAAGAACATCTGTTGTCAGAGAAGGATGAGTAATACCCTGTTCTCCCTACAACAGAAAAATCCCCATGTATGATGAGTTATAGGTTTTACAAAGTTATATGAGAATGGAAAGATATGATATGATAATTTACCAGGATATACATGATATCCCAGGAGGTATCCAAATAGACTTACAATATTTTCTGAATATACTACTATTTGCAGACCATCATGTGATAATGGCATCAGTTTGTCGAAGAATAGCAAAAACTTTTAAAAACAAAGCACGGCTAGAAACTCAGGTAGGACTATACAGGGTGGGCCACTGAAAACTTACAATGGCTATAATTTTTAAACCAAAAAAAATAAAAAATACCGTTTCTATAATATCGAGCGGGAATACATATGACGTATTTTTTTAACCACCCCGACCTAGCCCTAAGGCGGCACCACTACTCACTTGAAAATCTTAAATGGCAACACCCCACTTGTGGCGCCTTTTTGGAAAGCCCATGAAAAATGCTAAACGATGATCATAAAGTTTTTAGGGTGAAATTGAAAAACTACCCCTTACACTAAAAATTAGGTAGACATTAATGAGGAAAGTGATTTTTTCAGCATAAGTTACAAATTGGGACCCAGCTAAATGAGTTATTTTCAAACTACCCCAACCCACCCCTAGGTGCCACCCCCTCACTTCTAACCTCAAGATAGGGATACCCCACTTGTGACACCTCTTTGGAGACCGTATAAATAATGCTGAACGACTGTCATAAAAAAGAACGAAAAAAAATAGAGCCTAAAAATAAAACAAAAATGTCAAAACGTGTCAAAATCAAGAGAATGAATTATTTTCGTATCCATGAACCATTGTGAGAAAAAAAAGCTGGTACAAAGAAATGTATTATAACTGTTAATGAAGAACTCATACACTTTCAGCAAGATGGAGCCCCCTTCGCATTATTCTATTGTCACAAGGCGGTGGTTGGATAAATATTATCCAAGGCAATGGATTGGCAGAAGGGGTCTAATCGAGTGGCCGCCAAGGTCACCTGATCTCACTCCTTTACACTTTTCCTTGTGGGGTTACACTAAATCCATAGTCTACAAGACAAAACGAGGAGAACTGAAGCATGTCGAAATATTCCGAGAGAGACTTTCCAAAAAGTGAGAGAAGAATTTGAAAATCGTTTGTATTTTTGTATGGAACAAAACGGCTGTCATTTTGAGCAATTATTAAAATAAATTATCATTTTAAGTTTATTTCAAATTGTCACACCTACATTTTTTGTCACTAACCAGTAATTAAGTTGAAGTCTGTATGACCATCTTTTAGCAATTTCTTCTTTAGCAATTAGCTTTTCAAAGAAGTGTCACAAGTGGGGTATCGCTATCTTGAGATTAGAAGTGAGGAGGTGCCACCTAGGGGTGGGTTGGGGTAGTTTGAATAATACTTCATTCAGCTGGGTCCCAATTTGTAACTTATGCTGAAAAAATTACCTTTTTCATTAATGTCCACCTAATTGTTCGTGTAAGGGTAGTTTTTCAATTTCACCCTAAAATGAAAAATGCTAAATGATCATCATTTACCATTTTTCATGAGCTTTCCAAAAAGACGCCACAAGTGGGGTGTTGCCATTTAAGATTTTCAAGTGAGTAGGGGTGCCTCCTAAGGGCTAGGTCGGGGTGGTTCAAAAAATACGTCATATGTATTCCCCCTCGATATTATAGGAACGGTATTTTTTTTATATCTTTTTTGGTTTAAAATTATAGCCATTGTAAGTTTTCAGTGGCCCACCCTGTATAATACATTAGTGGTATCGATAGCATTATATGAAAGAAAAGTTACAAAGACTCATGACAACGAAGATGACATTCTTACAAAAAATAAAAGGAATAAGTAGAGAAGATCAAATAAGAAATGACACAATAAGAAACGAACTACAAATACAACCGTTAAAAGAAAAATTTAAAATATATAAAAACAAATGGAGGGAACACGTAGAAAGAATGAGAGATGATAGGTGATCCGAACTGTATTCCGGAAACTTCGGCAGAATATTCTGCAGATAAAAATAAGTAAAAAAGTTCGTATAAATGTATGTCCTAAAATGCTTAGTTTTGGGAATACAGGGTGTAGAAGTTTCATTTTTATTTCGATTTTTTCCAAATAATTTATGAAGTAACGTTAATATTTGGATTGTGCCTGGGAGTTTTTTGATATGAGAAATTTGATTTTGATGTCAATATGACTCCTACTTGTAGAGGACGCCACTAACATATTTTTTAACTGGTTTCAAGAGTAATAACGTTTCGTCCGTACCTGTATAAAACTACTGAGTAAAAAAATATACATTTACGAAGCTTTTTACGTGAAAAATGTCTCTTGATAAAAATCGCTAGGAGTAATGGTACTCGAGATATTTGGAATCGAAATTATCAATACCCATCATAATTGACATTAATTAAACATGTCGACTAAATAGATGTTACTGAAATCATAAATTTGAAAAGTTTTTCTGCCAAAAGTTCAACAAAAACTGTTTTATCATCATTTTTTCGCAGAGAAGTTTATGATTAATTTAAAAAAATAAACATTTTCCCAAATTTATTATTTCAGTTAAGTAACTATCTACCCAACGTGTTTATTTTTTGTCAATAATGACATGTATTGACTATTTTCATTCAAAATATCTTGAGAACGGTTGCTCGTAGCGATTTTTACCAAGATACATTTTTTACGTAAAAATTCATGGAAATGTATATTATTTTACTCCATAGTTTTATACAGGTACGGACGAAAAGTTATTACTCTTCAAACCAGTTAAAACACATGTAGGTGGCGCCCTCTACAAGTAGGAATCATATTGACATCAAAATCAAATTTCTCATGTCAAAAAACTTCTAGACACCAATTTTAAAATCGAAATAAAGAATAAAGATGTAACTTCTACACCCTGTATCTCTGAAACAAAGCATTTTAGGACATACATTTATACGAATTTTTTTACTTATTTTTATCTGCTGCTGATGTGCTGCTGAAGTTTCCGGAATACAATTCGGACCACCCTGTATAATAAGTGGAAAGCCAGACAGAAGCTATATTGGTTCTATACCCTAGGTACCATAAAGGTATACGAATCACTAGTAATATTACTTTTGTGTAAAGTTTTCGTGTATACACTCTGTATATAGTTAAATAATTAAATTTTACCAGTTTAATCCCAGATTAACTTGTAATTCTATTAAACCTCATTGTCATCATGACCTTTAGTACAAACAGAATTATAATCTAACTAAAACTATCTATTTATAATATAATTATAAATATAAATATAGTTTATTATTAAAGCTCATGTTATAAAAGTATTTTAAAGACATAAAACTTACTGGAAAGGTTTCCATAAATCCAGGGGATGCTTTTGGAAACACTAGAGATTTTTTGTTCCTCTTGATGAACTTACGAGATTCAGTTTGGCCCATGAATACGTTCTAGAGACCTTCTCCACATCTAAGACACAAAAATAACTTTAATATACATATAATACATAATGTTTCACACATTTTTCAGCCAATCAATGTAAAATAAGTACTTAAAAAATATAAGAAAGTACGTAAAAATCTCTTGTTTTATCATAGCACTGACAGATCATTTTTTTTTCATTTCATATTCATTAGCTTGAAAAGTTGCATATAAAACATTATAAATAGATTAGTGATCACTAAACCTACATTTTCGAATGTCACAATTTGTTTAAACACTACAACGTTAAAATATCATCATGATTCACCAAGATTACCGAATACGTCGTGAAAATCTTCGGAAAATGCACTTTTCCAACTGGATTTTCACCTCATACGCATGACGGAGCTTCGCGGAAAATCAATAACAAACTGATGAGCTTGGACATTGAAGAAAACATTAATCGTTTTTTTTATTATCGTTTTTAAAATGATAGTTGAAACAAAAATTTTTAGTCTATTTTATAATAAGTTTATAGATATTGAAAGGTTTAATGTTTATTGACATTTTAAATTATTTTTAAAAAGTAAACAACAATAATTATTGCAGTGTTCATTTTGAAATTATTCATTTTTATTATTGCTAGAAATATTTATCACTTATTTTTACATTGTATTTTTTATATTATAAGCTCTACCCAGTGTTTTTTAATATAACTACTACTATTTTTATAGTGCTGTCTAAAGTTTCTTTAATATTGCGAAACAGTGCATTATTGATGTTTTCTAAATGACTTTGTATTTTCAAGCTTATTTAACTTAAATATCTTTCATTGCTTGGTATTTATACGGTGGGTAAAAAACAGGTGTTTTTTTCTCAACTAAGTAAATAAGATTGAACACTCTAGATTTCATAAAAAAATCATAATTAGTATATAAAACTGCATAGCAAAAAAGACATAGTGCTTGTTGAGTACCGGTATACAGGGTTGTTCACCACATACGACACGGAGTATTGTAGCTAAACGATTAGATTTTTACAAATTGTAAGTTTTGGGTTCGTTGAAGGCCTATTAGAGCTACAATTTAAAAATATTTTTACAAGATACAGAGTGTCCCAAATAAATAAAAATATCAAAGTTGTATTTTTTTTAAATAGAACACCCTGTATATTATTGCAGTTTTAGTTTCTACGATTAAAATAAAGGTAAATTTGATTAAGATTTATTACACTTAAACCTTACAGTTTTTGAAATATTTTCAATTTTGTGAAATTGCAGTATAAATTTTAAGGGTTCATTTCTCCGAGGGTATCAAAGTTTTTAATACTAAATATTTACTGAAGTTTATTTATTGATCAGTTATTGTGTTGCAATAATAAAAATTATACTACCTTATACAGAGTGTCTAAAAATTTATTTTAAATAATTACTAGCTTTAAACGGCAATAACTTGTTTAATTTAAATGGAACACCCCGTATCTTTTATGAGAATCAGATGCACAATTTAATTGTCATCCAAATTGTATTATACCATTTCTTACCTATCTCTACAAGTTTCCGTAGAAAATGCATTTTCTTGTAATTTAGAACTCATTTATCAATATACCTATGGAATATTGACATTTTAGATTGTTTTTAAAACAACAAATGTACAAAATGTACAGGCTAGTAATATTATCGTTTTTAGTAAAACGATAATATTACTAGCCAATTTGTATGCAAAAAGAAAACTATGTAAATCTTTATAAAAGAGTATACCATTAATTAAATATACCACCAGTATTTACGACTAAATACTAATTAATTACGTACTTAATTGCGTTCATTAATAAATTATTCTAAATAAATGTGGATTTGAATCAGAAATCTATATAATAATAAGTTATGAAAATCAACGTTTCTGTTATAAATAAGCATTTGTCAAAAAATTAAATATCATTTTTAAGGTGTTGGTTTCTTACCACACTGTCTAATACACATACATAATTCAGTTTTTTAGTATTTGGAGCAATTATTATTAATCAACGCAAACAGTCAAGTAATGTAGTTTGAATACTCGAATCATATTAATTGGTCCTCTTTAACAAATATTTAAACAGTTTTTTTTATTTTTTAATGAAATAAACGAACTATATCGACAATATTAGTATCTGTACTCTTTAAAAAGTAGGTACATCTTTAAAAATAATCTAAAATGTCAGTATTCCATGGGTATATTGATAAATGAGTTCTAAATTACAAGAAAATGCATTTTCTACGGAAACTTGAAGAGATACAGGTAAAAAATGGTATAATACAATCTGATAGACAATTAAATTGTGCATCTGATTCTCATAAAATATACAGAGTGTTCCATTTAAATTAAACAAGTTATTGCCGTTTAAAGCTAATAATTATTTAAAATAAATATTTAGACACTCTGTATAAAGTAGTAAAATATTTATTATTGCAACACAATAACTGATCAATAAATAAACTTCACTAAATATTTAGTATTAAAAACTTTGATACCCTCGGAGAAATGAAGCCTTAAAATTTATACAAATTTCTAAAAATTGAAAATATTTCAAAAACGGTAAGGTTTAAGTGTAATAGACCTTAATCAAATTTACCTTTATTTTAATCGTAGAAACTAAAAATGTAATAATATACAGGGTGTTCCATTTAAAAAATACAACTTTGATATTTTTTATTTATTTGGGACACTCTGTATCTTGTAAAAATATTTTTAAATTGTAGCTCTAATAGTCCTTCAACGAACCCAAAACTTACAATTTGTAAAAACCTAATCGTTTAGCTACAATATTCCGTGTCGTATGTGGTGAACAACCCTGTATGTTTTCTATAACTTTTCATTGTTGATGAAAGGTTTTGCGCGGTAAAATAAAAAAACGCGTTAAAACCAAACCCCCACCTAATACAAAAATATTATATTTAACGCGTATTTTTTATGTACTTTATTTATTTAAAATTATCGTTATTAAATGTTTTTAAAAATAGATCTTTTTCAATCAAATACAAAAAAAATCGGCACTATAGATATATCTTGTATAGAGCAAGAGTTATCTCGCTTATCAGTAGAAACTTAAAAAAAAAGATACTTTAAAAATCGATAGACCGATTTGATTGAGATTTGGAATGTCTATGTTTTGCTAGGCCGCTTTAACATTTGATTTTTACAAGAACATGTACGGGAAAGGTGAAAACAACATTTTCCAGCTCCACCGACGACTCTTTTTTCGTCCTTCTAGTATTCACTACATTTTTTCTCTCTTATAACAGAACGCCAACGCGCATACTTTTTGAGAAAAAAATGTTTTTCCGAAACTGACTTAAGTCAGACAACAAAAAATATTTCTTGGCATATTAAGTAGGCGCTATAAAATCTAGAATGCGCTAATATTCTAGTTAGCAACAATATGGAATATTATACTCGTATTAGTATCACAAATTATATTTTTGAATCTTTTTGATTGGAACTTCCTGTACATTTTGTACTTAGGTTTACTTTGGAAAAATAACTCCTAATAAATACTCGGACGTCAGAGCCTTGTTTGGGTAAACAGGGTGCACCGCGTGAAGGTGAGGTTGACTTTTGGGTAAGCTGGACTATACAGACCGGACCACTGTAGTAGTAACATAGGCAGAACCGGACGAATTAGCGTATGCCCGTCCGCCCGATAAAAAGCAGGAGAAAAAATGCGATAAAATAAAAATAGGTCGATATGTAGTAAGAATGTTTCAGAATTTGTATTTATTCGTGTTTTAATAGCCAAAACGAATACGTAGATTCTCGCAACAGTTCTCGTGTAAAATTTATTTTTTAAGTAAAATAATGGATGTTTATGAAGTTCGTGAGAAAATTCAAATTGTAAAATGGTATTTCCAAAATAGGTCTTATCGGGATATACAAACAATTTTTCCACAAACTTTTGTAAACAGGCCAATTCCATCTTTATCTACTATATCAAGAGTTATTAATAATTTTGAAACACATGGGTGCGTGTCGCCACAAAAACACAAAAAGCCTAATGTGTTGATTAATGAAGAACAGGAGTTAAAGTAAGTGTTCGTTTGTGCTACCGCGGATCAAAATCCCACGTTTTCAAGTAATCAAATTGCTGAGGTGGATGCCCTGCACAATGCCCGTATTGTTCAAGCATATTTGAACAATACTTTTCCCAACCATTTAATTAGTGGACATGGAACTATTTTGTGGCCCGCTAGATCACCAGATCTTTCTCCCAATGATTTCTTTTTGTGGGGTTATGTAAAATCCAAAGTGTATGGTCATAATATGGCTAATAATCTGGATGAGCTTCAAGTAAAAATACGAGAGGCTTTCCAAACTATTAGCCCTAATATGTTAGCCAATGTCAGACGGGGATTTTACGACCGCCTAGGCTTCTGTCTAGCACAAGAAGGTGGTCTTTTTGAACACTTGTTATAACTTTTTTTTATTTAGAGTAATATTATAGTTTTTTTTGGGTTTAGAGAATTTATTTATTTTTAGTTTTGGCTTGTAAACATACTCAAATAATAAATATTTAAGTATGTTTATTTTAAATGTTACCTTCAGTGAAGGTAAACACTTAAAATGAAAATAATAAATACACGGCACTCCTCGCGTCATATTCCTAGTCTGTCACGACCGACCCGTCCAAGCACAACTGCAACTGCGTACTGCCTGACCAGCCGACTAGCCGGCAGTGACTCTCGACTCTCGAGTACGAACGCAAAACGGGTAAACGTAAATTCGTCCGGCAACTTCCTATGTTACTAGTAGCCTGGTCTTCTCTGTATAAATTATATATAGGAAACTACCTTCGTTTATGTTGTTTCGTCTTGTGTGAATAAAACATGTTTTGACTATTATTTGTTTTAATATAGTTTCCACACCCTGTTCCCGCAAATGTGGAAGGGGGTGGTGGGGTGGTGATATGTACTTTTTAGAGTTTGGCCGTTTTTCTTACTCTCTTTTATTTGCCCTTCCGAAATTCAGCTATAACAATCTGGCAATCGTAAGCGAAACCCTGACAAACGTTTGTAAACATTTGCGCACGTTTGCGTGCATTTGATGACACACCGATCATGCAAACCGTTTATAAACAATTTGTGTGTTCGGTGAACACGCCTTGGGAGACGTCGACCTGTATATATTAATATGAAGTCCGCTAACACGAAAAAATAAATAATTAATAATTAAGTTTATTAAGAAAAAATGCGTACGATTTATCGAAAACAGGAAATAGCCATCTTATCCGATGTAGAATGTAATGAGAGCTGGCCTCTGTCGAGCCGTCTCAGATACTGGCTTTTGTTAAAGCCTTGAGACTGTATGATGAGTTATAACTCGTTATGACTCAGGAAAGGGGAACACACAATAGATCTGTAAGGTCGCGGTGACTAACTCCCCTCCTAAACATTCTACATCTTATCCGATAGTCAAGGAACCTTAAGAGAGATCAACTCAGTCACCATCAATTCGAAGTTGACCAAAGAATGCTTAGAGAAGCTGAACACGATTAGGCAAAGAAAATAATCTCCTCCTATTCTGGGTGCCAGCCCATCAAGGGATAAAAGGTAATGAAAAATAAAATAACCTATAGCTAGAAAAGGAGCGAACATTCCACTAACTGGACCAGAACCGTTCTGCTGGAGGAAGACTTCCTAATCTGGAATAGGAATCTTCCAATGGTCTAAGACACTCAATTACGAGATTCAGCCAACGAGAAAAATCAAAGACTTTCCTTGATTTAAGTAAGAATAATCTTTGGATTGTCACGGGTTTTTATAACAGGATACTGTCTCCTCAATGAACAACTCAGTAGATTGAAGCTAAAAAAAGCGCGAATACAGATTCTGGGGGGAAAATGGAGAAACACTAGTATGTGTTTCATCACTGTATGCACGGAGACGACAACCATTCATGCAATAAACTTTGGTACGATTGGTATCAGAGATGGGGAACTAACCTCTGTAAAACCTGTCTCAGATAGTGGCTTTTGTTAAATCCCTGAGTCTGTATCATTATACAGACTCAGGGATATTAGGGATATATATTATTATAACTCATTAGTTATAACTCAACAAAGGGGGACACAATAGATCTATAAAGGCGAGATGATTAACTTCCCCCCTTCCATACAATCTACAAGACTAAGACTATTCGACTGGAAGACCAACACCAAGCGAGTCTTGGTTTTGGTCTTGCATTTGCTAATTACAAATAAAAATCCGCCTGTAATGAACGGTTTGTGTGAAAAACCCTGTATAATCAGACTTTTCCACGAGACAAAAATGACAATTCCTTTTGCTTTATGTCGCGTCATCTGTCAACTTTCCACGTATTACATTATCGATCGGTTCTGATACAATCGTTTCATGTTGGTAGCGCGCTCTGTCTCTGCTGATTTTACGATAAATATAGAAGGAAAATACCGGCTAAAATTAGACTCCGGCGACTGGGACTGATATTTTTTCGAATAGTTCCCATCGCACAGATAATGGTGCGACACCGAAACAATGTCGCAGACCGTTTACGAAATGCTCGCTTTCGAATTGACCCCTGTGCCCCGCGCAATTAGCGACCTAATCGGCATCAAAATAAACAGCGGCGTGTGGAACGGCGCGCTGTGGATCTTCCTCATTTGGTCTGTTTTTCACTTGGCATTTGACGTATCTTTTAACGTAAGTACGTTTGGATGTTATTACTTAAGCGGTCTCGGAGTGATGTAAACATAGATGTACACGGAGAAAAATATTGTGTTAGTAAATCATTCAAATCCCAAATTCAAACAACAAAACTTTTTTAAACATCTGAGTTCTGATTAAAACATTTAAAAAATAAAATATTTAAGCTTGAAAAGTTCTTATCTTCTATTTTAATTGATTTCTTCTATTCAAAATAATACCGGGATCGGGAATAGATAGTGGATAATACCGGGATCGGGAATAGTGCCTTAACAATCTAAGATTCCCTGATGACCTAGTCCTAATCGCCCAAAGTTCTGAATAACTACAAGCACAAATTAACTAACGAAATACAGCCAGCAATAAAGTAGGTCTTAAGATGTATATAGGTTTGATTTCGGAAAAGGCCAATATTGACTCTGAACTTCAGCACAGGATTAGCAGTGCCTCAAGAGCATTCTGGAAATTAAAAGACAGGGTTTTCTACAATCATAACTTGAGTACAAAAACGAAACTTGCAGTGTACCGAGCAATTATAATCCCCACCATGTTATATGGGCGCGAAACCTGGGTGCCGCACATTGGTGCAGATTCAATAAAATCGACGCATAGGGATCAAGAAAAAAATTTCGAAAATTTCAACAATGATATTATTTTCAACAGATGATGGGTCCGTTTATTCAAATTTATCACGATCCACTTTTTAATCGTAATAAAAAAGCGTACAGGAATGTTGTTTTCGTTAGATTTTGTAGTTTAAATATATCAGTTATTTGCTGTTAATGGTTTTGTGTTGCTAATATATTTTGGTTCTTAGTTCAGAGACTTGGAAATAAATTTAATTATAATGGATTTTGAAGATCAAGGTAAGTACTTTTTAAGAGAATTTTATTAACTTAAATATTTTTTTATGAAGCTAGTGGTTACCACAAACATAGCAGAGCGTTCTTCTGAAAAAAATTAAACTTTGAAATTGCGTACCTTTAGAACTCTGCAGATCTCCGCTTCTGTATTTTATAATTTTTGAAACGGTATTATACCAAGTTTAATTTACCACAAGTATCTTACCCCAAGAGACCCCGAGGTAGATGATATATAAATTAAAATTTTAAATTGACTAGTAGTCTGATTTTTGTTCCATGGATAATTTCTTAAATTATTATACTAATATTTTTTGAATAACTCTGGAGTGGTAAAAGTGTAACTACAGAGACTCACATGTTCCTCCCGTACTCTATTCCTTTTATTTTTAGGAACAATAAGCCGCATATCAATATGTGAGCGGTTTTTGAAAATGGGTTTTAATAATATAATAGGTCAGAAGCGGATATTATTGATGAAATTATTTCATTTTTGTGTGATAATTTCCTAACATATTATCGAAAAATAAGCAAATTGAAAATTTTGTTTATAAATGGTCAGAAAAGTGGAGGAAATGTAGTTATACTTGGAGCAGTTTTATTTCCAACAATTGTCTCTGGCTGAATAAAAATTTACTTCAAATGGAAGAGAATCAATCTTTTGATGACCCTGGCCCTTCAAGAAGAATTTTTTTTTCAGAATTGTCCAAGTCCCAAAAAATAAGAGACCAAAGGAATTAATTTATAAAGTCTTACAGAAAAAAACATGTTTTTTTATCTACATAATGCTGCAAATATTGCATTAATGCTTTTAATTAATGGCAAAGATTAAAAATCAATTTATTTCTAGAAATTAGAGATTCTTACACCTCGGAATCTGGTTTCTAATTTAAGGAAGGAACATAACAATAAGACGGGAAAAGCAGTCCAACTAGGGTTTGAATTTCCAGAGAAAGTAGTCTCCACTAAAAATAGGTGAAGATTTACCCGCAGATGACATTCATATGGCAACAGAATATTATTGTCAATCAGATAGTGAAGAAGAACTAGAAGAAAGTGGTGGTGAATCATGTCATGAAGAAAATGAGTTTGAAGACTCCATTTAACGCATATTGCAATTTATGTTTTTTCCTGTAATTTAGACCAGATAGGTAACCTAATGGGTATTCTTTTTTTGACTAGGTTCGAAGCATTTTTCAAACCTTTTTAAAAACTATAATTTTTGAATTAAATTCATAGAAAATCCCCCTTTTTTAATATTTTTATACTAAAAAAACATAGTCTGAAATATATTTTGTTTATTCTTTGGACTATCTTTGTCATGTTAATAAATCCGCGATTAAACCTAATAAGTCTAGAATTTGTAATAAAATTAAAAATATCCTATGCGCCACTTTTTGGCAATCTGAACCACTGTGTGCCGTACCGCCGATACATGAACGCATTAAACATATTGCAACAGAGACGCCTTAGACAATTTTTAAGAGTCCGATGGTTCCATCATGTCTTAAACGTGTCGGTCCTTGAAAAAGCTAACTGCGAGAGTATTGGAGTCATGGTTACAAAATCCCGCTTAAGATGGGCTGGTCACGTATGCAGAATGCAAGAAAACCGCATACCAAAATCTCTGCTTTACGGTGAGCTTGTAGACGGCAAGAGAAGGCCGGGTGGACAACTCAAAAGGTACAGGGACATTTTCCACGAAAACTTAAAGGGGATTAATATGCAGAATGGGTGGGAAGAAACAGCTCACAATAGAACTCAATGGAGAAGAATTGTAAACACAGTTAACAACCACAACCAAAAAGCAATGAGATTTTTGATTGTCCGGAGTGCGGAAGAGAGATAACATCACGTATCGGGCTTTTCAGTCACAGAAAAGCTCATGAAGAAAACGCCTTGCGATCTTCTGATGCATGTCACTCGTCAGCGAGTAATGGCAGTAGTAGTAGTAGGTCTTAAGATGAATTTAGCAAAAACTAAAGTAATGTACAACAAACTAGTAGATAGAAAAGACATTCGAATAAATAATACAACACTGTGTCAACTATGCTTTAACTCTAAGATTTTTAGGTAGTGGAGATTCTTTATACATCAGTGTGGGATACTTATTTAAAATATATAAACAACCTGTAAGGTTAATTATTATTCCTCATGTGTGTGAAGCTATAATAGAAGTTTATATTTTAGTTTCGAACTGGCTAGTAATATTTTTTATTTTACGTTCAATTTCTGACTATTCAATTTGCATATAGCGTCTCAGATTGACATCATGTATTTGAATCTTTTCTTAAAGTTGGCTATGACAGTATTGGCTATTGAAGTAAATAGTTTTTGATAGTAACTGAATAGTTTTCTCTGTGTATGAAGTGTGTTAGATATTATCATTTATTTTAATTGAAGTAATCATTTTGCATAACTAATTAGATTCGCTATAGTAAACAGAACCATACAGTTCACTTAATCGAGGCAAATTTATCAGTTTTTGTCCATTGATTTAATGTGTTCATTACTTGTATTTAAAGTATTGAATAAATTTTTATTTTTTTTAAACGATTTATGTTTATTACATAGTTAAAAATATGATGGTTTTTGAAATACACTAACTCCAGAAAATCCTGTTATTATTCAAATAAAGAATGGTTTTTATCAATTCAAATTGTTGTTCGATAAGTAAACGATATGTCAAAACGAATGACAATGTCAGGAAATAAATAACAAAAAATATACTTGGAATATACCAAAATAAATAAATAAATGTGTAACTTAATATTTTTTACAGCAGAATTACCAGCCTTTCTACCACCTGAATCCCCAGCGGGAAATTTAAATTCCAGTTAGACAGCCCGGCGCCGAATATATCCATGGTTGGCAACTGCAAATGAATTTAAAAATTGCGCCCTCGATTACGTAACCAAAAGTTTAATTGGTATCAAATATATTCCCGCCTCTCTGTTGAGTTAAGAACTAAAAATTCCGCTTCTACAAAAGTAATTTTTTTAAAATGCCTAAATATGAATTTACGTATACTCTGTATGCTGATTGAACCAGTTTAACTGCAAAAAATATGAGCAAATGATAGAAAAACTCTTTTTAAGACATTTTTGTTAGAATTTTATTTTTTCTTCTTAAAATAAGCTTTTATCGACTGTTAAAGCTCAGCTGGAAATACTGGACGACTCTGTATATTTTTTAACATTTTTGAACTACTAATTTTATAATAATAGCGATATTTTGTTATTATGAAGACACAAACATGTTTAAAGTTATTTGTAAACAGTTAAGTTGAGTTATTAATATAATTCTTATTTTTTTACAGAAGATCCTGAGAAGAAATGACTACAAACCGCATATTTGCTCCAGACTGACCAACAGCCTCTGGTTGCTGGTAACGTACATCTTCTTCTTTTCCTATTTCTTGAAGCTAGTTCTTAAATACCATCTAGACGTGTTCAATTGGAAAAGCAAATTTCTACAACCGTTTTCAAATGCACCTGCTGACATTTCAGTAGGAATCCTAGTTTTAAGCATGTTTTATCTCCATATGCTGTTGTACCAGATCACGAGATTGGACAAATCGGAATCAGTATTGAGATATTTTCTAATGTTTACTATATACACGATATATTATTCTAGCGGGTGAGTAAAGTAAATGTTTAGAATGATACAGGTTGTCCTATTGGGAAAATAATATAGTATAAGAAAACTAGTAGCTTCACTTATAGTCAAATCCTTTGTTCTTTTTCCGTCGCATTCTATGATCTTGTTCTCGCGATTCGCGATGCGCGATTACTGGCAACTACAGATATATCCGAATTGTTGCGAAAGTTTCCGAATGAGTTGAACTGTTACATCAATTGATTGAAACTGATTCAAAATGACGTGTAATGCATCCGTGTGCCTTTAAGAGTTTCATTCTAGTTGAAAACTGATTGTAACTAACTAGTAAACTAGTTTGCAACTTTTGGTTCAAAATAGTCGCACCGTTGGCGCTGGGCCTTAAACTTCGTAGGCCAACTGACGGATCTACAGGCTGCCAACAATCTGCCGAATTTTGTCGGCTGGCAGAAAATATTTGGGACAGTGGAGCTACTCGTTTCCTTATACTATGGAAATACTTATGGATTATATAGCAAAAATATTAATAATTAAGTATACATTTTTAACGATGATCAATTTTTTTTCAGAAAAATAGAAATGCCTTTAGTTTTAGCTGTTTTTATTAGTGGTGCTGAGATTCTGACTGAACTAATAAGGGTAGTTTTCTGTCTATTGACAGAAATAGATACGTGGCCTAACAAATGTATAAAAGGAGTGTTTCTTTTTGATCATCTAGTCTGGTAAAATTATATTTTTCTGTTAAAATTTCTTGATTCTAAAATTATTTTCTTTTCAGGATTGTAATGTATATTATAATAATTCCTTTGCGTTTGATGCTTACTCCAATGAAAAGACTATGGTATGATTTTAAACTTTGCCAGGCTGTAGTAATTTCGGTTTTAGTGGTTTGGTTTGTTAGTAATTTATACGAATCAGTGAGTAGTTTATAATTTTCTTGATTTTATTGGCAATTTCAGTTCAGATATACTTTGTACAAATATAACAATTCAATTCTAAAAAAGTAGTTAGTTGGATTTTGGATTACTATTTCTTCGCATGGACGCACTCAGAAAGAGCAAAACAATTTTAGCCAAAAACTTTTTTGATTAAATATGTTTTCATGTGATGCTTCAATGCAAATTAAATTGGTTAAGTTCATTTAGTTACAGTAAGGCAATTGGCTATAACTCAGTAATTTTTCGAAAAAAGCATATTATAACTTATATCGCTGAAAAGCTGAAAAAATAGCGCTTTTTATGAAGTCATGGTCAACTATAGTTTCTATTTAAAAAAAACATGTTTGTATCATATGTCAAAAATGACAGGCTTTAGAAAAAACGGAGAACACAATCTCATTAAAGATATGATTATCTACAACTTTTATCTGAAAAATTGTTGTCTAAAATAAATTATAATTGAACTAGGGACCATTTTTAAAATAGTCGAAATTGTTTTTTTCGAAATATCTAGTAAGCCATGAACTTTTCAAAAATCTGAAAGACGCATATTTATGATCCTACAAAACTGAAATTCTTTCCCCATTTGACCGACTCTCTGTCTCCAGGAGTTTCCATAATACCAATAGAGAACATCGTAGAAAACCCACCCTGTATTTTCACATCATTCATTTTTAATTTTTTCTAAAACGGTATGGAAATTTGGATAAGTATAATCGGGATTAAGCATTTTAGAACAAGCAAACATTTTTCTGAAGAATGCATTTTTTTCAAAATGCCAATAATAAAAAATGTTTCCTCTTGTAAATACAATCCTTGTCTTAGGGACATACAATATATTTTTATGTTTTAAGGTTTTATTAAAATGGTTTTCTCACTGGTTGGAAAAAAGCAAAGAAGAAAAGTATTCCATGTTCTCGGAAAACGCCATAGAATTTGCTCTGTTCGATAGGCGTACTGATTCTGCATTTTACTATAAAATTTTGAGAAACGAAATGAAAATTAGAGAAGACGAGTTAAGTATCAAATCTTAAGCGCCGTCTACACATACCATTTTACCTGTCCGTCTTACCGGGTGACTTAAGGGACCATTTTACTTGAACCGAAATAAGATGGAAGACCGTTTAGAGAAGTTACAGGATCGTTCAGTTTTAATCTCAGGTTTTACAACAAAACTATTGGTTTGGATACACTGAAAAAATATATGTAAATTTACAAAAAATAACATGGATATCTGTGTGGATATATTACAGCATGTTTAATAAGGAGCCCTAACAGATATTTTATGATTATTATTAAACGAATATTATTTTCAAAATTAGCTGTGCCGTGTTCACAAACGAAATTTAAACTATAAATTAATATACTTTTAGTAAATATCCACTTTTTTTGAACTTCACTAAACGCAATGCTATAACTGATAGGACAGGTAAAAATTGAAGTGTATAGGGTAGTCTTTAATCCGTGTTACATGACAGTTGGAGCCAAGACGGAAGACCGTCTACCAGAATTGTCGTTAGTTCTTTAGACACGGTACTCCGTTTTAACTGACAGGTAAAACGTTGTGTGTTGATGGTACTTTACGCGTCGTTCCTGTGAATAAGTTGTTAAATAGAATAATTGTGACGAAATTGTAATTACTTTAGAGTTTTAAGATTTAACAACTTATTCTTGGTGAACATATAATATCTACTTAGTTATGCCGGGTGCGTCTCAAAAGTAACCTCTCACCCCTGTAACTTTTTTATTTTTTCAGATAAAAAAACCAAATTTGATGTGTTAGTATACAGGGTGGCCCATCGAAAACGTTCCGCAATGCATAACGGCCAGAGTATTCCTTTTTTCAAAAAATCCAAAAACACGTCAATTTTGTTTGTGAGAGGGACAACTTTTGCCCCAAAAATGATTGCAAAATCTTCAACCCTCTAAGCGGGGCTGTCATCCCCCAACTTTTTTGAAATGGGTAGGGGGGTCAAGTGGCACAACAATGAAAAGAGCTTTCTATTCTCTATATTTCCCCGCTTCGTTTTTGAAAATCGGTCGAGTCATTGAGAAAATATGAAGGATTGAAATTTAAAAAGTTTATTTAAACATTTATCAGAGTAAATGATAAGGATAAATTTCTTCGACCAATTTTCTGTTTTTTCTTATTATTTCTAGATGGTTACGCATTTTTTCACTTGCCACAATGTTGAACGATCAGGTGCGGTAGTTGCTAGATAGCTGTTCTGTGACTTGTACGTTGAAGTTCTTCTCAATATCGTTAAACTGACCCACAATGGAATTTCCAAAAATACCAGCCCACACGTTCAATTTCTGAGGGTTTTGTGTGTGCACCTCGTGAAAAACCCTAGGGTTGTTCTCGGCCCAGTACCGACAGTTGTGCCGATTAACTACATCGTTCAAAAAGAAAGTACACTCATCCGAAAAACACACATTAAATAGGAAATTATTATCATTCGCCACTCGTTCATTCATAGTTTCACAAAATTGCAAGCGACAATCAAAATCGTCTTCGTTGAGTTCTTGTACCAACTAAATTTTGTAAGGGTGGAACTAGAGAACAATTTTGCCATAAAGGTGTTTGTCAGGATAGCCTTCATTGAACATCTGCGCAACCCGATACATTCATTATTTTTAAAATAAAGTTCGATTATTTCCACTTTTTATGCAAGTGAATACACCATAATTGCTAAAAAGTTTAACGATATTGAGAAGAACTTCAACGCACAAATCACAAAACAGCTATCTAGCAACTACCGCATCTGATCGTTCAACCTTGTGGCAAGTGAAAAAATGCATAAACATCTAGAAATAATAAGAAAAAACAGCAAAATGGTCCAAGGAATTTATCCTTATCATTTACTCTGATAAATGTTTAAATAAACTTTTCAAATTTCAATCCTTCATATTTTCTCAATGACTCGACCGATTTTCAAAAACGAAACGGGAAAGTATAGAGAATAGAAAGTCCTTTTCATTGCGGTACCACTTGACCCCCCTTCCCATTTGAAAAAAAATTGGGGGATGACACCCCCGCTTAGAGGGTTGAAGATTTTGCAATCATTTTTGGGGCAAAAGTTGTCCCCCTCACAAACAAAATTGACGTGTTTTTGAATTTTCTGAAAAAAAATTACCCTGGCCGTTATGCCTTGCGGAACGTTTTCGATGAGCCACCCTGTATAACATACATTAGGATTGATTGACGTATTCAATTGTTTTTGGTCACTTCCTATTTCACCCGAAATGATCATGATTCACCGGACAATTTTTGATTCTTAAATGACTTCGTTTTTTTTTCTTTATTCGATAGAAAATGCCACTCTGAATAGAATGACGTATCATATGTCAACTTTTAATATTTTTGCATATGGTTTATTTGAAATTGTAATATGCGGTTCAGAAAGACAATTTGACTCGAAATGCCAAGTGTGTGGTACCAAATTAATCATAAAAAAAATGTTGTTTTCCAGATATGCTAATGAGCCACCCTTGTTCCATTTGAAAAAAAAGAGATATTATCAAAAATACTATTCTTTTAACCGGCCATGATAATTCACTAAACACATTAGACGATCAAATCTATTTTTCCAAGGCTCCTTGATTAAAAATTATTAGTGTTTTAGCACAGTCATGGCAGTCTAGATTTAAATTTTAAATACGTTGTTTTTTAAGCGAATATCATTCTATCCAGAGTGTCATTTTCTATCGAATAAACTAAAAAAATATCGAGGGTGCCATTTAAAAATCAAAAGTTGTAGTCATTTCCGGTGAAACATAGCATTCTAGATTGCAATTTAAGATACGGATTTTTTAAGCGAAAATGTTGACATGTGATACGTCATTTTATTTAGAGTGTTATTCTATCGAATAAAATAAAAAATACGGTGGGTGCTATTTAAAAATCAAAAGTTGTAGTCATTTCCGGTGAAACAGGAAGTGACCGAAAAGTATTGAATACGTCAATCAATTCTAATTTGTCATATAATATCCAATCTCATTCTTTTATTTGAAAAAATAAAAAAGTTATAGGAGTAAACCAGTTTTGAGACGCAATATATAAAAAAACTACAGATTAATGTATTTATTTTTAGGATGATGTCCAAAAGAAAACCTAAAAGCAGAAATGTGCTTTTCCAAACAATCAAATGTAATTCAAAATAATATATGCCCATCTCTACTTTATTTATTAATTTTTGCTTTTTATAGGTATGCTAGCAATTAAAAGAAAAAAGAATGAAAAGAAAGATAATGCTGATGAACTAAATAGCGACGAAACAAATGAAGGTATATTTTTTAAATAACTATTGCATAACCTTTTCATAACCAACCTGTTGACTTATAATCATTTGCATAGGGATCTGCGTTAAAAAGAATTACTAATATATTAGTTTACTTTATGATGAGTGTCATAGATCCTCATTTCTAAGTTTACTTGATCCCGTTTTTTTTTCATATATAAAGTTCATGGTAGTTACAAACATATGTCATTTGTATGTAAAAAAACATTAAAATTTTTATTTACTAGACGAAACGGATGAAGAAAGTATTGAACAAGATATCGAAAATTCTTACAATGAAGAAGATAATTTCCAAGAAGGAAAACTCGTGATAAAACTACAGAAAAGTGAGAGTACCATTGAAGACATCCCACCTTCAGAATGTCCAGATACTCAGATCTCTATTCAGAATGATATCTCTGAACTAGATTCAGAAGAAAAACTTCTGTAATTTGATCTTATTGAAGAAAATTATAAAAACTATTTTTGTGAATTTGATTAACTAATAAAGTTGTATATATTCAAATTATTGTTTTTATTGTATTTCATTTTTTAATAAAAATACATGAGACACTTTTAATACTTAGTAATGAATAAAAATACTAAGAAAGGTTACTAAGTACTTGTAAAATGTGAATTTGAATGAGTTGGTTGTGCTTCTCTATTTATTTTGTATTACTTCTTCATTTTATAATATTCCTTTGTATTATGTGTACAAGCAAAATAAAACACACAACATTCCAAAAAAAACTTTATTTTCAACACCGAACGCGCGTTTCTCTAACTATATTAGCATCATCAGCAGATACATACATACATACATACATACTGCCATTACTCGCTGACGAGTATTCGACACGCATCAAAAGATGGTCACGCAAGGCGTTTTCTTTCATGAGCTTTTCTGTGACTGAAAAGCCCGATACGTGATGTTATTTGCCTACCGCACTCCGGACATTCAAAAATCGCATTGCTTTGTTGCCTCTTTACTTTTTGGTGGTCGCTGTTAATCGAGTTTACAATTCTTCTCCATTGAGTTAAGAAACACTTCTCCATATTGTTAACTGCTTCTTCCTAATGATTCTGCATATTAATCCCCTTTAGATTAGAGGAAATTATTGAGAATCCAATGAAAAAAATGAAAAAATGGGAAACGAAACTAGTCGTAAAAACACCCGCATGTGTATGCCTTTGTATTGGCATGTGGTGTATACCTTTCCATTCGCCTCGATGGTTCAAGAACGCGATACTCTCATTCCATTCAATTGAGTCATAACGTTCAGAACTGTTCCGCGCCATATGGAGGCACCAGACTAACGCGCACAGCTCCTTTCAGAACCGTTCTGAGTAGCCCAGGGCGTAAGCTCTGGAACTTGAAATCCGCGCATGAAGGATAGCAAATGTGAAGCAAAATGAAGCGGTATATGCTGGCGGAAGGAATTGATATGTTACTAGTGATTTTATTTTGTGAGGAAAATTGCTTGTTGGCCTAAAGGGTTTATGCTCAAAGATATTGAAATAGGGATTTTCTTGACAACTGTTCCTTTGAAAAACTACTTTTCCTATTTCGCAGAGCTGATAGTGTGGTATATGAAAAATTAGGCAGAAACCTGTCGTTGGAAGTGAAGAAAATGAATTTGCCTTAATTGGGTCTTTTATAGAAAATTCAATATATCTACAAGTCATCCTAACATAAATCAAAGAACTATATACTTCTTCGTTTTTCTTAATAAAATAATAAATACTTACTTATTGAACTATTGTAGATAAATTAAACAAAAGTATGCTGTTATAAATTTAAAGTCCATAAAGTAATGTCGATTTTGAAAATAGTTACTAACTGTCACTAGAAAATTGCCATGGCGACACCAGCCATCTTGATTGCTATTTTATTGAAAAATCGCTTTTTATTCCAAATCTGAGCCAGATAGGTATAGGAAACCCTAATATAGTTTGAAAGAGCATTTAACTCTTTCTTGCTTCGACTTATTTAAAAAAATACATAGAGTTGCATTTGAAATAACGAAGTTTTTATGTAAAATAAATATTTAAAATACACCAGAAATTTTTGATACCCCTGTATATATTTAAGGAAGCAGTCAAATTTTTTAGTAAAGTTTATTTCTCTGGCTTAAAAGTTAGCACAAGAATTAATTCTAAAAAGTAATGTACAGGGTGGGTCAAATTCGACGCTTTTAAATGGAAACACCCTTTTCTATAGGAGATAGACAAAAACTAATATCGGTGTCTGGAGCTCAATTTTTGTCAAAAACATGATGGTGAAAACCGCACATTGATATCTGTTACCGTTTCGGAGTTACGGGGTGTTTTTCAAAAATATGCATTTTTAACAAATCGCTGTAACTTTTTTGCTATGGAAAATTTTGTATTTTTATGAAAACATTTCCAAAGCACCTTTTTACGTAGAATTTAATAGTTTAAGTATAATTTTTTTAAAATTAATAATTGAGAATTGTCAACAGAAAATTTAATTTTTTATATGGGACATATTGCATATTTTTAATTTATTGAAAAGAATTTAAAATTACCTTTCCAAAAATATAACACACTTGATATTTTGCTCGATTCCTCTTCGAGATATAGAGTATATAAAAATTCGCCTGCTTTAAATAAGTAGGCTTTGAACGGCACCGGCTGTAATGCAAAAAAAATTCTAGCTGTGAGCGTCAATTAAAACGAAAATAATATTTGCTATGAGAGATGCAGAATTTTCTAACAATTTAAAATATATTTAACACACATCAACACATTTAAACTATATCTAATAACAATAAAAATAAATAGCAAATCAAGACATGAGATTTTGCTACAGGTGTTCGACATATCGACCGTCTTCTGTTATGGACAGACGGGGCAGTTTTTGAACATTTCTCGCGGAATTCATTAACTCAGTGGGGGTGAAAGATACCCTATCATAACTGCTAAGTACCGTATGATCGAGAAAAAACGGCGTCCAGTTGGCTGGGAAATGACGATCGATGACATTTCCCATATAAATTTACATTTAAAATGACAGCGATCTTCATTTCCCAGCCAACTGGACGCCATTTTTTTTCGATCATACGGTATTTTTAATTCTTGTCTAGATTATACGGAAGAATAAGGAACCTTTATTCTTCCGCAAATATCCATAGGATTAGATCCATGGGCACTAAGTCAGGCGGCCTCGACGGCCAACGGCTAGGATCTGGGTTAGCTATCCAATTATTCTTGAAATTGGCTGCAAAATTTTGCTGATAACTTCAGCGTTCAAAGGCGGTGCGTCGTCTTGCTGGAAAAATATGTTTTCGAGTTCCATTAAGGGCATATCATCAATAAGGGGTCCAAAGCCTACTAGTTAAAAGTGGCGAACTTTTTAAAATTCTGTATTTCGAAGGGGATTATAACAAAATATCAAGTGTGCTATATTTTTGGAAAAGTAATTTTGAATTCTTTTCAATTAATTAAAAATATAGAGGGTGTCCCAAATAAAAAATCAATTTTTCTGTTGATAACTCTTAAATTATTAATTTTAAAAAAATTAAAATTTAAAGAAGGCATCCATTTTTCTCAAAGAGACCTGGTTCAAATTAAAAAAGTAGAAAAAAGACTCAAAGTCTCGGTCTCAACGTTTATACAATGTTAACTGCTACACGTGTTTCGCTCATATACGAGCATCATCAGACAAATACAATTAAAATTAATCCAAATACACCGTTCACATTTTACAATTAAAACAACACTGAAGTTCCAATCAAAACAGTGTTGTTTTAATGATGCTGAACGTATATTTGAGCGAATTTTACGTGATAGCAGAGCGAACATTGTAACAAACGTTGAGACCGAGACTTTGAATTTTTTTTCTACTTTTTTAAATTAAAAAAATTATACTTAAACCATTAAATTCTACGTAAAAAGGTGCTTTGGAAATGTTTTCATAGAAATACAAAATTTTCCATAGCAAAAAAGTTACAGGGATTTGTTAAAAATGCACATTTTTGAAAAACACCCCGTAACTCCGAAACGGTAACAGATATTGATGTGCGGTTTTCACCATCATGTTTTTGATGAATATTGAGCTCCAGACACCGATATTAGTTTTCGTCTATCTCCTACAGAAAAGGGTGTTTCCATTTAAAAGCGTTGAATTTGACCCACCCTGTACAGGGTGTAGGCAAACTTTTTTATGCATGCATATTTTAAATATTTCAAAAACCAAAGCTTCCAAACATATTAAATCCTTATATAATGCCTTATTTTATGTCCAGGAATTCAAAAATGAAATAAAATACCGGGTGTTCCATAAGAAAAAATATAACTTTGGTATGGATCTTAGTTCTGACACACCCGATACATTTTAAAGTCATTTTAAATTATGCACATTGTCTTCCCACATATACCAATAAAATATTTTGTTTCTACATCTTTCCGTTTTTGTATAATTAATCCAGGCGTATGAGGTGCGTCACCCTGTATGTATTATTGAGAATCAGAAGGCTAAAACAGAAGCCCATCTAGAGAACTGCTGTCAGTTCTATAAACGTTTTTTCGTTTTAAATAACAGACAAAAGGTAAGGTAAATATTAGTATGTTTAGACGGGGTTTTAGTCCTTTTGGAACATAGGACGTACGCTTGGAATAGCCAAAAATTATTAAAACTGATCCAATTGCAAAGTTAAATGTAATATTTTATTTAATTATTCCATAAATATACGGGGTGGTCCGAATTGTAGTCCGGAAACTTCGGCAGCATATTTTGCAGATAAAAATAAGTAAGAAAGTTCGTATTAATGTATGTCCTAAAATGCTTAGTTTCGGAGATACAGGGTGTAGAAATTTCATTTTTATTTGATTTTTTTCCAAATAATTTAGGAAGCCACGTCACTATTTGGATGAAAATTGGTGTCTGGGAGTTTTTTGACATGAGAAATTTGATTTTGACGTCAATATGATTCCTACTTGTAAAGGGCGCCACCTTCATATTTTTTAACTGGTTTGAAGAGTAATAATTTTTCGTCCGAACCTGTATAAAACCTTAGTATAAAACTACTGAGTAAAAAAAATATACATTTACGACGTTTTTTACGCAAATAAGTTCTCTTGCTAAAAATCGCTACAAGTAATGGTTCTCGAAATATTTGGAATCAAAATTTTCGATACCTGTCATCATTGACATAAATTAAACATGTTGACTAAATACTTATTAGACTAAAATCATAAATTTGAAATGTTTTTGTGCCAAAAGTTCAACAGAAACTGTTTTATCATAATTTTTTCGCAGAAAAATTTATGATTAATTTAAAAAAAATAAAAATTTCCCATATTTAATATTTCAGTCAAATAACTATTTGACGTGTTTATTTTTTGTCAATAATGACACGTATTGACTATTTCCATTCTAAATATTTTGAGAACGGATGCTCGTAGCGATTTTTAACAAGAGATATTTTTTACGTAGAAAGTCACGGAAATGTATATTTTTTCACAGTAGTTTTATACAGGTACTGAACGAATAGTTATTACTCTTCAAAACAGTTAAAACACATGTAGGTGGCGCCCCCTACAAATAGGAGTCATATTGACATCAAAATCAAATTTCTCATGTCAAAAAAACTCCCAGACACCAAATTTCATCCAAATATTGGCGTTTAGAAATTATTTGGAAAAACTCGAAATAAAAATGAAAATTCAACACCCTGTATCTCCGAAACTAAGCATCTTAGGACATACATTTATACGAACTTTTTTACTTATTTTTATGTGCAAAATATGCTGCCGAAGTTTCCGTAACACAGTTACGACCACCTTATACATATATTTCCTATTTCCTAATAATACTGGAACATATTTTTTATAAATTATTCTGTTTTTCACTTACCCCAACAACATTTAAATAATGTCGTTAGCACATAGACTAATTAACTCCGCCTTTGTTTCAAGACATACTCTAAATGACAAAATGTAATCAAAACACTTGTACTTGGGTTCATTGGTGGCGTTAAATCTAATTACATTTTTTTTAATTAGATAACCTAAAAGAATATATTTATTTTTATTATAATTATTTTACTTTATTCATCCTGTAGTTAGTTCCATGTTCTGTACAAAACGTAGGTGACCTCTGGAATGAACATTTACAAACTTATATGGTGACATGATCAAAATCAAAAATTTAAGAAATATACATAATTAGTTAAATTGAGTTTCAATGGAGACATATGGTGAAAAAAATTGAAACGCTAATGGCGTGTGAGTCAATGTTTATTTTTGATATGTTTTAATCTCAGAAAAGAAATTGTCTAAATTTTAAATTACTTGTGTTTGGAAACAGAAAGTAATGATAATAAAAAATCGATTTTGCTCTATTATTGTCTATTTTTAAAATTACTACGACATTTCTTTGCTATAATTTTTTTTTGTTGTTTGTCAATTAGCATAATAATTACGCTTGTTTTTAATCAATACAGGGTGATTCAGATTTTACTAGAATAACTGCAGGTATCTCGATAGAACAAACCGAAATAATGATAGTTTGTATTATAAACCATACCCCAAAAACGCTTCCGCTTGGAGTAAACTGGCGCCAAAATTTGAATTATTTTTAGGTTTTTATTTTATTACTCCTAAGCCAGAGGATCTAAATACGCAAGTGTTTGGTTAAATACTAAGGACAACGTGGCTGATATGTGTGAAAATTATATAATAATAATAATAAATTTGTATTTTTTTCTGATACCTTCCATCTTTTTGCTAACTTTTCTTGTTCTTAAATTTTTTTGATATGTCGCTTATTAGTTTTCGAGATACTCCACAAAATTCCGGACAAAGCTCAACTGCGTTCGAAAAATGTTACTTAATTAGCAGCATGCCGCTGTATGAAAAATAATTCAAATTTTAGCGCCATTTTATTCCAAGCGGAAGCGTTTTTGGAGTATGGTTTATAATAATATTATAATAAAAAGGAAATACCACTCCTGCAACTCCCAGTGGACGATTCCAAGAACGTACAACTTTGAGCAATAAAAGTATTGAGCAATAAAAAGATTGGAAGAGCGAAACGCTTGCCCAGCAGTTAAAAGACCATACCATAACTTGGTATACTGATGCTTCCAAAACCAATACGGGAACAGGGATCGGAGTATTTGGGTCGAGAGCTAAATACTCCGAACCAATGGGCACTTACCCTAGTATCCTACAGGCAGAAATCTACGCTATCGAAAGATGCGTACAACTTATCTTAGATAGGAACTATTGGAGACAAGAAATAGCCATCTTGTCTGATCAAGCAGCGTTAAAAGCGATCAACTCAGTTTTATAATCAATTCTATAATTGGTTTTAAGAATGCATCTGAGATGCTGAATAAATTAGGTTAGCGAAAAAGAAAACAAAGACCTCCTACTCTGGGTGCCTGCTCACCAAGGGATAGAAGGCAATGAAAAAGCAAATAATCTAGCTAGAAAAGGAGCGAACACTCCACTAACTGGACCGTTCTGCTTTCCAAGTGGTAACCAACTCAAGGCGGAACTCAAGAACTTGGAAGATTCCTCCTCACTACATTCATGTACTTCTGCCTCAGTTATATTTGTTAATATTAAGTCAAGAGTGTTGCCCACCTGGTTTTTCACATTGTTAATTGAATACAGATCTTCCTGGTTTAAGTAAGAACAATCTTCGGATTGTCACGGGGTTTTTAACAGGACACTGTCTCCTCAATGAACACCTCAGTAGATTGAAACTAAGAAGAAACGGCGAATGCAGATTCTGTGGGGAAGATGGGAAAACACCAGTACACCTCATCACTGAGTGCGCCGAGACGACAACCATTCGTGCCATGAATTTTGGTACGACTGATATTGGAGTACTGAACTACCCTCTATAAAACCGTCCCAGATACTGGCTTTTGTCAAAGCCCTGGGACTGTATGATGAGTTATAACTCAAGAAAGGGGGACACAATAGATCTGTAAGGTCGCAGTGATTAACCCCCCTCCCACTAATTCTAATTCTAATGGTTTATAATACAAACTATCATTATTTCGGTTAGTTCTATCGAGAGAGAGATTCCTGAAGTTATTCTAGCAAAATCTGAATCACTCTGTATATTTTGAGTCCGGTCTTGTTTGCATTTATGCCTTCTTTATTTTTCTTTCGCATTTTTTACTAGTAGGCATTTATTATTAAAAGAGTAAAAATCATGCCTATCTAATTTTTTAAAAATGGACATTTTTTAAATTTATAGTATTTTAAATTTTTATTCCGCAAATATTTGCATTTTTATTACATATCTATATGGCTCTTTCAACGGTAAAGTACCAGACAAAAATCATTACAAACAAAAAATACTGTTATAATTTAAAACCCATATCTGAACTCCAGAAGCAAACTAGGTATGTTAGGTCACAAAACACAGTTTTGAGAAAAACGAATTGAAATGAAGAAAGAACGAAGTTCCCCCTCAAAAAATGAAGCTCTTTTTTGAGGTTCCTAATTACTCAGTTATTTTTAATTGTAATATTGTAATATTTGGTATATGACTAACTTATATTTTGAACTTAAATGAAATAACACAGTTTTTTAAATAAATTATACAAACATTTTTTGGAATGACTTAAACATGCCAATTTTGGACTTAACGCAGTTTGCTTCTAGGGTACAGATATACAATATCTAGATCTTTAAGGTCGCAGTGATTAACCCCCCCCCCCTCTCATTCACTCTCACTCGTTGTTCATTTTCAATTATTCTCCATCTAAATAAAAGAATAATATACCGAAACGATAATAAAAACGAAGAAAATTTATTTTAATTTTAAAAAGTTTGGTATAGAATCTTGAACACCCTGTTTGGTTTAAGATTACAATATTTATAGCAAAGTAAGTACAGACCAACTATAGTACATACCTAGTATAGTTTTGATTTCAGGACATTTCTTGTATTTAAAAAAAGGTTGTAAAAGATATTTTTTATTTATTTTTTAATATCGCTGAAACTATCAAAACATATGTAAAGTGATCAGAAAGGAAGCCAAAAATGCAATAATATACAGAGTGTTCCATTTAAAAAAAAATCATCGCCATCCACTCAAACTTTTTTGAGCCACCCTGTAGTAGTTTTTTATTATAGGATGATGCCCGGCACTAATGCCGAACTCTGTATATCATACGATCTAGCCAAAAAATAATTTAAATAAAACAAGATAAAAACTTTTTAAAACATATATATCCTATAACTATATTTAACAAAAAATGGTAGTTTTAATAAATTTAATAGCTTCTAGTTTTTATAATATATAAACAAAACATGATAACCTCTCTTAACGCTGAGATAAGAATAATTGTACTTATTAAAATAATTTATTCACTGAGTAGAAAAAAACGCACGTGTATATCGTGTATCAATGAGATTCTTCCGTTTTAAGAAATTCTTTGTACTTGTCTTCTTTCATCAGCTCTGATAGTTCAGTCTCGTTGGTCAACTCCAATTTAAACAACCACCCTGTAACAAATTACGTATGTTTGGTTTGGTTTGGTTTCGTTTTTTTATTAAAACACAACTGATATTTTATTATCTAAAATAATTTACTATAATCGGCAAACACAGCCGTACTATCCTTTTCTCGAAACAATTCACAACACTCTTTTTGACCCCCTTGTGTTTCTAAAAAGTGGCTCATCCCTATAACTTTTTTATTTATTTTTCAGATAAATAAACGATATTTGGTACGTTAGTAATATGAGGTAAATCAGGATTGATTGACGTATTCAATTGTTGTCGGTCACTTCCTATTTCACCGGAAATGACTGCAACTTTTGATTTTTAAATGGCACCTTCGATATTTTTTTTACTTTATTCTATAGAAAATGACATTCTGAATAGAATGACATCTCATATATCAATTTTTGGCAATTTCGCTTAAAGAAAAAAAAATAGTATTTTAAATATTATTCTAGAGTGTCATGGCTGTGTTAATACCGAAAATTTGACTCAAAATACTAAGTATGTGTTGTACCAAACTATTCAACAAACATTTCCGGTGAAACAGGAAGTGACAGAAAACAATTGAAAACGTCAATCAATCCTAATTTATGTCATATACTAACATACTAAATCTCGTTTTTTTTTCTGAAGAAATAAAAAAGTTACAGGGGTGACCCACTTTTGAGACGCACCCGGTAGATAATAAAACAATTATCAACCCTCTCCGGGGAAATAAAATTAATAAACATCAAATTACAAAAATATTTTTACGAAATATTTCCATGTTTTTTCCTCATTTAATGAGAATAAATCAAATTTCGAAAACCAATACATCATGTTGCGACAAAATATTATTTAAAATGTTTTGGCAAAGCCGCAGGGGGTCATCTCATATCAATCAATTACATCACAATCAAATATTTGTAGACCGCTTAAACAAATTACTGCAGCAATGAACTTTTCAACTTTACCAAAAAAAATATTTGTTCAGATTATTCCATCGCTAGTAAATAAGATAACATAATGAAGAAAAATAATTGTTTGGTTCGTTTATTAAATGGCGTGTTCCCAAATTATTACTACAGTATATCCGGTGAAAGAATATGAATCGTGATTTGTTAAATGGGCATCAGTCACCATTCAGCCATTTTTGTGTTTTTAATTTTTTTTAATCCTACATTAATCGTACTACTTATTAAAAGGGCCTCCTCTGTCCTGACTGACTAAAGATGAGCAAAATTGCGATTCTCCAATCGCAATTGAAACTGTGATTGCGATTTTTAAATCGCAGCGACTGTAACCTGCGATTGCGATTTTAATATTTACCAAACCAAATTATTCTTAAAAAATGCTTTTTCTAAATATGCCAATGAGCCACCCTCGTTCCATTTGAAAAAATTGAGATATGTTAAAAATACGATTTGAGCATATTTGAACTGACCAGAACAAGATGCAAAAAACAATAAGCGATATTTTCCAAGGCATCTTGATTAAAATTAGCGTTTTTAACACAGCCATGACATTCTAGATTGAAATTTAAAATACGATTTTGTAAGCGAAAATGTCAAAAGTTGCCAATGATTGCTATTCTATTCGGAGTGTAATTTTCTATTGAATAAAGTAAAAAAAAATACCGAGGATGTCATTTAAAAATCAAAAGTTGTAGTCCTTTCCGGTGAAACAGGAAGTGACTAAAACAATTGAATACGTCAATCAATCCTAATTTATGTCATATACTAACATACCAAATCTCGTTTTTTTATCAGAAAAAAATAAAAAAGTTATAAGGGTGAATTACTCTTGAGAAACACCCGGTATATTATGATCGTGGCCCTAGAAAAATAATACCTTCTCTATAAATAAATAATATCAAAATTACATTCGCAACAATATCGCAAATCGAAACTCCTAAAAATTCAAACTCTCAGATAGAAATCCCGGTATTAACAGTTTACAAAATCACAATCGCAGCAAAATCGCACATCTCAACAAAGTCGCAAATCGCAGCTATAGTGATACTGGTTGCCTAAATTGAAACTCGCAAATAGAAGAAATCGCAATCGCAGTTTCCTATGAGAGACAATCACAGGTTGCGATTGTGATTTTAAAATCGCTGCGATTTAATCGCAGTTTGCCATCTCTCCTGACATTCACAATGTTATTATAGCTCGCAAAATTTTCGGAGATATTATAAAGCCGTTTTTTTGTGATCATACGGTACAAATCTGGTGAAAGCGAATAAAATTATTTATTAATATTATCTACAGGGTGGTCCGAACTGTATTCCGGAAACTTCGACAGCATATTCTGCAGATAAAAATAGGTAAAAAAGTTTGTATAAATGTATGTTCTAAAATGCTTAGTTTCGGAGATACAGGGTGTAGAAGTTTCATTTTTATTTCGATTTTTTCTAAATAATAATTTTTCTAAATAAGTAACGTCAATATCTGGATGAAAATTGGTGTCTGGGAGTTTTGTGACACGAGAAATTTGATTTTGATGTCAAAATGACTCCTATTTGTAGGGGGCGCCACCTACATACATGCATTTTGACTGTTTTGAAAAATAATAACTTTTCGACGGTACTTGTATAAAACTACTGATTTAAAAAATATACATTTCCATGACTTTTTACGTAAAAAATGTCTCTTGATAAAAATCGCTACGAGCAACCGTTCTCAAGATATTTAAAATGGAAATTGTTAATACATGTCATTATTGACAAAAAATAAGCACACGTTGAATAGAGTTACTTGACTGAAATAATAAATTTTTATTTTTTGAAATTAATCATAATTTTTTCTGCGAAAAAATGATGAATAAACAGTTTCTGTTGAACTTTTGGCTCAAAAAGATTTCAAATTTAATATTTCAGTCTAATAACTATTTGGTCAACATGTTTAATTTGTCAATGATGACAGGTGTTGGTAAATTCAATTTCAAATATCTCGAGAACCATTACTCGTAGCAATTTTTACCAAGAGACCTTTTTTATGTAAAAAAAATCTAAATGTATATTTTTTTACTCAGTAGTTTTATATAGGTATGGATGAAAAGTTATTACTCTTCAAACCAGTTAAAGCATATGTAGGTGGCGCCCTCTACAAGTAGGAGTCATATTGACATCAAAATCAAATTTCTCATGTCAAAAAACTCCCAGACACAAGATTTCATCCAAATATTAACGTTACTTTATAAATTATTTGGAAAAAAAACGAAATAAAAATCAAATTTCTACACCCTGCATCTCCGAAATTAAGCATTTTAGGACATACATTTATATACTTTTTTACTTATTTTTATCTGCAGAATATGCTGCCGAAGTTTCCGGAATACAGTTCGGACCACCCTGTATTTACTATAAACCACGTACCTTTGTCATAACAAGATGAGTTAATTAAAGATGGAGTCTCTTCCACTGCTACATTTTTCTCAACAACTTTCCCACTGAGCGGACTGTAGATTTCGCTAGCTGCTTTGACACTTTCTAGGGCCCCACATTCATCTGCCAAAGACTAATTTTAAGAATAAACGAAACGAACGACATATGGCTTGTTTTACCTTTCTGTTTAACCACCGTTCCTACGTCGGGTAGCTGAGCATAAACTACGTCACCCAGGGCTTCCTAAACCAAAATCATCAAAATTTTCGTATACAGGGTGAGTCAGGACCCCAGTGTATCAAAAAAAGGTTATATCAAAATTCTATATATGTTTGATATTTTTACTCCTATCTTGTTTATAAAATAAGCTGGCAATAGTAATCTACATTTTAAAATTATTTCATAGATACATAAGTTATATCAATAAGTATAATAATAAATGCAGGAAGTTTCTCGAAGCTTGAAATTAAGAAATAGTTCTTTTTTATAAATTTTTTTTGTATGTGGTGTTTTGTTTAAAATACATCCTTGTTTGCTTTGTATTATTACATACTGTTTTTTTTTAAATAAAATAACTCAATTAGTTTTTTTAAGTTTTCAATAGTTTTTTCACAATATTTTGGAGTAATCACTTGTCTTTTTTTCGCAATATTTTGGAGTAACTATTAATTTATTTCTTTGTAAAATAAAATAAACTACTTTGAAATTAAAATGACACATCTATAACTGTCAAGGATTTTGTAGTTATACATAGTTTTAACGATACAGGGTGTTAAATTATTCAAAAATTAGACGACCAAACCTATTTTTCCAAGGCTCCTTGATTAAGAATTATTAGTGTTTTTAACATAGCCATGGCACTCTAGATTGAAATTTAAATACGATTTTTATTAAGTGAGAATGTCAAAAGTTAACATATGATATGTCATTCTCATGATATGTCAGAATGTCATTTTATGTTAAAAAAATACCGAGGGTGCCATTTAAAAATCAAAAGTTTTAGTAATTTCTGGTGAAACAGAAATTACTAAATAGATAATTTATGTTATATACTAACATACCAAATCTCGTTTTTTTATCCGAAAAAATAAAAAAGTTATAGGGGTGAACCACTTTTGAGATGCACCCGGTATAAACATCAATTTTATATATAAAAATTATTTATCAAAACATAAAATTGGATGAAAACTACATTCATTTATTATTTATTAAAAAAGAGTGTAGAACAAAATATGCAGCATTCTCTTAAAAAAAATGTATGATCCCTGTAAGTCAATGATTTTTTTTTAAATGTGCACATCTATACAATACACATTTCCAAAATAATTGGATCGAAAATCTCAAATAGAAAACTTGATATAGAGCTTTTTGGAACACTGGGTCACCTTGTACATATGAACTATTTTTGATTACCTATTGAAAATTTATGCAAAGTTTAGAGAACAAAAAACCTCCAAGATAATTATTGTTATGTAATGCAAAACTATGAAGATTGTAAAATACATGCAATACTTATTGTAATACTGTTTTTATTTATTAGAAACTCCTGCAAACTTAAAATTATGTGGATAAGAAATTCTAATTTTAGCACACATGAACATCTACATGTGCTCAGAATTATCTTGAATTAACAGATTAATATTTACAATAGCTTTTAGTTCTTAATTACCTGTGCATAATCTGAGATCCCTACAGTTCCAATTTTACCATCTACCTGCACCCATTCATGCTTTGCGGTGAATAGTTTCTCTAGAAAATATTTTCTAAATTAAACATGGCAAAACTAGAATGTACTACAATAAGGCATCTTATTATCATGCTTAAAATTACGACACATCTTTAAAAAGACGAACTCGTGCTTCCTCACCTGAAAAAACTGATAAAGAAGTATGAAACGATTTCAGGTTAGAAGATTTCGTAAAAAATTGGTTGTTGTGGAAAACTCCCTTTGAAAAACTGCACCAAATACGTGGAACCACTGCCATTTTAACTGATAAGAAAACCAGAATTAAATTTTGACCGCTTTTATCACAAATTCGTTCAAATACTGACCGATTCTCGGATTCCGTCTAGTTGGTGTAGCAAATTTAAGTTATCTTAACAGCTCGGTGTCATAAGTCGTTTATTTTTAAAATGACGAAATTTAATTACTTAATATATTATTCCGCCTTAAAATTATGTTTAGAACACGAGAACGTCTTCGATAAAAATTTAAGAAAAAAATAAATTCAATTTAATAACCTCTAAATTTAAAATCTTTGACATTCTTGACCTGCGCCATCTTTTAGAAACTTTTTGTATTTTATAGTTGAGCAACGCAGAGGCGTAGCAGGGGGTATGCTTGTTTAAAACTAGTTTAATGGAAACAGAAAAATAATAAATGGAGAACGATAAAGGAAAAAGTAAGTAAAATTATCTTTTTTAATTGTAGAAATTGGTAGAAATTAAAAGACATTTTAATATTAAGTAAAATATTTATTGATAAAACTAAAATAAAAATAAATTAGCTGCATGGCAAAAAAATGGCACTACAAACAAAAATAAATAAATATACGATGGCATACAAAATACTGGTAACTACAAAAATTGTACTCTACTGACAATAAACTAGTATCGCTAAATATGAAAATTATTTTTTAGACTAGAAATAGGTGAATAATAAAATCTAAAATAAAAAGTTTTAAAATAAAATAGTACTTATGTAAGCTTTGGTATAAAGATAAATATTTGTCGCAATCACTTGGTATATTCTACGATTCAAATAAGTTTTATATAAATATTAACATATTGTATAGAAATGACATAATTTGGGGTGATGGCAAGACTAACTTTACAAAGAAGTATATATACATTTTAAATTCATAATGATCAAAACTTGGATATAGTAACTGAAATGTTCAAAATACAAAAAATCAAAAACTATTTTGATAAACTATTTTCATTCTTTACTTAGTACTTGAAAATGTTTTATATTAAAAAGAAATTAACCATATTCAGATTGTACTGAGAGGCTAAACTGACCATTGGGAATAGTAGTGGCATGATACCATACTCTGGTATCCACCAAAACTGAAAAAAAAATATATTAATAAAAAAATACTTTAAGAACTATACATACAGGTATTTTTTAAGTGATTTAATTTTTTTTTGGGTGTAATTCCTCATATGTTTTTAAAACAAAAAGATTATATGAACATGTGAAGTCTACAAGTAAATAATGTTCTATGTGATAAAAAATCGGTTTGTAAAATTTTTTTGTAAAATGTTCCATAACACCAACAATATATACAGGGTGGTCCGAACTGTATTCCGGAAACTTCAGCAGCTTATTCTGCAGATAAAAATAAGTAGAAAACTTCATATAAATGGTATCGTAAAATGCTTACATTCGGAGATACAGGGTGTAGAAGTTTCATTTTTATTTCGATTTTTTCCAAATAATTTCTGAAGTGACGGCAATATTTGGATGAAAATTGGTGTCTGGGAGTTTTTTGACATGAGAAATTTGATTTTGATGTCAATATAACTCCTACTTGTAGAGGGCGCCACCTACATCCGTTTTAACTTTACTGCTTTGAAGAGTAATCACTTTTCGTCCGTACCTGTATAAAACTACTGAGTGAACAAATATACATTTCTGTGATTTTTTAGGTAAAAAATGTCTCTTGGTAAAAATCGATACGAGCAACCGTTCTCAAGATATTTAGAATGGTATTAGTCAATACATGTCATTATTGACAAAAAAAATGGCCTAAAAAACCATATTTTCTCTTTACCGTTTTTCAAATATCTCCAAAATAACTGAGTTATTTTACTTTAAAAATTTCCAAAAAAAAATATTTTTTGCTTAAATTTTGAGAACCACTGCAGCTTTTCGGATTTTTCTGTCTTGTAAATTTAATCTACTGCCTATCTATGTTGCCATATTATCAACAAATTATGGTTTTTAACTAAAAAAAATTCAAAAGGTTTTTCAAAAAATTCCAAACTTTCAAAAAAAAAATTCGCGAAAAAACTCATAATCGTGTTTCTGGGGTCAAATATACCTACTACCGCGAATAATTGCACTTATTTAAGACTCGCTCGACAAAAAATCGATATTGTTATTTTTGACTTATTACATATTTTTTACTTAAAATTTATAAAAAGCCGTCAATTCAAAATTTCAAGAGCATTTTTATTCTCTTTAAATATTATTATGTACTTAAGAAAATTCGAAAATTTAAAAACCGTTTTTTATTTTTTAATCGCCTGTATATGACTTTATGACACACTTTGTATACCAAAAATAAAACTTTTGATTAGAGCCGTCTGAAATACAAAATCTTAATAATTCTAGAAGTTATCGAAATCAAAGTATTTCAAAGAAGTTCAATTTTGGCCACAAAATGTTTGTGAAATCTTGCTTTTTTTAACACTTTTTTTCAATTTTTTCTAATTACTTCCATTGACTGAAACTAATTATGTATGGTTGGATAGAGGGTGGATGGCGATCTTCCAGGGCGGTTTTTTATTTCTTATTTATATATAGATTATTTTCGAAATCGAACCAAAGTCAATTTCAAAGAAATTTTGCAAAATCTGAAAAAATAAAATCTCTCCAAAATAATAAATAGTGAAATGATTATTTACCCTCTATAGATAGAACCCCTACCTATGGTCCCATATAAACTGTGTTACTAAAATAAATAGTTTTGAAATATGAAGTTTTTTTTCAAATGAATATTTGAAATTTTCAATTGTGGCTTTACTTAATATACTCCCTTGATATTTTTTTTATTTTTCATCTCTTTCTTTGGTTTATTAAGGGCACTAATACTTTATTTATAGTTATTTTTTATTCCTTGAAGGATAATTGAAGAAGAAATATTTCGTTTATATTATTGATGTGCAACTAAATAAACCCTTGTATAAAATTTTATACTGCTAGATGTTATAGTAACGCATTTTTTAGTACAGCAAACTTTCATTCCCTATTCTACTCCCTAAGATTATAAATTTCATAAAATCGCTTTATCCAAATAATTAACTCATGTCTTTTAAATGATCCTTTGTGCCAATTTTTATGTGTATAATCCAGAGGTCACCAAGTTTTATATAAATCTTTACTAACTTTACCCATTTGGTTGATGAATTTCAAAAATCTCTTCTAATTCTTTTTGTAGGATTTCATTCTTCTAGACCACATAGTAAGGAATTTTCATACAACAAATTGTTCCGACATAATTTTACTCTCTAAGAGGATGAATTTCCTAAAATCGCTTTGTGTAGCTAATTCACTAATGTCGTTTAAACGAACCTTTGTTCTAATATTTATGTATCTAAAGCTGGCTGTATGAACTGATCCCTAAAATATCTAAAAACTTGATATATAATCTAACTGACAAACCACTGACAATAACAAATAATTTATTTTTGGAGGTATTGTGTGTAGGTGTTTTTCAGGTATGTTTTAATATTTAGTCGATTTACACAAAGAAATAGCCATTCAACAATTTAAAAATACTTCATAACAAATCTAGACATATATACCTTTCATTTAAAAAAATAATCATCAAGATTGGTAAAGCAGTTTCGGCGGGATGGATGTAACAAAAAAACCCTTTGAGCTTTTATATATGTATGAATTTTGTTGCAAATATTATTCCTAATCTTAATTTGAAAACCGCGTTTTGCTAGCTACTGTAATTTTGGAGTTACGATTTTTTAAAATTTTTAACCCCCTCCCATACCCCCTTACCAATCCCCCACCCCCACCAAAAACTAATGGCCAGATTCTCGGGTGCCACAATATTTTTGTGCCAAATTTGGTTAAAATCGGTTCAGCGGTTTTTAAGTTATCGTGTTACAGACGGACAGACGGACAGACAGACAAACAGACAGACAGACACCATGAAAATATTTTGTATTTAGGTCATTTATGACCCAAGTAACTCATTTTGAGTGAAATTAAAAAAACTTTTTTTTTGCCGATCCTAATAGGCCTAGATCCTAATATGGTCGGCTAATAAACATGTTGAGTAGATCGTTGTTTGACTGAAATGATAAATTTGAGATTTATTTTTTATTTCTTTAAATTAATCATAAATTTTTCTTCGAAAAAATGACAATAAAACAGTTTCTGTTGAACTTTTGGCTCAAAAACATTTCAAATTTATGATTTAAGTCTAATAACTATTTAGTCAACATGTTTAATATATGTCAATGATGACATGTATTGATAATTTAGATTCCAGATATCTTAAGAACCATTATTCGTAGCGATTTTTACCGAGATACGTTTTTTGCGTAAAAAACATTGTAAATTTATATTTTTTTAATCAGTAGTTTTATACAGGTACTTAGGGACGAAAAGTTATTACTCTTCAAACCAGTTAAAAAACATGTAGTTGGCGCCCTTTACAAGTAGGAGTCATATTGATATCAGAAGAAAGAAGGAAGAAGGATTTTATATAAGCCGCATCAGCTGCTGGGCCATTTAGCGGCATCATATTGACATCAATATCAAATTTCTCATGTCAAAAAACTCCCAGACCCCAATTTTCATCCAAATATTGACGACACTTCAGAAATTATTTAGAAACAATCGAAATAAAAATGAATCTTCTACATCCGGTATCTCCTAAACTAAGCATTTTAGGACATACATTTATACGAACTTTTTTACTTATTTTTATCTGCAGATATACTGCTGAAGTTTCCGGAATACAGTTCGGACCACCCTGTATAGAGTGCTAAGTGCCACGGCTATTAAATTATATTGAAAAAAATTCTCAACAGAGACACCTCCCTTTCTTATACATTGATTATATAACAAAAAATATTGTTTATCTCGAAATAATGATTTTGGCAAATTATTTACTGCATTTGGTCTAAACTACCCTTTTTAACAACTGTAGATGAAAATCTACAGTTGTTAAAAACACAGTTGATCTAAAGTGTTAAAAATAAAAAAAAATCGAATTTAATCGGCTTAAAATAAATGGTACGCCACTGCATTTTTTCGAGAAAATTTCATTTTTGAATTTTTAGCAGAAAGATCGATTAAAACGGTAGTAGACCGAGCTTGGAGAACAGTGCAGTCGTTATCGTTAAAATAGTTGAGTGATTTTATTAATTTTTTATTGTTTTTCTTCTAAATAATAATTAAGAATTTTCTAATTTTTATACGTGGAAAAAAATTGCAAAAAAAACTGATTTGGTATTCTTCTGCAGATATAGCCTGTGAGATAAGATATGTCTAAAAAAACGAGCAAAAGGACTTTACCTTTCGGACACTTTTTCTCCCTAAGCGAAAATACCGCAGTATTTGTTCAGATAAACATTTAGCTATATAAGAACTATTTACAGTTACAATAATGTCGTCAAACATTTAATAATTCATCTTAATTCTACTTAGTAAATATATAAGTACCGTATGATCGAAAAAAAACGACGTCCAGTTTGCTGGGAAATGAACATCAATGACATTTCCCATATAAATTTACATTTAAAATGACATAGCCATCGCTGACGCCGTTTTTTCTCGATCATACGGTATTATATTAATCATTAACAATGAATAAAAAATCAACTCTTATTTATACAGTTTGTCCCACAAAGCAACAAATGTGTTTCAAGTTGTTTATTATATCAATCCCGGTAATATAAAAAATTATAAAAATATAGTAGTTGGTCTCTTTTCTGGAACTCTAACTGGAAACCACACACCAAAATTAAATAAAATATCGTTAAAAAATAATAGTTTCCAACACATTGCCAGAAATTCAAGTTTTTAATCTTTTTAACATCCTGTAGATCAAAATCAAAAAGGAAGTATTTTAGACCTCATGTTTGTATGAACTTTTTCTAAAATCACATGAAAAATCATACCCTTATTTTTAGACTATTTAGGAAATATAGATCATCCTGTATATCACTACAAATTGTCAATTTTTTCAAATATTACTAACCTCCATCACCAGGATATACTTTAAACTCTACTGGTTTACAGACTGCTTGGCACTCTGGAGGTGGCAACAAATTCCATAATTTCTCCCCTTTTAGTTGAGCTTGCCACATTAATCTATTTATAAAATCCAACTACAAAACATTAAATTTATAATAAACAATATTTCAAATCATAGATTTTTCCTACATGCATAGTTGCACCATCATCGTATCCCATGAAAACATACTCTTTATGAGGTATTTCAGAATCTGCAGGCAAGAAATTAGGCTTAGAGTAATATTTCCTCATTTCTTGTAAAATTACTGGATGACAGTTACCCCTAAAAATAAAACAGATTTTATAAACTTGTAGTTTTTAGCAAAAAACAATTTTCTTGCTTACCACCCAACATACCAACTTCTTTCACCAGGCTTATTATTACTTCTAGCTTCACTCATACTAAACACATCCTTTATAGAAATAAAATCAGATTTAAAATGTAGAAATTGGCACTCCTCCTCCACACTTTTATAGGAGTCTTCTATGTCAGCATAAAGTTCTTTAAAAAAATGCCAGCTGAATTTTGTCTTAGCTGGCCAATATAAAAAAGCGCCCCTTGCAACAATAGGTTGTGAGGAATATGCATAAGGATTAAACGTTTCTTTACTAACATTATGCAATATAACAGGTTTGGTAACATTTGAGCAAAAATTACAGTCTGAAATTGGTCTTGTTGCTTCCCAAATAAAATAATTGTTCGGAATAACGCATCGTATTCCAAATATAAAGCTGAATATATTTAACTGGTAGATTATCGAAGTGAGCAAAAACGTTAACGAGACAATTAATACTATACGTTTCTTATTAAATTCTTGTTTTTCTTGTCTCCTAGAGAATATAGAAACTTGTAGCTCTTCTAGTGAACATTCCAACTTGAGGTAGTGTTCCAACACATTATGTATCTCTTCTTTGACTACATTTTGTAAAAGTTCCTGAGAAATTTCAGGCATATTGTTTTAAACATTTTTAACTTAAATATAATTTAATAAACAATTTTTGCAACAACTGTTTATTTTTGTGAAACGTCAACATATCCACAGAACATATCAGCTGTTTGTTTAGCCTACGGAGATATGTAAGTGAGGAGAGGGGCGTAACATCAGCCAGCCATATTGGTAGTAGTTTTGTGTCATTTGCTCTTGTTCATGTTTTTCTGTGATTTTCCCCTAAATTAAATATTTATTTTTCATGGATAATTTGAGTGTTGTTTATTAATAAACCATGACGTCGTGTGTTGTACGCAGTTGTAGGAGCAGGAAAGGAGCCGAAGAAACTTACCAAAGTAAATTTTACAGTTAATATGCACTGGACAGGTCCGTAACGCAGCTACTACAAAATTATCGACAAAAAAATAAAAATTAGGTAACGGAATTACGAGGCATAAGTTTACTACAGCTCTTCTACACAGGGTTCAAAAGTAATTAATTAAGACGTAATTTACCTGATTAACTAAGTGTAGTTTTTCTTCAAAAACTACGTCTTTTCCCGTTCATTAACTACATGAAAACTACGTTAATAAACTATGTATTGATATTATGAATTGCTTGTATGAGGGGTCTAAATAATATGATGTGTGAATATTATATTTAAAGCCATATTTCTTCTGTTTTCTTAAATACACTGTGTTTTCTAAAGCTTCGACTTATTATAACCTCAACTCAAACCTTTGATATTTGAAAGTTACATACATAGATTACATAAACTACACCCTCTACATAAACTACATTAACTACATGTAATATAGTTTATGTAGTTTTTAAAAGTAACATGTAGTTTTCCGAACCCTGCTACAGCATGACGGATATACATTTAGAAGATTGTTATTACGTTAGCTCCAGGCAAATTTAAATTATTGTTTGCTTTTATTATTTGAAGTTTTACTTAATCCGGTTCTGTCTAAATAGCCTTTTGCCCCGCCCGCTGATACCGTTTTTATCGAGCGAATATTATACTTACGTCTCCCCTCTCCTATCCCTCCGTGGTTTAGCCACAGAAGAAAAATATGAATAGATTTTTTCTCGGTCTGCGTGACAGTGACAACTGACAACTGCCCAACCACTTGACAGAAAATTGTTCTATTTTTAAAAGTTTTTAAATCACATTTTACTTTTTTTGGTAAGAAAAGTGATCTAGAGTTTAGTGATTTATATTTCACTTCTATATCATTCGAATATGGGTGAAGATATTCAAAGAAAACTTCAATTAGAGCTGGACAGTTTTAAAACTGTGCAAAAAGGTAGCACACAAAATAAAGCTTTAACCTAAGTAAACACCTGATTTTTAATTTCGTTTTTAGAACTACAGAAAGCAATTTCTACAAGGCAACAACTAGATGGACAATTAAACGAAAACGAAATAGTTAAAAAAGAACTAGATCTTTTGCCAGCTGATGGTAAAGTGTTCAAATCAGTAGGGCCTGTGTTAATCAAAACCGAGTTGGTTGAAGCGAAGCAGAACGTCTCTAAAAGAATGGATTATATAAGTAAAGAACTGAAAAGAGTTGACGACCTGATAGCTTCCTTAGAAAGGAAACAAGACACTCACAGAGAAGGTTTGCAGAAACTTCAACACCAGTTTCAACAGGCTCAAGTGAAAGCAGCTTTACATGCTTAGTTTTTATTATACAATATAACTCCTACTGTTAGGAGGAGTATACTACTCCTACTGTTAGGAGGAGTATACTACTCCTACTGTTAGAGGAGTATATTTATTATTATTTTATACTAATGCTTTCTTTCATTTAATTAAGATGTTAATATATGTAGAAATATAAGAGGTGTTTTTTTGAGGATGCTCAATACATATCATTCTCATCTATAAACTAATTATTATACATAAGGTTTATTTACGTTATAGGTAGACTGTTATTTACGTTATAGGTAATCAATCTCTTGGATGGTTTTTGAAATTATGGCAAGATCTTGTGCCTTTAGTTTTGTATCTGCTATAAAAATTAGTTTTTCTAATTGTGTTAGTTACATCGTAAAGTATTTTATGTTTAATGCTTTCTTTGATTTAATTAAGATATTAATGCATAGAACGATAACAAATGTTTTATTTAGGGTGTGGAATACATATCTTTTATTCTCATCCATAGATTTGGTTTATCTATGTTATAGATGGTTTGAGGTGATAGATAATTTTTCGAATTCTCAATTTTCCAATATTTTCTCAAGTTCTCCATGTTTTTAAAACATTTCTCCCTTTCTTTTGCCGTCGTATTTAAAATATAATGATTTTCTTGGGCTGTTTTTGATATTATATCCAGATTTTTACTTGTTACTTCATATGAGGTCTTATCTCGAATTTTGTATCTGCTATAGAAATTGTTGTGCTCTAATTGTACCGTTTCAAGATAAGACGGTGGGTCTCTTTTTTGAGCCTGCTTTTCAATGACTTTTTTCATATCTTCAAAAACGGGTGCCCTATGTTGTAAAGTATATCGGAAAATATTCCTTAAACTTGCAACTTGTATAGGGTTAACGTGGAACATGTTTGTGAATGAAGAATGAATGGAAATATGAACGAATGAATGAATAAAATGGAAATGAATAAAAAAACGGAAATTTGTAATATATGTGACAACTGCCTTATGTCTAAAGTATTTCAGGTGCATAAATGTGAGTTGAAGTTTTTTGGTGGGCAAATGTGTTTTATTTGTTGATTTCTTGTGTTACAAAAATATATTGTTGTTTATACAGAGTATGGTCAAGGACATAGGTACATTGGCGTAAGTACAGGGGTAATTTTTTTTAAAATGATTGATGAATTTTCATATTTTTTTTAAATTTTAAAATCGCAACCTGCGATTGGCTCTCATCAGGGGCGCATACACGGGATGGGTCTCTCTCTTCAGTCCTTCACTCTACGTGAGAGTATGGTGACATCATATGTTGATTCCCCTTACTTCCTCGGACAAAGTTGTTCGACACTGCGCCATATGTGAAGCTTCGGGGAGGTTGTGGCCCACTAGGGTTTCGACTTGGTCTACCTACCTCTTAGGTGACCTTCCACGTGATCGTCTTCCCTCTACCTTCCCCTCCACCAACAGTCTCTCAATTGAGGTGCCACTCCTGGCAATATGGCCAAAATATCGGAGGATTGACTGATTTAATCTGGTAACCAGACGTGTCTCAATTTTTAGTTCCTCTATAATGGAAATGTTTGTTCGATGAGCCGTCCATGGTATTCGCAGCAGCCGTCGATATACCCACATCTCCAAGGCATTTATTCTTTGCTTATCACTTTCCTTTAGTGTCCATGTTTCGGAGCCATACATAGCTATGGGGAATATGAGGGAGTTCGCAATGCGCAGTTTAGTTCTTCGTGTGATTGCTGAAGTCTTCCATATCTTAGTCAGCTTTGTTGTTGCATTCCTCACCATTGCCACTCTACACCTGATTTCAGCCTCGCATCCTCCAGAGTTTGCTATCATGGAACCTAAGTAGTTGAACTGGCTCACAACCTCGTATCCAGCCACGGTTCGGACATCAGGTTGGTTATTGCGGAGGGGTAATGGGGGTAATTACCCCTCCTAGGAAGTAATTTAAAAATAAGATAAAATGTGGCATTAGATAAAACGTCATAAAAGAAATTAATAATACCAATCAAAATAGAAAATGCAGGCCAATCCAAGTTTATTTTTTTCCACACTCACTACTTCATCGTAAATTTAATTTAAATCTAAAATATTGCCACTACCCACTACCCCTTCCACACTCAATCTCTAGATGCGCCACTGGCTCTCGTAGGAAACTGTGACTGCAACTTTTTTTTTCTATTTGGGTGTTTCAATTTAAGCAACCAATATTACTATAGTTGCGATTTTGCTGCGATTTGCGATTTTATTGCGATGGGGAATATATCCTAGTTTACAAAATCACGTAAACTAGGACCATGATATAACCATCTATCTGCGAATTTAAATTTTTAGGAGTTGCGATTTTGTTGCAAATGTAATTTTGTGGTCCATTGAAGCATTTTATAGTAAACTGCGATTGAATTATTTTTCTGATTTTATTTATTTATAGAGAAGGTATTATTTTTCTAGGGACAAGAACATAATATACCGGGTGTTTCTCAAGAGTGGTTCACCTCTATAACTTTTTTTATTTTTTCTGATAAAAAACCAGATTTGCTATGTAAGCATATAAGATAAATTAGCATTGATTGACAAATTCAATTCGTTTCAATCACTTTCTATTTCACCGGGAATGACTACAACTTTTGATTTTTAAATTGCACCCTCGGTATATATTTCTACTTTATTTGATGAAAATGACAATCTGAATAGAATGCCTAGTAGGTACACTATTAAAATATTAAAATCGCAATCGCAGGTTACAGTCGCAGCGATTTAAAAATCGCAATTGCAGTTTCAATTGCGATTGGAGAATCGCAGTTTTGCTCATCTCTAATAGAAACTGTGAGAAATTAAAAAACAATATATTTTTACAGTAGGCTACAAGGAATTATTTACTAAATAAAAGACATATATACATAAAGCCTGTCCAAGGAGTCGATATTACTTCGATAGACGACATCCAAAAAATGATAGAAAATACAATTTATTAATGAATTAAAATGGCACACAAAACTGACTGTCAATATCATGTATCCTCTCACTGGACAGACTTTACTTATTTTATATTTGTTTAATTTTAATCTTAAATTATGATATACATATACATATTATTATTTTATATCGCATAATAAAGCTACCCCTCGCAATGTCCAATGCCTAGGGTTGTGGTCGGTCTCAAAATCGATGCTTCCTACGTACTTTTGATCAGTTCTTTGGGGCTTTCTATAAATTGGACATTCGTAGAGTCTTGGATCCTTTCCTGCTGTTGTATTAATTGCGTAAATGTAAATTACAGGCATCTGTTCATAGAGGATCTGTGAAAAAAAACATTAGTACCTATAGAAAATAAATAATTTAATTAATATACTAAATTTAAGTCAATTAGCTAAATAATTGTGGGGAAAATTTTTATTACACCAAGTGCGTCTTAAAAGTGGCTCACACTTATAAATTTTTTTATTTTTTCAGATATAAAAACAAGATTTGGTATTTTAGTATATGACATAAATTAGGATTGATTGACGTATTCAATTGTTTTCGGTTACTTCTTGTTTCCCCGGAAATTACTACAACTGTTGATTTTTAAATGGCACCCTCGGTATGTGTCTACCTTATTCGATAGAAAATGACATTCTGAATAGAATGACATATCATATATCAACTTTTGGCATTTTCGCATATGGCTTATTTGAAATTGTAAAATGCGATTCATAACGATAATTTGACTCGAAATACCATGTGTGTGGTTCCAAATTATTTGTAAAAAAATGCTTTTTCCAAATATGCTAATGAGTCACCATTGTTCCATTGAAAAAATTGAGATATTAAAAATACGATTTGGGCATCTTTTAACCGACCAGGACAAGGCACGAAAAAATTAGAAAAACAAATCTATTTTTCCAAGACTCCTTGATTAAAAATTAGTGTTTTTGACACAGCCATGGCACTCTAGATTGAAATTTAAAATACGATTTTCTTTTAAGCGAAAATGTCAAAAGTTGACATATATGATGTGTTATTCTATTCAGAGTGTCATTTTCTATCGAATAAAGTAAAATACCGGGTGCTATTTCAAAATCAAAAGTTGTCATTCATTTCCAGTGAAACAGGAAAAGTGACCAAAAACAATTGAATACGTCAATATCAATCCTAATTTATGTCATATACGAAATCTCGTTTTTTCTCTGAAAAAATAAAAAGGTTACAGGCACAGAACAGATACAAATTTTGTATCTGTTCTGTGTTACAGGGCTGAGCCATTTTTGAGACGCACCCGGTATAATATGCCGTATGATCGAAAAAAAATGCTTAAATCGTACTGGTATGAAAGGAGCAACAACACAGAGGTAAGTTTAGGCAACATTATCAAAAATAACAAAATACATTATTTAACGGTCTTTTTAGAAATAAGATGGTGGTTTAACCATGTGGAATGTAAGGTAATATTCTCTAGTTTGAGAAAAAATAGACATTATCAATTACATTCGCTGGAGCTATACAAAATCCCTGACCATAAGGCATCCAACTGTTAGAGAACAAATACAAATAATCTTTGATATGCATTTTTCTAGAGGAAGTCATGCTACTTGTAAAAGGTCTTAGGAATTACTGAACACCTTACTGAGCTTTCTAAATATACCACAAGGTGTCCCGCCATTGCAATTATACACTACAATTGCTATAATTTTACTACACTAAGCATACTCGATAGCACTAAGTGTACTCGATAGCTCTAAGCGTAATCGATAGGCATTTTAAGGTAACTTAATGCCGGTCATTTTTCGATCATACAATGTGATATCACAGCTTAAGTAAAAAACAGCTCGGACAGTGTAGCGTACCGCTTTGATCTTTTTACGCTCGGATTTGCGATTCGAAAGAGGTAGAACAGTAGAGCGGCGAGCTCTCTCGCCACAACCAATAGCCGCGTAAGCGGCAGTCAGCCCAGAGATGTTTAAAAAATTTTTACACGTGACGAAAAAAATTATTCGACTGGTGCTAGAACATAATTTAGATACACGTTTTTTAAATTGTTGACTTTAAATAAATATGCATTCTCAAAGAAAAACATTTAAAAAACAAATTAATTAATTTATTTCTAGAAATAACAGCAAAATGAAATAGGTACATTGATTACTTATAGTTATTTACGAATGTTTCCAAATTAGGAGCTTTCGGTTTTTGTTTGCTACATTTAAGTTCTTATTAATATTCTTTAAGGTATTAATAAATTAACTTTTGCGTATAATTTTAACAAAAAATACATTATAAGAAAATTTTGACAAGGATGGTTGAATTTAATTGTCTGAAATAATTTAACGAATTTACATAATATATTTTCATTTAAGGAAAGTTCTACAAAATTGTTCAGATAAATTTTATAAAAAACTTTTTTAAAAATAAGTTTTTATTTAAATACACTAAAAAGAATAAAATAAACTTTTTCTTTAAAACTTTTATTATGAACTTATAACGTCATTACACAATTTTAATATTAATATACAAAAGCTTGCCGCGAGATTTGAGTGTACAGTTGCACTCATAAAAATCTGGTACGACAATTTTATCTTGTAATTCCTGGTTCCGGTTGACTTTGAAATTTTGACATGTCATTAAACTGTCATTTTTTCAAGATGGCCGTCCATATATTTTTTTCATATGTATATACCCACAATATACCTATATATATAACTTTAGCCCGATCCATTCATAAATAGAATTTTAAAAAATCAAAAACCTCAAAAATGCCGCCATTTTGACAGCTGTCAAAAATTCGGGTCATGCCTTGCAAAAAATGGTCATCGGGTCTGAACCTACATGCCAAATTTCAATCTCCTACAATAAAAGGAAGTGGTTCTAATTTAGCTTACAAGATTTGCCCCGCAAAAACATACATTAATACATAGATAGTTACATACGACGCTTATAAAAATAGCCTCCAATGAGGACACTAAATAAAAAAATGGTCACTTGGCATTAGCAAGCCTCCAAATAAGTGGTCTTTATCGTTTTGAAAAGCTCTAAAGTGTGAATACTTTTGAATTCAATTGAAAATTAAACAGACTATATTTTGAATTATTTCCATAATTATTTGTGTAACCAGCAGCCGCACATCCCGGAAAACCTTTTCCCATTCCAACAATAAAAATAAAATTGAAATAAAAGCACAAATACCTATGGTTAAATATAAGAAAAAATCGAATTAAAATCTTCCGTAATACGGCCCTACACGTCACCGGTGGATGTTATGCATCGACTGAATGAGGGTGACTGTCGCTCGCTTAATTCAGTTAAGCATCGTCTGAGTGGGGCGTTTTAAATTCGAGCGTGGGAAAAATTGGCGAGTGTCCAAGCTATATTATTCTGTAAGCTGTGGTGATATAATAATATTAAAGTTTTATTATTAATAAAAATTTTATTATTAATAATAATAAAGAGGAGATTAGAAATTCAATAATGCTAAGAAAGTTTGTAAATTTTTCATGGCTCATATTGAAATATTGAAACTTTTTTAGTTAACTAACCCAATTAGAACAGGAAAACTTTGATGAGGAAAATTTTGTAGAAAAGGAAGATATTTTTGGAATTGAAGTGGGTCATCTATTATATAAACATATGAACGTACCTTAGCCTTACTTTCACCTAATTTTCCAGTTCTTCGATCCAAACTTGCTCCTTCCAGGAATAATCCATGAACATAAACCCCTTCTTGAGGCCCTTCTTTAATTTCATCTTTATTGTAACGTGTGATTAAGTTTTGCAAAACCACCGAATCCAAAGCCCAACCTTTATGCGCTCTAGTTACATCCTAAAAGTACGAAATAAGTTTTCATTAGTATTTAACTTCTGACTATAGTCTGTCCGACGAATCTACAAAGATTTTGATAGACGACATCTAAAAAATGGCAGAAATTACAATTTGCCTGTGAATTAAACTGACAGACACAAGTATCACTGTCGTGGACTCTCTCGTTAGACAGATTATATTATTGATTATTTCAAGATAACTATATGGAAATACATATTCATAATGAAATAATTTTACCTGTCTCATTGCAGTCAAAAATCCTTGAGGATTGAAAAATCCAGTCATCCAAAATACGTTTGGTTTCCCACTATTGCACCAAGTTCTAAATTGGATATCCCGTTCTAGTAGTTCTGTGTACCAAAAGCCTAAAGTAGCTGATTCCCAAGATATCTGAAATATTTAGTTTTGGTTAAACAAGTAAGTGGTCAGATTCATTCATATTTAATAATGAAATAATTTTAAGTTCGCTTATTATATCACACTGTTTAAACAAAAACTTTTATAATCATTGGGGTTCAGATGATTTTTTAAACGTAAATGTCAAAAGTTGACACATGATATGCCATTCTATTCAGAGTGTAATTTTTTATCGAATAAAGTGAAAAAATACCGAGGGTGAAATTTAAAATTAAAAGTTGTGTCATTTCCGGTGAAACAGGAAGTGATCGAAAGGAATTGAATACTTCAATCAATCCTAATGTATTTCATATGCTAACATACCAAATCTCGCTTTTTTATCAGAAAAAATTAAAAAGTTATAGGGGCGAACCACTCTTGGAAAATAATACCTTCTCTATAAATAAAATCAGAGAAAAAATTCAATCACAGTTTACTATAAAATGCTTCAATGGACCACAAAATTACCTTCGCAACAAAATTGCAAATCGCAACTCCAAAAAATTCAAACTCGCAGTTAGAAGGTTACAAAATCACAATCACAGCGAAATTGCAAATTGCAGCAAAATCACAACTCGCAACAAAATTGCAACTCGCTACTATAGTATCTAATATTAGTTGCCTAAATTGAAATTTCTAAATAGAAAAAATCGCAGTCGCAGTTTCCCATGAGAGCCAATCGCAGGTTGCAATCCCGATTTTAAAATCGCTGCGATTGAGTCGCAGTTTGCGATTTGTTGCTCATCTCTAACCTTAATTATGTTATATTTATTTTTATCCCTTATATTATTTTTGTGACACTAATTTCTATAACGTACAAACATTTCAAAATATTTAGGCAACAAGCTGAAATGTTACATGGCGAATTTGGAACTTTACAGTAGTTATATGCAAATTCCAAAGCTGTTCTTACTCACACAATTTTTTGATGATCGATATTTATTTTTAGGAGTTCAAAAGGAATAATTAGTTTATCTATTTTTGAAGTTTTAATACCTTTTGCCATTTTTCTGGTATCCTAGCGTCATACATCGCATCCAATGCTGTCCTTAAATTGAAACTCATCACAATTGTACCGTCTATGGCCAGTTTTAAATCTGATAAAGTCACTTTTACCTAAAAATTATTAACATTTACTGAGGATTCTGATTAAAAAAAACTTTTATCTGATTTTTACCTCTTTAATAACTTTTTGCATTCTGTCTATTTCTTGTCTCAAGAAGATGTTCATGGGTAAAAGAGGACCCATTCTATTTAAAGCTTCTTTTACCTCAAAACTGTTATACAAATTGGGAAGTTTCTCTAACATATCTTCTGCTAAAGCATAAACGACGCTTTCACGTGTTTCACCTCCACCGCCTCCGCCTTCTTTTGGTTGTACACTCAGTATAGTATCAAGGATACCTGCAAGTAGTAATAGAAACACACAAATTTTTAAAGAATAATTATTTTCTTTAAATGTCAAATTATTATTTACTAAAATGTCTAAAGGTACGTCCGTATTTAAATATATAACAAAAAATTTAATCACAAATATGTATACATTTTCTTGCTCTTTTGTTACTGTTTGTCATCTGCATTACTTACCTTTTGCTGTATTGATCTGGTACGTTATATCTGCATTTGAATGAAGTCCAAAAACTTCAGGAGTATCCGTGGTAGGTAGATTGTTTATATAATCGAGATATCCAGTTAAATTTCTCGTTTGCGGTACTCTGTATCCAGTGTAAAATTCAAAACCAGGACGAAGAAGTACATCGCAGAACCAAACCTAACCATAAAAAGCTATTATTTAGTTTATTAACCATAAAAAGTATTAAAATATTGTGAACCTACTCTTCAAGAGTGTCTTTTACTAATATTTAGTTTATTAATCATAATTTTTTTTTAAATATTGTGTATATCTCTTTAAGGGCGTATTTTTCTACTACTAACCAAGATTTTCAGTAAAATAGTATATTGTATATTATATATAGTATATTATATATTAGGAGTAAAAATGACACTTTTTGTGACGAGGTTGTACGTTTTACATACAGGCGAGCCATAAAAAGTCATTTTACTCCGAATAGAACATGCTATTTTTTGTTATGTTCAAACATTCCAAATACTATAAAAAGATTTAAAAGTAATACTTTGTATGTAATTATATATCGAGAAACTATGGTTACGCTAGTTGAATTTGACACTTTATGTCAGTTTAATACTATATTTTCGTACTTTTGTGCTTAGGCGTAAAGTGCTTTACTTTTATGCCTAGGCGTTAAAATAACTTTTTAAATTGTCAATCACGTCGCAAAAATTAATACTTTTGTGATTGAAAAAATATACTTTCGGTTATAACCTTTGATATTATGATTCACCTTTTATTATTTCTGATACATGAACAAAGCTAATTAATATCTGTTGCGCAAGACTTCCCATCAGTAACTATTTAACTATTTAGAGCTGAAAGACAGGCAAGTTTAGAGAAGCAGATTACATAAAATAACAATGGTTAACTATCCAAGTACTGAAATTCCAGCACTGACTATGAACCATATTATCACGAGTATCTACTATCTACTGTCTCTTATTTGTTTTGTTTCTTTTTTGACAATTTAGCTTTAGCTTTTACTTGAAATCGGTTAGTTACGATTATCTAGCCCAGTGATGGCAAACCCTTTGGGTTCGGTGTGTCAAAGTTTAAAAAATCGAAACATGTGTGTCACATATCACAAAATTAAATACTAAAAAAGGTAGAGATCTGTTGTTTCTGTCAACAATTCGGTACATTCGGTTTTGAAATGGACGGCTATACTTATATTCCTTAATCAATCAATTATCGATTTTAATTTTTTTGATTCTCCATCACAAGTATGCAAAAGGAAGTCAATATAATTCACGGAATTATTTTTATAAAAAGTTGATAGGTTTCTTCCTTATTAACTTTCTGGAATATTGTTGCACTGATTACTGGTATCATAAGACTCAAACATACCGAAGATATTTCTCCTCTGTGTCGGAGAAATATCTCGTAGCGTATGTCTCGTACGTGTTATGATTTTTATGAGTACCTTGTTTATATAGTGTATTGTTATGATTAACAAATTGTGGTTTATGTATATGTCAGATTGTATTATTTATAATGCATGTTTTTTATGTTACGGGAGATAACAGTGTGAGTGAGGCGCCCGCCGCAGTCAGTCGGTACCGTGCGCTCGCACGATACACATGTTTGTGTCGTAATCCTAAGTACTAAAATGTAATAAAGGAGTTTTGAGGGAAATCCAGTCTTTTATTTGAAAATACAAGTTGTACTGTTACATACGTCTGGTTCAGAATGAAATTATTAATTATTTTTTATTAACGTAAGTAATAATATTATTATTAATAACCAATGCGGCCCTTATGAGAGAAATATTTGAATTATGAAATTTTATGTCTTTGAAAATGCGTGTCAACAGAAATGAGCTCGCGTGTCAGCACTCAGCGTTTCATAGGTTCGCCATCAGTGATCTAGCAGAAACACAGGGTGTTTAAGCAATATTTTAGAACAAAGAAACATCACTTGTGTTAGTCTACTCACGTGAGTAAATGTTGTCAGAAGTCTCTTATCGAAATCATCCGTAACCCTACCGCCATATTGAACTTCGCCCAACATATAGCAAACAGTCGGCCAAGATACTCCTTTTTTAGGGTCCATATCGTCTAAATGGTTTTGGATGAATTGGACGCTGGCTGCAAAGTCAGCTTGATTGAATTCATAGGGCACATTCCATCCTAAAGTATTGACGATTATTATTTTAATTAAAAGGGAATATGATCAATGTGTTACCTAATGGTCCAAATTTCCTTCTTTCTTGGACCACTGTGTGTAGAAACGCGACGGCAAATAGTAACGGTGGCCATTGGGATTGTGAGGAGTAGTCTAGGAAGTCCTGCGTTATGTTTTGGTAAGTTCTTTTCAAGCTTGCCCTAATCCCTGAGAAAACAAATAAACCACTGTGTTTTTTTAAATGTATTTTACAATTAACTGTAACTAAGAAACAATAAGTTTTACTAAGTATCTACAGTAGAAGAATACTTTAAAATAAAGTTGTCATAATATATGAGGATATGATTCACTTTTTACTATTTTTGACAAATAAAAAAATGAAGACAGGGGTTAAATAATGCTATCCATGTATTCATACATTATAGCCGTAATTAACATCATAAACTCCCATCCTAGATAGTTCTGTTTGACGTTTCAATTGACACATTTGAATTTTATTTGAAATTTTGGAGATTGTTTTGCTTTTTTGAGCTTATTTTGTGTTATTTTTGCACTTATTCTACATTTTGTTTGGTTCAAAGGTAGTAAATCCGTATTCGATACTAATTAAACTTTTAATTACTTAATCGAGGGCGCGATTTTTAAATTCATTGTTGCCATCCGTGAACATATTCGGCGCCGGACGGACTAACTGGAATTTAAATTTCCCGCTGAGGATTCAGGTGATAGCTCTGCTGTAAAAAATGTGAAGTAGTCATATTTATTTATTTATTTCCTGACATTGTTATTCGTTTTGACACTTTGGTTTTGTATTATAAGTTTTTGGTTTAAACGAATTGTGTTTGGTTGATACTTTAAGTTTAAAAATTTTTTACTAGCAGACCTTGCAGTCGAAGTACATTGTTCTTTTAAAACCACTTTTAGTGCGAAGTGGTACAGGATAGCTGAATAGCCGTAAAAAAACTCATCGCAGCTTTATTAGAATATTTTGAACGGGAAAGCAGCAGTAACGACCCTATATGTCCCTTAAGTGCTGTTAAGGAGGTGAGTTTCGTTTATGTAAATAATAACTGTTTATATATTTATAATTAATTTATTTTTGTTTCCTAAAATATTTGGATAAAAGAAAATATGTAAAAGCGGGCAACGCTGGACCGGCCAAGCTTAATCACGTGACTAATAGTTTATTTGGTATGAACTATAGAAGGATAATGTGTCAGAATTTAAATTATCAGTGAGATTATTGCGAATTCCAGAAAAAGACTGAAATGATAATTTTCGAAGTAAATTAAGTAATTATTATATCGTATCTATTTTTATATTAAAAATATATGAGTTTTAACAATTTTAATTACTAATAAAATTTATTAGTTTACCTTGTGGTGGTTCGTTAGTAAATTTGATAGCCATTTGAAGTAAACCAATAGGAAATTGTTCGTGCACCTCAGTTGTCAACCATATCCTAAAACTGTCGTTGACATGTTCGGCATCCATCAGCATTGTCATTGTTTCAGTGGCGAAGGGCAACGACAAATGAATATTTTGCAGTAAAACCCAACCGCCATTCTGTAGGGCGAATTCTATCATGTCTCTGGCCACTACTTCTTGACCTTGTCCCATCGATACGGCTTTCAATGCTGAAATAAAAAGAATTATGTTTCATTTTAAATACTTTTTTATCGGGACGGGAGATACACCTCCTGAAACGTTAAACATTTTTTTTCGGTTAGGGTCAGACTTAACCCAGACTTTTTTGAAGAAATAAACCCGCCAGAAAGATAGAAATATTAAATTTACCTACCAGGAAACTATGACAAATGAGAACTGGAACTATTTTCAGAAAATAAAATACAAAATAAAGCAAGAAGTTGTCTTCAATCAATGTTAAAATCTTTTTTCTAACAGGGTAACAAACCAAGGCAACACAAACGAGATTTAAAACTTCTGCGTGACTATAGAAAAGTATTAAGCCCGGACCCCATTAGCCAACACGCTACGCCACGTGATGCCATGCTACCCCACGTCATGAAGATATGTGCGTATGTTTTTCCATTTAATTAAATGTATTGCGTATACACTAGGCAACACGCGACGCCATCCGACGCTATAACACGCTATGACACGTGTGATGGTCGATTCGTCGGTCCCAGATCTCACCGACGTGTGTTACGGCGCGGCGTGTTATTCCCCGCTTGCCTCTCTAGTCCCGCAGCTATCTACTTTTGAAGTTGATGTAGGAATGCCCCAAAAATAAAATAAATCGACATTTTGAATCGATTTAACATCGGATATAACAAGATAGATCCAGAAAAAATCGGCAACAAAAGATTGATCCCCAAAAGATTGATTTAATAATATCGATATTCGATTCTGAATATATTGGTGTACTGGTATTATGATTATAATCTAATATCGGTATGGGTATCGATATTTCTAGTATTTTTGTAACCCTTCTGATAACTTTTTAACTCTAATAAAAATTTCAGGCGTGTAAACACGTGTTACCTAATGTGTACACCCATTCCCACGTCGAGTGTTGGCTAATGGGGTCCCGGCTTTAATATTTTACATATAGTCCAGCAAGTGTTTAACAGATTAATGAATGAATAAGGACTTAAAAGTACTGAAAACCCCCCAAAAGAAGGAAACTGGAATTTATTGGATACATTGAGGAACAAAAGAAAATATTTTCTGAAATCAGTTTTCTCTTAAGTATAACAATATTATAGGACCAAGAAGGATATTACACTAAAAAAATTAAGAATATGACTAAAATAATGACTAAAAACCTATTCAATATGGATATCATTAGGAAAAGACAAATATAGTAGGTGTATATTTTGCACGTTTTGCATATTAAACGTATTTTTCTAATTCTTCAAAAATTGCCTATTTTGGTACCTAATTTCAGTTGTGAAGTGCGTTGTTGAAGTTACGTTTTTGAAGTACGTGAAAATTAAATCTTAAACACGTACATTTTTGGCTTGTATCAAGCTTTGAAAATTTTGGTATTATATATAACTTACTTATTTCCTTAGATTTTGCCAAAGCAGATATTTGAGGTGATGGATCAGAACCTATAGATAAAATACAGATAAGAGGTGTCAAAGGTTCTGACTCCATCCAAGTTGCCTCCAAATCTAGAATAGTCGGCTCTCCATATTCTGGACCCAAAGAATCTGAAATTTTATTAAACTAGTTAATTGATTGTTTTCTTATAAGTTAACTATTTAGTTGTTTTTACCCATGATATACTTCCTTGCTTGTGACAGAGTTCTGTCAGGACTCCAGGATCTTATCAATAACAATTTTCGAAACACGTCTAGATTTTTTTGGTAGCCACAAGGAATTTCTTCTTCCTCTGGTTTCTCTTTTTCATACCAATTTCTCCATTCTTTTTCGTTTGATTCAATCTATAATATAAACTACTGTTAATTATTTAATTATTATACATAATGTTAATTTCATGTAATTTTTTTAAATTTTTATGTATTTTAATTCAATATGCAATATATCCCCAGATTGTCTTTACAAGAGGAGAAACTTTTTTATTATCGACATTTTGACAAAAAAATTCTTCACCAAAAAATTTACTTGTTCTAAAATAGTTAATCCCTTTTATACTTTTCCAACTTTCAATAATATTTTAGAAAAAATTGAAAAAAAATGTGAAAATATGGTTTGGTTAAGTTCTAAAGTTTAGTTCTTATTCTTTGATAGATTGTTATTGATATACTTTTAATTAACGTCATATTTTTGCTATCTTAAAATGTTAAAGAAGTACAAAATTATTTAGTTCAATGCTACGTAAAGGGTAATAATGGGGTAATAATAGGTAGTTATCGGAAAATGTAATACTTTAACAAAACCAAAAATTATGACCAAAATATGACTTCAAAAAAATCCTTTATGGGTATTTCGACACTGCACTGCAAACAAATCTACAAAATAAAATAGTTACTTTTTGTAAACACTTCTGCGTTAAACCTGAACGGACACTGCTTGTCAGGAGTTATGTTTACAGTTATACAAATTTGCCTAACAAAGAAAAAAATGCTTAACGTTTCGGAAAGTTTATCTCTTTCCGTCGTCGGAACCAAAAAAAATACAAAGAATAAGAAAAAGACTATGTATTTAAAATATTTAAATTCAAGTATTCGAGAACACTTTACTTTTTTAAAACAGAAGCGTCTACAAGAAACCGTTGACGTACTGTTAAAAAAATAAAAAAACATAAAACCGTAAAGGATTTTTTTGGACACATAATAGGTATAGACATTTTTTACAAAATATGACATTAATCAAAATTAGTAACTAATGAAATTAAATCGAAATTATATTACCGTAGAAACGTCTTTTAATTTATAAGACTTCAACCATATACTTCAACAGGAATAAATAACAACTAAAAACCAATACAACCAATAAATAACAGGCAATGATTTTCACGTGTTTTTCAATTTTCTCTAAAACGGTAAGGAAATTCGGAAAAGTATAAACGGGATTAATCATTTTCATTTACATCAAGAATGCATTTTTCTCAAAATTTCACAATAAAAAAAATCCTCTAGTAAAGACAATCCGAGGACATGTACGGGGACTGTACGAGGACATGTACGGGGAATTGTATTTTGTTCTAGTGGATCGATTTTGATAATTTTTTATGCAATGTGTAGCTAAATTATTTCACTTTTTAACCTTCTTTTAATTTCTAAAATTAAATTTCTCATCTGTACCTATATTATACGAGGTGCATCTTTTTTCGATAGTTTTTTTCTTCTCAATATCTTTAATTTTATTGGAAATTATTCATTTTATTCCAGTGTAGATATTTCCAGAAGCATATATTACAAGTACTTAAATTACGTTTACCTTTGTTAATATTTCAGAGAATGTTGCTAGTTTATTTATTTCAACTAGATTAAGCCAAGTAATATCCAAAATCCATTTAAACGGTTTGGGCTGAACAGCGTTTAAGTCTAGTGAAGCTCCGCCTTTAATAAATACCATAAATTCCTCGTGAGTGATGACGCAGTTTTGCAAGTCGATTTTCATCGCCATCATCAATGTGAACAGGGCTTTGTGACGTTCGTACAGACTTCTTTGAGTAAAGGTCCACACCTATGTTAATAATAAATATAATTATTTATAATATAGAGGATGGTGCGAAAAAGCTCTATATCAGCTTTCTGACTTAAGATTTTTACACCACCTATTTTTATAAAGTATACAGACAATGGCAGTGTACATTTTAGCAATATTTTTGTTAAATTACTCGGCGATTCAATCATAATTTCAAACTCAACTTGTATTTTTTAAATGGAATGCTATACATTCTTTCATGTGCCATTCATTTTCCATTACAAAAGTTCCATAAAATTTTTGACCATTTTTGACTAACTTTGTCGCAGAAAATTGTCGTTACAGTTGTTGTGTTGTTGTTAAACATTGTAAAAATAATAAAGATCGATGAAATTGTGGGTAAATATTCTCTGAGGAATGTAATTTAGTAAGAATCAGATTCAATAATTTTTTTAAATTTCATAATTTTTCATTTCAATAATTTTTAGTTTCATGTGTTTAAGTTGTAGAAAAAAATCTTAAGTAGTACACGACAAAATAGAAACCAGAGACGTACAAAAAATATTTCAGAAGAGAACTTACATAAAATTCAAAATCAAAGTAACTAAGCGTTTTGAAAAAGTCTAACGTTTGAATTTTATATTAATTCAATAGGGAAGTTAGGGAATATTGAAACTTAAATTAATTTGAAAGTTTACTACGATTGTTATATATTACGAATTGAAAATGTAAATTAGTTATTTGATCATGGTTCAATGTTTATTCATTCTTTTAGTATTCCTAAATAGTTTTAATATACAACTAATTACTACAGGATTCAAGCTGACGTAACCTAATTCAAGGCATTGACAGACGAAACAGGGGGTTCACATAGAACATTTATCAATATTTACGGAGATAGATAAGAAAAAACAGAAAGACAGTTAAAACTGTGTTGTGGGACCACTAACAGGGCAGTGTAAGCTTAATAGGCATCTAAAGGTCATGGGATTAACGGATAAAGCCATGTGCAGATTCGGTCAACAGTGATGCCACTTCTACCGATTTTTCGGTAGATCTATCGATTTGGCAGTCCATCTACCGATCTAGCGAAAAGACTATATTTTCTACCGATTTTCATTCTTCGGAATATTTTAGTGTCATAGATATTAAAAAAGAATTTTATAGTACAATTTGTACAAAATTTCTAAAGGTGCGTATTCATTATCCGAACGAACGAATGAAAGTGCGGTATATTTAGACGGGGACCGAACGCATGCGGCCGTTCGTTCGTTCGTTCGCTCGACCATCCGTTTCGAGTCGGTACATCAAAGGCGTTCGCCAACAAATGCCTCCGGTCTTCTCGTGCGGTTCTATCGTACGGTCCCCGTCCATACCACTAGCGAACATTCGTTCGTTCGTTCGTTCGGATAATGAATACGCACCTTAATGAGTTAAATTTTCTTGACTCACAAATACGACCAATGACATATAAACAACCGTAGGGAAATTACCGTATACCCTATCAGAGAAATTTTCATTGTTTTGTTGAGGGTAACCTCTTTACTTTTTACACTTATTTTTGTATAGATGTTCCTAATCCTAATTATTCCATTACGGGAGGAAATCTAGATCTTTGAAACCTATAAAGAAGACTAAGTAGAGGTTGTGCTTTTTTAAGGATAAAAGGATGAAAAAGTCTCAAATTTCCAAAAAATAGTTGTATTAGTAGTAAACTATCTATGTATCTAGTGAATTCCACTGTTGCTAAACGATTATTAACTTTGAATTATTAAGTACCTAGGTTAAAATTAAAATTCCTAAAAGTATCCAAAAATATGTTGGAATAATTTTAGGCAATGTACCTATATTTGGAGGGGCTTTGCAAGACGGTCTATAGGAAAAAATTCTGATTTTTTGGAACTAAAACGATATTGTGTTGTTTGTATTTTTCAAGTATCTTTTTTATACCCCAAAAATGACTTACTTTTAGCACATCTTAATAGAAATACGTGTTAAATATCCCATCTACCGATTTCTACCGAATTTTGACCAAGTTATCTACCGAAAATAAAATTTTGGTAGTGGCAACACTGTCGGTCAATCTGTAGAAGAAACGACAGAACATATTTTGTGCCAGTGTGACAGCCTGGCAAATGAGCTATATGAAGGGTTCAGTCTCCAAGATACGAGATTTTTTTGAAAAGGATAGGAGTGGATAATTTAACCTAAAGATTAAAAGAGGAACAGTAGATGTGAAAAGATCACAGTGGAACCTGTTGATAGCCACCTTAAAAATTTATCTATCTATCTATTACTACAGAAAAAAAATATTAAAGTTGTGTTGATTACCTCGTGAGTTAAATATCTCAAAATTATATTTATCCTCTCAAACGTATCAGCATTCTTTTCCGATTTAGTAATGGAGCTATCGAAGATGATCAAAAATTGCTTCAGGGAATTTTGGTACATTACGTTTACATTGCTCATTTCTACTATAAGAAAATACAGGATAGATCCTCTAGCAGCAACTGCGCGAAACTCTTCTCTTGCTATGTTAATTTTCTTTTCAGTTTGCGCAGAGACGGAAAGTTTCTGGGTGACTTCTTCTGCTGTTGATTTTGTTACTTGAAGAACGTTGATTAATTCTTCATCGTCGACCTGGAATAATATACTTGAGCTAATTTTAGTAAAAAAAAATAATAAGACATTTAAATGCACAAACAAAAAAAAACAGATGCCTCTAAAATATATTTATTTATTAATTATAACTTTTAATTAAAGGCATCTGAATTTGACATAAATAAGTTATTATAATATTTTCAGGTTTTGTGAAATAATTGTATTTTATGAAATCTTATAACTAAAGTATTCATAAGGGCATTATTTGAATATTATCTCAGAATATTTTCTAAGTAAACATTGTTGATATTATTTTCCAATGTATGCTCTAAAAGGACTTGCTCTATACAGGGTGAGTCTTAAACAAGTGCACATATTTATAAGTGTGGTATATTTTGATATATGTATTGCTCATGCATCTGTAGAGTTAGTAATGTATGGCAATCGCTTCGTTGATTTTAAAGAACATAACATAAATAAACATAACATACGTAAAATTTAAAAATAATCATACAGAAAGTTTGGGCTTTTTGGTTTTATCTTATTAAGTAATTGTTATCAAGTAGTAATTGTTAATTTTGAAGTTTAACTTAATATAATGTCATTTTAACAGAACGTCAACGATTTCTTGTAGACGTATCTGTTTTAAAAAGTAAAGTGTTCTCGAATAGTTCAATTTAAATATTTTAAATAGTTTTTTTTCTTGATTCTTTATATTTTTTTGCTTCCGACGACGGAAAGAGAAAACTTTCCGAAACGTTAAGCATTTTTTTCTTTGTTAGGCAAATTTTTATTACTGTAAACACAACTTCTGACAGCAGCGTCCGTTTAGGTTTAACGCCAGAAGTGTTTACAAAAAATAACTATTTTATTTTGTAGATTTTTCTTGCAGTGCAGTGGCGAAATACCCATAAAGGATTTTTTTGGATATATTTTGGTCCTAGGAACATGTAAAATAATCGCAAAACAATTTCCGGAGCACGTGATCAACTTTGAGTGACAGTGACGATGGCGACAGCGCTGCCAGATTGTGATGAATTAATGAGATGAATCTTAAAAAATATTCTTGTAACAATATATTTATTATATCATTTTTTTATTTTTAATTTAATAATTAATATTTTAGTAATTAACTTATTTATGAACAGTACTCACTAACACTCACAGTATAAATATTTAAATTTAAGGTAGCAGCTACTCGCGAGAAATCGAAATAAGTAGAAATAACTTTGAAAGTGATATGCTGTGCTTATCAATCAGATTTACTTCTCTGACTGTAGTCAAGGGTAATAAATGACTTTTATTGTCACGTTCCCGTTCAAAATAGTTTATCAGGAAAAATAAAAGCTCTTTGCTTCGACTGTTTAAATGCTTCGGCATATTTTCAACACACAAATTTCAAGAAATGCAATACAAAAACTCGAAAATTTGCGCTTAAAACTACGACTTTAAAAAAGACTATGAAAATTGGCAAAAACGAGAATTACTCCTAAAGATTCAACAACAATACGATATTATACAAAATAATGACTGGCATTATGATAATTGACAAATAATAAACGACAGCGATGCTTATCGCGGTGCAATGACACCAACATGGCGATAATAAAAATCGCCTTAAACTAATTTTTGTAGTTTTAATCTAAATAAAATATCTATTACAATCATTTGCTCTATAAAGTAAAATGATGAGCTGCTCGGTATCTTAAATGATACAACAAATTTAAACATTTTTGGCAAAGTTTCATTTAGTCAGGTTTGTAGGCTTTAGTGTCCATTTCGATATGAGTGATGACGCGCATTGGAAAATGTTTTGCGATTACCGTATTAATTTTGCCCTTTTTGTTAAATTTAAGGATTTGTTTTTAATTTTCAGTTAAAAAAACATAATATCTTGATACTATGGCAAAAAAACCCAGTAAAAAGTCCGAATAAATAAATAAATAAATGCCTTTATTGTCAAAAAATGTTTCAATTTGTAGACAAAGGTAAACAAAACAAACAAAGTAAACAAACAAGGTACACAAACAAACAAACAAAAGATAATACAAAACATTATAGAAATAATATTGTCAGTCTTATTGTTTAAAATAAACATTTATAAATGTTTACAATGTCAAAGAACAAAAAAATAAAAATAACATTCAAAAATATTTAGTTAGTTTATAGTAAATATCAATGACCTCCAAATAAATTTATTTCGATGTCATTAGTAAATATAGCAATAGCAAACATTAGACCAGTGTTTACAAGATCAAATTAGATTTTCAAAATATAATTCATTTAGTAAAGAAGCGTAGAAAGCCTTGTCTAGTAAATAAGAGTTCAATACTTTGCGAAATGAAGAAAATGATGTTATGGATTTGATTTCAAATGGCAGGTGATTGTGCATTTTTTTCGAGTTGTATAATATTGAACTTTTAACTAACTCTGAGCGTGGGGTAGGTAGATAAAGATCTTGCTCCGCGTTCCTGAGTGGATAAGTGTGAGATGGCCTTTCTTGAGAAGCTGATACATGCTTACGTATTAGGCAAACGAATTCAAATATAAATAAGGAAGGGAGAGTAAATATTTTTAATTTTTTAATAAACAACCCTTCACCACATTTTTTTTTTAATTTTCAAAGATAAAATAACTCAGCTATTTTAGACTTATTATTTGGAAAACGGTAAAAAGAAAATATGTTTCTTTCATTCTGATCTACCAAACCTGGGTGTGTGAAAATATGTGCACTTATTTAAGATATCCTGTATACTAAAAGTTAATAAAAAATATATTTCCAACAATTAAATGAAATCACAATAATCTGAGTTCTTGATCTAGATAATACTTTTTTATACCAACCAATGAGCCTTCTGTAGAATTCAGTCTGCTTAACAAATTCGTTTCCAGTTCCTTCATACGTTTCTGATTTTCCATAACAGATTCAAACAGAGCAACTCTCTCAGCTTCCAAGTCTGATTTCTCCATAAGGATTACTCTTCCAAGAAGTTGATCTTCCAAACCTACATAAGTAATAAAATGTTAAAATGATAATACTGACAATAGTGAAAACATTGAAAAAAATAGTTATAAATTTAATTATTATTAATAATTTAATGACAGTTTTTGAGTAGTTATGTTGATATATGATACTGCTAGTGCGAGTAACAATTTCGTAGATATGTTTCTACTTTATTTACCTAACATAGTTACTGTAAAATCTATAATAGACGTCTTAGCGCTGATCTCAGGTGAATACGGAGGATTAGGCAATTTTGTAGTGATATACAGCATAAATCCTTTTAGAACATCACATTCCTTATCACCCACAATCACCTTTTCAATACTTCCAGATTTTATAAAGTTCTTCTCAAGTACATTATCCAATACTGGATCTAGTTCAACATCTATGTCTTCAATTAACAGCGGTTTACCTTCAAAGACACACTCACATATTTTGAATTGCTTAAAAAATAACAGAAAAAATAGTTACCCAGTGACAAACAATCTTCCAAATGTGTCCTAAAGTATTTATGATTCAGTTTTGTAATCTGTAAATTGTTGTTTGCCTCTTTGTTTTTGATCCACATTTTGCCTTGATTTTGTGGGTCAATCAGTAAAGGATATGATCTGGATTTAGTTACGATCAAAGCATTTTGTACTGAGAGTTCATCATTAGGTAGTCCTTGCAAGGTCCATTCTGATACAGTAGAGCTTTCCACTAACATGTTTGTAATGTTGAGTTCTGTAGTGAATGGAATAGCTCTAAAAATAAAATAAATAAATAAAACCAAAATTAGTAACGGCAACATACAGTATGTCCCCGGATTGTCTTTACAAGAGGAAACTTTTTTATTATCGATATTTTGAGAAAAATGCATTCTTCATAAAAATTTTTGCTTGTTAATCCCATTTATACTTTTCCAAATTTCCTTAACGTTTTAGAGAAAATTAAAAAAGACATGAAAATATGGTTGAATTTGAATTTTGATGTTGGTAATATGGTAATATAATTTCGATTTCATTCTTTAATTATATTTAGTTATAGTTATTAGCAGGGGGGTGACAGTCATGTGACAGTGAATTAATTCATTCCGTTTAGTTTCGTTTTGGAAGTTCAATTTAATATTTCGGCTGAAATTTATAAATATAAAGGTAATAAAGTATATAAAATATATATTACATGAAGAATTCTGGAGAAAACGACGTTTCTGCAGTAGTAGGTGTGCCCATGTATATGAAAAATAGGTAGTAAATAAACACTGTTTTTACATTTTTTAGATGCAAGAAAATGGTGTTATAATCTCTTTGATCGGCGATTTTTTTGAAAATGTAAACAATTTACAGCAAGGTAAGATCATTTTTAACTATAGCCAACATTAGTTATCTCCATTATGTGCGCTTTATTGTCAATAATGCAATAAATCGGACTGATCATCTGATTATGTTATCCGACTAAAAGTCTCTTTTTGATTCTTTTTGATTTATAAGCCACGTCTCTTTGGGAATAATGGACGCTTTTTTTAAACAGTATATGTATTTATATTTTATACCTTGATATTTTTACATTGTTAATTTTAGTATAAAAAAAAATGTTTTTCTGTTTTCAGGTTTTTGTATAAGGCTTCCGTTTTCATGTTCCTGCCCCCGTTTTCTGTCCCTGATGGCTATGAATACGTGTATTTATTTACAAATTACTGTAAGTCATGCTTATACCTTACTAAATTAGGTTAATTGCTGCAGAAATCATTCAATTCTTTATTTTTTATATTTATTTAGTCACGTTGTCTCATATTTCAAATAAATATGTTTGAATAAAATTTTGTTTTGTTTTATTTATGATAAGAAAGAGTACAAAATACATTTAAACTAAAAGAGGGCCCGCCATTGAATAACCGGAAATGGAAATAAAAATGAAGCCATTATGTCAACCTGTCAATTGGAAAATTAGTTCTCCAGACGACAACGAAGGCTTTCGGTGGCGTATCGTGTTTCCACGATTTAACACAGAGTTGACACTTCTTTCTAGTTAATTATTTTATGGTTATTAGGTTATAGTTAATTTTGATTAACGTATAATTAACGTCATACTTTTTGCTATTATTACAGGTTCACATTTTCCGATAACTATTATCACCTTTTCCGTAACATTGAACCAAATTTTGTGCTTCTTTAACATTTTAAAACAGCAAAAATATGACGTTAATTAAAATTCCATCATAGATAACCTTCCATTAACAACAATCTATCAAAGAACAAAAACAAAATTATATTTCCATAAAAACGCGTTTAGGCCTTCAAAAATTCAACCATATTTTCATCATTTTTTAAATTTTCTATATGGTATAAAATTTAAACTAAAACTAAAACGGAAATTTGGAAAAATGTAAACGGGATTAACTGTTTTAGAATAAGCTGTTATGTTTAAGCAAGTTTTTATGAAGAATGCATTTTTCTGAAAATGTCAATAATAAAAAACTGTTTCCTCTTGTAAAGACAATCCGGGGACACACTGTATACAATTAATTTTAGTTTAGATTTCTATTTACTGTAAAATTAAAAAAAAATCTATACTAATATATAAAATCCTTAAGTGACTGAACCACTCAACGTAAGAAGCTCAATTTTGGCATACAGGTTGATTCTAGGGTGTAGAGGTTCGATAAGAAGGGATTTTTCGAAATTCCAGTTCAAAGAGGGTGAAACCACCCCTCAAATATTACAATATTTTTTATTTAAAAAACGGTCAAGTTTCCGAAAAAACGCTTAAACACGTATATTTTATTTTGTTTTTTTACGTATTTTAAGATTTTTTAAAAATGTAAAATCTGGTCATTGATTAATCACGATCCTGCTTAAAGCGCTTGACGTAAAAAGCTGATTTTTGGAAAACAGATTGACTTTAGGGTGTAGAGGTTCGATAAGAAGGGATTTTTCGAAACTCGAATTCTAAGGGGGTGAAACTATCCCTCAAATATTAAAATATGTTGAAATAATAATTGACGTTTAAAGCTGATTTTTGGCAAACGGATTAACTGTGGGGTGTAGAGGTTCGATAAGGAGGGGTTTCTCGAATCTGAAATTCCAAGAGGGTGAAAACGCCCCTCAAATATTACAATATTTGTTATTTAAAAAACGGATAGTCTTTCGGGAAAATGCTTGGACAAGCATAATTTATTTGGTTTTTTTACATATTTTGAAATTTCTTAAAAAATTATACAGGGTGTTCCAAAAAGTTGGGTAATTTCTTAACCACGATTCTGCTTAAACTGCTTGACGTAAAAAGCTTATTTTTGGCAAACGGATTTTTCGAAAGTCAAATTCCAACGAGATGAAACTACCCCTCAAATATTACCAAGTTATATAACAATATTGTTACGTTGTTTTTTCTCATGCTGACATAAATGTGAGAAAATTTTATCCAGTTTGTATGTTAATGGAAATTCTTGCCTTGCTTTATCATCACCATTACAAATGATTAATTCGACGCGAACGAAGTCGCTAGTACACGCTAGTGTACTTATAAAAGTTTAATTTTAAAATTGAAAATTTCAAAAAAAGATCAACAGAATATCTGCGCATGAAAAATCATATAACCTAAAACTTAATGAGCATTACAATATGCCTTACAGAGATGTAACGTCCTATAAATTAAAAAAAAAAATCTTAGTCTGTACATAAATAACAACTCCTTTAGTTCAAATTTTAGTTGACACGGTTTAATCGATATATCCACAGATAAATAATATAGAAAGAAAGAAGGAACAACCTGTGGATTATTTTCACGAGGGCTGAAACCTCAACATAATTGTAGCATTTAAGTATAAGACAATGCAAATCCCCCTGGGGGAGGACGTCCCCCTGGGGGAGACGTATATCATCTATATAATCAACAAGACTCAAGTCCTCTCGGATAGCACTCCTTTCACCAAAAAGAGAACAGCTGACAGGCATCATTTAATTATTAAAGATGTTTGTGTAATTAGGATTCCTTCGTTTCCTTCTTTTGATTTATTTAACCATAAATTTGCTTTGTGTTTTTGGAATGGAAAATTTTGAAAAATAGAATTATTACCTAGATTGCAAAACGTCCATCCAAGCATTAACCAGCCCCGCTCTAAACTCTTGGTTATACGGACCGCAATAAGACAAGAATCCAGTAGCTAACAACACATCTCCAACGAGTCTTCCTAATTGTTCTTTGAATTCTTTGCTCTGCTGTGTCCATCTGACTTTTTCTCCACCTAAACCTTTAATTAGTGTTGTAGCAGTGTTCATTTTCCTCAAACACGTATTAGCCGCGTCAGTCAATCTTTGTTTTTCCATTACTGCGCAATCGTATTGCTCTTTGACTTGTCTCAAAGATTGTTCACGTTCTTCGAGTTGCTGTTCGGCTCCAGCGAGGTCTTCCATCGCGATCTAGTACAAAATTAATAATAAAATATAGTAAAACCGGTTTATCATATTATTATAGTCTTTAATTTTGACAAACAAAAATAATATCATATTTTAGTTTGGTTAGTGTCCAACGTTATTATATTCTATTGAACCTGCTGGGTGAGAAACTTAATCATTCTAGTACAACGAAACCGTATTACAGAAAATCTTTACATCAAGGTAAGTAAAATGTGTAATGACAACATTTTAACAATTGAAATATCAATTATATGAATGAAATCCAGTTATTTAAGCAATATTTTTAAGATAAACATTGGTACTTTTCAAAAGGTATGTAATTTTTTAAATAAAAACAGTGGAAATTAAAAAAAAATGATTATAAATTTTAGGTAACCAACTATGATGAGATAAATATTAGTCAAAACAAAAAGATAACTGGCTTTACCTTTAATCTAGCTTCTTGCATAGTTAAATTAGCTTTTAGGGGTAGAACTTCTCTGTTAACACTATGGAAAAATGCCATTGCTTTAGTCCACGACAGAAGACCTGCATTTAATAAATATATTTATGTTTAAACTCTCGCTTGAATGTAATTCTAAAATTGTTTAAATATCTACATAAATTAGTTTTAGAAATAAGATGTTAGAGATAAAGTCTTAGTTGTTTAAGTAAACCTGAAAAATTGAAATTGTCATTTTTCATAACTTATGTTGATATGATCAGCATTTATTTATTGGTCATTTTATTCAGACGATTTTGTTTAATTTAACCAGACAAAATACATAGGTTTCTGAGCGATCAATAAATTAGAAAGCCGGCCTCTTAATAAGAAGTAAACTCATCGGCAAAAGTCTTGCACCCCCTTACTATTTTAATAAAAAATACATTTCAAACTAATTTTTCGTGGAAATCAATAGATGTTAAAGTTATGTTAAAAAATAACACAAAAAAGGGAAAACTTTCACCAAGTTTAATAACATATTTTGCCAAAATACAAAAAAATGCAGATTCCATCAAGAAAAATGTTTGACAAAAAAGAGAAAATAAATAAATAAATAATAAATTCTGACAAAATTAAGGTTACTAATAGAAATAATGCCTCCTCGATTTATTATGAGTGCATCAAGTCGTCGGGGCATCCCCACTTTACGGTTGTTTATGGTTTCTTGAGGTAAGTTTTAATATTCCTCTTGAGCGACAATGATCAACTCCTGGCGATTTCTTCGTGGGTTATTTCTGCGAAATACAGCTCTGGTGATGTAGTCCTAGACATGTTCAATAGGATTCATGTCGGGGGAGAGTGGAGGCCAGTCCAGATGAGTTATTTCCCCTTTATTTAATGCTTCCTGTACCATCCCAGCTCTGTGAGGACGAGCGTTATCATCCATGAGAATAAAATTATGGCCGATTTCTTCTCGCAGTGGATAAATTATTGGTCTGATTACAGTTTCCACATACAAATGGGCATTCATCACCTCAGGAATATGAGTGAGCTCTGTTCGCCTATTGTGCATGATGCCACCCCAGAACATCTCAGTTCCTCCTTGATAACGAGCAACAGCAAGGGCTGTATTCAAGCGATGCTGCCTCCCTGCCTTCCTCCACGCTCGCTGACGATAGTCATCACTGATCAAACCTATCCTGGTTTCGTCAATAAAAATTGCGTTTCTCCACTGAGGTAATAACCAGTTCTGGTGTTCTAGAACTACTCTAGCCTACTGTAGCCTCCTTTGCCTATGGTGTAAAGTTAATAGAGGGACTCGCAGTGGACATCTATGCCGCAATCCAGCATTAGAAAGTCGCCTGGAAATGGTTCGGCTTGATATCACTCGGTGGTAAGTTCTTTGAAACTGAGATCGTAGCCCTCGAATTGGAACTGACCGATTTCTTCTGGCAAATTGAGCCAATTAGCGATCCTGTCATTCAGTCGTTACCCTTGTACGGCCCAACATAGGACGAGATCTTACATTTCCGGTGTCCATATACCGTTGTATAATTCGGCTTACAGTACTTCGCACTAAATTTAAACGATCAGCAATTTGATGCCTGCTGAGACCTTCTTCATGCATAGCGATAATTCGGGCCTATCGAAGGCAGAAATTTCGTGCACTGGTATTTTTGTCGCCTTTCACAACACTTACTACAAGATTGACCTCGAACTGAGAAACAAAATTTGACCGTAAATAGCTAAATCATACACATTCCATCGATAAGGTTTTCTTTCATTACTTTTAGGACCTATTTTTTGTAGACACATCTTAAGGTATTTGTACACATAGCCACAACAATATGCTATGCAAAGAAATAAATTTATTTGGGGGGTGCAAGACTTTTGCCGATGAGTGTATTAATTATTGTAATTATATAATACAGGGTGAGTTTCCTACGATGTTTTCTACGGGTGATGTTTTCTCGGAAACTACTGGGGATAGAAAGTCGGTTAAATGGGGAAAGAATTGCAGTTTTGTGTGATCCTGAACACGCGCTTTTTAGATTTTTGTAAAAGTTCATGGTTTACTAGATATTTCGAAAAAAAAACAAATTTCGGCTATTTCCAAAAATTGGCCCTAATTCCATTATACTCTATTTTAGACAAAAGGTTTTCAGATAAAAGTTGTAGATAATCACATCCTTAATAAGTTTGCATCCTCCGTTTTTTTTCCAAAGCCTGCCATTTTTGACATATGACACAAACATAAATATGTTTTTTTTTTAAATGGAAACCATAGTTGGCCATGACTTCATAAAAAGCGCCGTTTTTAAGCTTTTCAGCGATATAAACTGTAATATGTTTCTTTCGAAAAATTACTGAGTTACAGCCAATTCTTATCATTTTTAAAAAATTTCACTTAGTTAGCCATGGGAACAAGTTCAATCGTCGTTGATCTCAGTAATGTGAAACTGTCACATCCAAACTTTGTAAATTAAAATAAACAAATATTGTAAATATGAATTTTTCAAATGAAGAAAAGCGTGTAGGATTATTGGTTCAACTTTTCTTGGCCATACATTTTCGAGGATACGTTGACCAGTGAACGTTACTTACGTTTTTTAGAAAAGTTAAATTTAGATACTCGCGTATCAATAGAGTGGTTTCAACATGACTTTCATTATGACACTCCCCCTCATAATGAAAGAAATGTTAAAAATTATTTATATCATAATTATGCAAACTCAGGCATAGGAAGAGGTGTACCAATTGCATCTCTGTCACCTGACTTATCGATCACCTGATCCTCGATCACCTGACCTATCCATTTTAGATTTTTTTATGCGGTATGGTTAACAACAAGGTTTACAAAAGAACTTATGAATTAAGAGAGGCACTCGAAGAGACGGAGCGGGAGAAGTTTATTAAAATCGACCGGCCGTTCTGTGGGAAAAGCTTGTAATTCAGTTTTCAAAACAATGGCGGTTTTTTTGAACATTTGCTAAAATAACTTAAAGTGTATGTAGTGATATTAGTTTTTTAAAATTCTATTTTGTGTAATGCTAATTGTAAAGAACCGTTTAATAAAATATTCTGTCTTTTTATAAGTTATAAATCATAACAGAATAAGAATACCATACCAACTAAGTGAAATTATTTAAGAAAGATAATAATTGGCTATAACTCAGGAATTTTTCGAAAAAAAGATATTACAGCTTATATTACTGAAAAGCTTAAAAAAATGCGCTTTTTACGAAGTCATGGCCAACTATGGTTTTTAAAAAAAACATATGTTTGTGTCATATGTCAAAAATGACAGGCTTTAGAAAAAATTGAAGAACCCAAACTTATTAGGGATGTGATTATCTACTGGAAATTTGTACTGAAAACTTTTTGTCTAAAATAGATTATAATGGAATTAGAGACAATTTTTAAAATAGCCAAAAATTTTTTTTTGTAAAATCTAGTAAGCCATGAAGTTTTTCAAATCTGAACGGCGCATTTTTATGACCCCACAAAACTGCAATTCTTTCCCCATTTAACCGACTCTCTATCTCCAGTAGTTTCCGCGATACCCATAGAGAAAATCGTAGGAAACTTACCCTGTATAAAAATTATATCTGTTAATACAGTAGATTTATTTTTTTATTTATACCTTGTAATATCTGTAAGGGGAGTTTGGGATAGGATGCGTCTCAAATAGCCTCTCCTATTCAAATGTCAACCTCACCTTCACGAGTGGTAATTAATTACCCGGTACTCCCTGTTAGATGACTGACGAGGCTCTGACGTCCGAATGATTGCCGGTATAAGCAATCCCCCATTTACTGGCCAACAGCCTCGGGTGGAGGAGCTAGTAAATGGAACACTCTTTGTCCTGGGTTTGGGAAACAGGACCTAAAGGCGGATGAACCATGAGGCAGGTCAACGGCATAAGAATACAGAAGGCAACGGGAAACCACTGTATTAAAGATCACCAAGATATCCCAAGAGAATCAAAATGACCTCATTTAACTCGAAATTTTCCGGAGGTAAAAATAGTTCCCCAATCGGATCTCCGGGGGGAACAGCGTTAAATGATAAAAACAATGAAATCAGGGTGAATTTAGGAAATAGGATGAAGATTGGTACATGGAACGTACAAAGTCTATATGAAGCTGGGAAATTGGCTAACTTAATGCAAGAAATGGACAGGCTGAAAATAGATATTCTGGGGGTGGCAGAAACATGGTGGCCAGACGTAGGAAAATGTGTAACGCAGGGAAAAGTTCTTTTCTATTCAGGAAACCAAGACAAAAACCATCGTAAAGGGGTTGGAATAATAATTCCAGAAAAAATATCCTCGTCAATAATTAACTTCCTGCCACATTCCGATCGCATTGCGCTGCTTAAACTGAAAGCACATCCAGTCAATCTTCAGTCAGACGCACCAGAAGATGAAGTCGAAGGGTTTTATGAAGAACTAAGACAAGTAACACAGGCAAACGTTAAAAAACATGAAATGAACCTCATATTGGGTGACTTCAACGCCAAGGTTGGAAAAGGAATACGAGACGAACTGGTTTGGTTTGGTTGGTTGGGCCCTTATGGATTGGGAGAGAGAAATGAACGAGGCGAACGGCTATACCAATTTTGTCAAGAAGAACAGATGAAAATAACAAACACCTGGTTTAGACTGCCACCCAGACGTCTATACACATGGAGAGCACCAGCAGACAATCCCGAACACCTAATCAGAAATCAAATAGACTACATTTTAATCAATAAACGTTTTGGAACATCAGTAACAAGAACGTGTACATACCCGGGAGCCGACGTCCCATCTGATCACGTCCTTCTTATAACAGAAATAAAAATTAAAATCACCAACGGAAGAAAACAAAAGCAAGAACCAAGAATAGACTATGAAAAACTTAAAAACGAATGCATAAAAGATAATGTAAGCAAAAAATTAAATGAAGCGCTGGCAACATTAGTCATACCACAGCCAACTGAAGAGACGAATCCTAATAACACATGGGACAGCATGGAAGAAATAATGATGAATACAGCAAGAACGGAAATAGGATATAGACAAAACATCAAAAGGAAAAATTGGATGACAAATGAAATACTAAAAATGTTTGAAGAAAGAAGGAAGTACAAGAATCAAGGCAGTCGAGATAAATATAGAACGCTGCAAAATACTATAAGAAGGGCAGTAAGATCAGCAAAAAATAAATGGCTGAGAGAACAGTGCGAAGAAATGGAACGTTTACAAAAGCAGAACGATGACTATAACCTACATAAGAAAATAAAAGAAGCAGCTGGAGTATATAGGAAGCAGACTTTCTCCAACATACAAAATGAAAAAGGACAAATGGCACAAGATAACGCACAGAGAAAATCTATCTGGGAACAATATATTGGCAGCCTCTTTGCAGATGAAAGACCTCAGCTGAAGGATAACCTAGAAGATGATCTGACTGGACCGTCAATCACAATAGAAGAGATTACTAGAGCAATAAATAGCTCCAAAGATAAGAAGGCGGTGGGACCAGATCAAGTGCCTGTTGAACTGCTCAAACTACTGGACAACGAAGGTATTAAAATAATGCAAAGGCTCTTCAACCAAATTTACAATACAGGAAATTTCCCATCTAAATGGCTTACATCTCTTTTCGTACCACTTCCAAAGAAAAACAATACAACAAGGTGTGAAGACCACAGATTAATCAGTTTAATGAGCCACACTCTGAAAATATTTCTGAAGGTCATTCATTACAGAATTTCCACAAAATGCGAAAGTGCTGTTGGATCCTCTCAATTCGGATTTAGAAGGGGCCTAGGTACAAGAGAGGCACTGGTCGCAACCCAGGTGTTGGTCCAAAACTGCTACGACCAGAGAAAGGACGTAGCAATGTGCTTCATAGATTACGAAAAAGCGTTCGATAGAGTACGACATCAGAAACTCGTTCAAATACTGAGACGGCTAGACATAGACCAGAAGGATGTGCGCTGTATTGAGAACTTGTACTGGAACCAATCAGCTGCAGTTAGGGTTGACAATGAAATTACAGGAGCACAGCAAATTTTTAGAGGCGTAAGACAGGGATGTGTCCTCTCCCCACTCCTGTTTAACCTATACTCAGAAAACATCTTCCAAGAAGCGCTCGAAGGACAAGAAATAGGCATCAAAGTAAATGGCATACGGATCAACAATATACGGTACGCAGATGACACAGTCCTGATAGCGGATAACATGAATGACCTCCAAACACTCTTGGACATGATTGGAATACACAGCCGACGTATGGGAATTGACATCAACACAAAAAAGACAAAATTCCTAATAGTTACCCGCAAACCAGATGACTACCAGAATGCAAGACTAACGCACAATGGGGAAGACATAGAACGGGTAAAAAAGTTCAGCTATCTGGGAACTTGGGTATGTGAAGACTGGTCTTCGGACGTGGAAATCAAGTGCCGTATAGAAAAAGCGAGGAGCGCATTTATGAAATTTAAAAACGTCTTAACCAACTCTGACTTTGACCTTGACCTTAGAGTAAGATTTACAAAATGTTACGTATGGTCCGTGTTACTATATGGTATGGAAGGCTGGACATTGAAAGTCAGAAACATGAACAGGCTGGAAGCGTTCGAGATGTGGGTCTACAGAAGAATCTTGAAAATCCCATGGACAGCAAGAGAGACCAACGAGGAAATCCTGAGGAGGATGGGGAGAGAGCGTGAACTGCTAAGCACAATAAAACGCAGAAAAACAGCGTACCTGGGACATGTTATGCGCAATGAGAGATACCATTTACTCCAACTAATAATAGAAGGAAAGATAGAAGGAAGAAGGGGATTGGGCATAAAGAGGATGTCGTGGCTCCGAAATGTTAAACATTGGACGGGAATAAGAACTACAGGAGAATTAATTCACGCCACCGGAGAGAGAGAAAGATGGTCAGAACTGATCGCAAACATCCATTAATGGATAGCAGCAGAAGAAGAATATCTGTAAATATTCAAATTAACGATAAATATTTATACCTGCAACATCTCCACAAACTCTTTTAGCAGTATCCATATTATAATCTTCCATTTGAAAATATGGCTGAAGAAGCTCCACCATTTCGTTATTGATGATATCTTTCGGATAATTTTGGAGTTGTAATAAAAATGTGGTAGAAGCCATCATCTAAATATAAAACATAAAAATAACTTTTCCTTATATAATCAGTAATATTTTGTATCTGTAGACGACATAGTATGATCCTATATGTTTACTGTATGCTGTACCTTTAGTGATTCGGCCCATGAAGGTTTAGGACAAGGAGCAGCTGTGTCAAGTATAACTGGATGCAGCTTTCTTTGAAATAATATCAATACACAATCCATAATTCTCATGATCAGATGAGGAGGCCTACCTAACTTTCTGACAGTAGCTATAAAATAAGTAAATTATCGAAAACAAAAATTTCATTACATATTTCCATAGTTCCTTTTTTAATTACCAATATGGGCTGGCTTAATAGTATTCAAAGCAGCTTCGGCTTCTTCAAGCGCTGGCTTGGCTGCTTCTAATTTTTCTTCCGCTAAAGCTTTTTCTGCTGCTATTGAAGAGACCAGAGCTTCAGCTTTTTCCTTTACTTTTTGGACTTGGTTCTTCACTATTTCTGCTTGCATAGCTCTTTCAGTTACCTCTACAAAATATAAATATTTACATACCACACATTACATACAAATTTGGAAATCTTTAGCTTACAAACATATATTTTTGTGTATGCTTCAATTACAAAGTTCTAATCAAGAATAATGCTGCAGTTAATTAAATCAATTTTGAAATATTAATAACCAAAAAAGTTATCACCGAATTTAACAAAATAAATATCTCAGTAACAAAAACTTCGGGATATATATACATTTAAATATTTTTTAATTTCTAATCAAAATATCTGTCTCTAAATATTTTAGTAATATTAATGAATCATCTAATATAAGAAATGCATACAAGATATTAACCTGTCAATACTCTTTCGGCCTTCTGCGAAGCCTGTACTAACTCCTGTTCCATAACTGCCAGTTCTTTCTTCAAAACAAGTACCGAAGAAGAAGCTTCGGCCAGTTTTTCTAATCCGGTATCCATTCTTAATGCTCCATCGCTCAGTTCCTTCTGTTTGCTGTTGTAAATGCTTTTGTAGCCGGCGATGAAGTTTAAATATGATTTTGGAGTCACATGGGTAGCTCGGCGAAATCTGTAAGAAAATGTAATAACGTAATTTATACTATCTGTGTAATATTTCTAATTGTTGTAAATGAAACTAATAAAATAGATATTTCTATTAGTTCCAAAAGAAAAATATCGTATATTTTTATTTTTATACTTTTAAGTTTTTAACATTTATAAGAATACAGCTGTCATTGAAAGCGTTGGCCTTGGCAAATGCAAAATGATACTAATATACCATAGTACTTTTGTTTGAACTTTGGACTAGTATTTCGTCAACCATGTTAGTATTATCAGCAGATGATTATAAGTCAGTTAGTCGTTAGTTTTAATCATCTGTTGAATCAAGTGTTCAAAATGAAGTATTTTGGTGTTTGTGATAAGAGATTTTTCTTTTTTTCATCCATCGCTACTTAAATATTGACCAACAGTGTGTTTAGTAGCGGAACTTTACACTGACCAAGAAGAAAACTAAATTATAATTATTCTAGAAATTAAGTAATTTTCTTAGGTTTTACAACACAAAAAGATCTTTACATCGACAGTCTGATAATATGGCCAAAAGAAATCCATCGAAAAATAAGGATGATTGTTATCCGCAATCCTTTTCAAATACAATTATCTTTACAGTTTGGTGTTAGGATAGTTAGGATTGCCAAATTAGAATAGTGCAGTTTTATTACTTAAAATTTGGATTCCTTAAAATAACGTTGTTTTTTACCAATAGCGAAAATGTTGAATTAAATTCAATTAACTTTCATTAATTTAAACTGTGACGAACTTTTTAAATATTATTAGTTTTACCGTTGGAAATATTCAGTTGATGTAGCGGCCACAATATCCTGTATAGAACCCAGTGCTGTTACCAATTCTTCTTTGACTTCTGAAGTACAAGCAATCTTAAATTCTGTAAGAAAATGTCTGGCAACCAGTACCAAAGCGTCTTTTGGCCAAGGTTGGAACCAATCAATGGTACAACCTGATATCAGCGCTGGGAATCGTAAAGCTCTATTTCGGAATTTCTCACCCACCTTAAAAATATGTTATAAAACTATATTTAATAATGAGCAATTTCTATAGCCTTGTGTATGTTTATTGCGAGAGTATTCTGGAAATAACACCATAAAAACAAAATACAGTGACTATTCACTAATTGTTTCCTACACTGTTATTATAGTCCAAGATCCCAGAGCGATCTGACATAACTTATTTTCACAAAGATGAAACCTTAGGCTCTCAGTAGTGCTCTCATGTGCTTTGAATACCGGCGTGTTTGGGGAGTTCGCCCTGTGACAGACTTTGGCAGATACCGGGTGTGAGAAAGATAACTAAAAATAAGAGTTACTTAACTTAAATTTGTATGGCTGACTTTATACTTTGCATTTATAGTCAAATAAGATGATCTTTTTTATTAAATCGAAAAATTTCTTGCAGTATAGGTATATAATAAAATTATATGAGGATTCTTGCCACTTAACTGCTGATATAGAAATTTAATTCTACGCTGTGTTTGTCATAATGCGGATCAACCTGCTCTCACTACCGGTTTCGGAGCCCTACTCTCTATATCAGCAGTTAAGTGGCAAGAATCCTTATATAATTTTATTATATACCTATACTGCAAGAAATTTGTTTTTCTATTTTATAATTTGGCTTGCCTGGAAAAAAAGCCTTTTACCATTCTTTTACTATCGATAGTCGCGCCTCGGTGGTACGAAAGTACTACCATTGCACGCAGGCCGCTATCTCCCGTTCGGGACTTAATATCTAACGGACACTTTTCGACAAGTAGGAATTAACTATCTCTGCGCTGTGGTTGTCATTTTGTGGATCTGCCCAAGCTCACCCGATGAGGAGTAGGGCTCCGAAACCGGTAGTGAGAGCAGGTTGATCCGCATTATGACAAACACAGCGTAGAATTAAATTTCTATATTAGCAGTTAAGTGGCAAGAATCCTTTTATAATTTTATTATATACCTATACTGCAAGAAATTTGTTTTTCTATTTTATAATTTGGCTTGCCTGAAAAAAAGCCTTTTACCATCCTTTTACTATCGATAGTCGCGCCTCGGTGGTACGATAGTACTACCATTGCACGCAGGCCGCTATCTCCCATTCGGGACTTAATATCTAACGGACACTTTCCGACAAGTCGGAATTAACTATCTTTGCGCTGTGGTTGTTGTTTTGTGGATCTGCCCAAGCTCACCTGATGATGGAGTAGGGCTCCGAAACCGGTAGTGACAGCAGGTTGATCCGCATTATGACAAACACAGCGTAGAATTAAATTTCTATATCAACAGTTAAGTGGCAAGAATGCAATTTTTAGTCGACCGATTATTTAGTTGTAAAAGTGAAAACAATACTTACTGGAGCCGATCGGCCGACTATTATTTGATTGCATGTGAGGGCGGCTCCATAAGAATTCTATTGGTTAGAAATCTGCAACTAAATAGTTGACCGACTAACCAAACCAAACCAAAACTCCCTAAACACGCCGGTATTCAAAGCACATGGGAGCACTACTGAGAACCTAAGGTTTCATCCTTGTGAAAATAAGTTATGTCAGATCGCTCTGGTATCTTACTCTATTAAGAAATGAAAGTTCAATAATATTGCCACTTAGAGAAAAAGTACCTAATGATTCCCCTCAAGAATTAGACGAGATGATTTAAAAAAAGGAAACGTTTAAAAAGATAAAACTTACCGGCGAAAAGCAAAATACTACATGCAAATTTTGACAAGTCCTATTCATAAAGAACTCCATAACGATTTCTTGGTTCAAAGTCCTCTTTGGATTTTCTCTCTTCATTATAGGCGTCAGTTCTTGGATGATTTCCGCCTGTTCGTCCTTGGTAAATAAATTAGAAATAACTCCGGAAGATAGGATGTTATTCAGGTACTCCAAAAATCCTTCTTCTTTGATGTCCAGATCTGTGAAGATGAAGGTGGTACCTTTACCTTGACATCCGCATGAGCGATACAGGACTTTGAGGTCTTCTAAAAAGTTTGCTATGTTATAGGAACGAGTTAGTGCTATTTGGAAGGTTTTGTAGCCAGCGATGAATGAAGAGAGTTTAGTCAAAGATTGTTTTCCACTACCACCGACACCTGAAAGAAAAATTCGTTTGTAATTTTCCGTATTACCATGGCAAATTACCGTGTAATGGGTATTATATTATACCAGTACAGGTGTAATATTAAGAAAATGTATATAAAGGTAATAAAGTGTGGCGCCTCTCATACGAAGCTGATGCTCAAAACAGAACGAAAATTAAATTAAATCCTACTCTAAATTAAATTAAAATTTGACGCGAAAAGATATACAGAGTGAGACGAAATTAATATTGAACATTGGTCACTTTTAAACGTAAGATACTCTTTTATTTCAAATGGAACACCCGGTATATTACTTTGGTATTGAATTCATATTTCTTCAAAATACTATGTTGCCTGACCTTCAGATAAATATTTTCCTAGATATTTAAATTTTTAAGATTTAATGTCAGTATATCTTTATTATTTGATAAAATCTTGGTGACTGTGTAATGCCTGACGTTAATTTAACATAGCTGTCAAATTAGTTCAACTTTAGCAACTAGTTATCAATTTGTGTCAGTTAAAACAAAAAAAATTCTCAGAAATTTGCCGAAAATGCTAACTTACCCTACATCAGAGAGAACTGATATGATTCTATTAACTGGTGAATGCAGTGTTCATTCACCAATAAATAGAATGCTGAAATGCTTCTGATTTATCTAGTCTGAACTTTTTTGGGGAATATATTAAAGACTGTATTTATAAAACTCCACCAACTACTGCCTATAATATGAAATAAAGGATTTAGGTTGCTTTTCGCTATAACTCCACATATGCCACTTAGCGTAAAATGATCGGCTTGATTTCATCTAGCTAATTTTTCTCATATATATCGAGTTCTACTTCTGTAATATTTAAAATATGTTTGAAAACATGTACCTATTTATTACCGTTGCATTTTTACTCTACATCCTTTAATTTTTGTACACCTACTGACACTGAATCATAGAAATGATCGAGATGAAAATATCTAGGAAATTATTTGTCTGAGTGGTAGGGAAGCTTAATAGAATTTTTTAGAGACATGCATTTTTTATCAAATATCGGAAATATACCGGATATTCATTCCATTTAAAATAAAAAGTAATTCACGTTTAAAGTGACAAATTCTCAATTTCTTTTCCACCCTGTATAACTTTTCGTGTCAAGTTTTAACAGTTTTGTTTATAAAATCTAGAGTCTAGAGTCTAGGTATTTAGACTAGGTATAGTCAGTCTATAGTATAGGTATTTAGACTTATTAACTTATTAAATAACAAAAAAACATGTAATAATGTATTGGGACTCAACTATGCTATACAAGTATGCTTACCCACAAGCATGACGTTTCCTCTCGGATGCCTTATAACCCTGGATACTTTCACCAAATGTAGCATAGCGTCGGGGAAGAAGACCAGGTCCATACCATTTCCTCTAACCATCTCGTTAAATTGAGACAGGAACATCTCAAGTCTTTCTTTCAGTTCGTTTTGATTACTAACAGGTTCGTAAACTTTGGGTAACTCCATATCTGTATCCTCTCCTTCTTCACCTGTTGGTTCTGGAGCATCTCTATTGAAAAATATAACACTTAATGTAGTGATGATACTGGTATAATAATCAAGTACACAAACTCAATTAAAATAATGATCCTTACATTATATTTGTGTATATTTATCTACAAGATTTGGTACAGCCATGTATTCTTATCTACGCCAAAGCATAAAGAAAAATATTATTAAAGAAAAGTATAAATTAAAATAATTAAAGACAAAAAAGACAAATAAAAAAAAGGACAAAAAAGGGGAGACAAAGAAGAATAGAAAATAAAAAAAATAAAAATTAATAGATGATAGCTTCATCTGATGATGGAGACAAAGTCATTGATTAACACATATTTTATTATGAAAATTTTGGCTACTTAAATTTTAATGTCTATTTTCTTTTGTATTTGTTTTGAATTTTCAATTATTTTAAATATAATTTACCTCATAAAATCAACAAAAACTGGATTTGGCTCGGACTTTTTCCTCATCTCTGGACCCAGTTCTTCTTCGACTAGTTTGAGAATTTCTTTGTTAAACCATTCTTTGTCTTCCTCGATGGTGAATCTGTCCGAAAATACTCGGGCACATTCGTGCTTCCAGAGTACCATCATGCAGCCTTCAGATTCGATCACAGTTGACAATGTGCCTATCTAAATATATCAATGAAATGGTTTCAAAAAAGACCAATTTTACGTCAAATATTGACGTTAAACATAAGATGGCTAGTGTAAATTTTTTATTTTGGTTATTCTCCTTTACTAGTTGATAACATATTTATAAAACATAATTTTACGATTTCTGCGAATTCGAGTGGTTAATATCAACTTACCATGCCTTGCCAAATTCTGGATAGGTCCCTTAAGGAAAATACGTAGTGAAATTTGGCTGGTGTGGGCAACAGTTTGGATCTAGTACTTTTCCATAAAATTCTAGTTAAAGGAATGAGTTTCTTAACCAAATTTCTCACTTCTAACGTGAATCCTCTTTTGGCATTGTAATGTCCTGGAAAACCAGTGTAACATAAATAACGGTCACCAACTCTGTTTCTTATTAAATAAAAAAATTAGTAATCACGAAAAATACAAAACAGATCTTGAATCAAAATAATTATCAATCGATAAGGCATTAAAGATTTTTTAGAACATTTCCCAAAGGATAGATACCGTATGATCGAAAAAAAGGCGTCATAGACGGCTGGAGATTGACAATGGGTGATAATTTTGGCGAGGTCAATCTCTAGACGTCATTTACTAAAAATTTACATGAAACTTGTCTAAAATTAACACTAATTATAGAAAGATTAAAAAAGGATAGAACGTTTGCAGACACAAATCTATTTCCAAAAAATAGTTTATCTCGAATTTTAAACTACACAATTTAAAAATATTTTTTTAATTTTTTACTCAAAATTAAAATAAATGAGAACCTTTTTAAGGTCAACTGGCAGTAAGCGCCAAAATTATTATCGATTGTCATTCTCCAGTCGTCTTTGACGCCGTTTTTTTTCTCGATCCTATGGGTTTTTATTAAAACAGAAAACGTTTAATTAATTTGATTACCTTGAGCAATAACACCGAAAATTTTATCGATGGATGCCTCAATGGGTAAAGGACAATTAAATATACAGAACTGACGTTTCAATCTAGAAGGAATATCATTTCTGCCTCCACCAGGTTGACCCATAGCGGATACAAATTGGACGTCCACTATCGCAGTGAATTCTCCCGGTTTTTCCAAACTATAAAATCCACCCATATCCATGGTTTGTCGTACTATTTCGTTGGTTACCTAATACAGACGATGACTAATAACTACTGAGATACAAAGATAATAGATATTGCTTACTGTAATATTATATTTCTTAATTTAAATTTATTAATCAAAGAAAAAGCAACGATATATTTAACTGAGTAGAAGAAGAAAATTCTCAGAAAATATTTATTAAAATATAATTTTTCCTCATCAGCTGCTTATTCCACAACATACACGACAAAGATCGGCTTGGATTGCCGATTTTCGTGTGTGCGAATAATACAGCCAATGTGTGTTCAGTGTTTTTTTTAGATTTAAGAGGTGAAGGGGGAAACCTGCAACAGGTACTCGCCTGGGAAAACCTACTATATGCCAGACGAGTTATGTGGGATTTTTACCTCACTAAAACCTAACCTATACCTCTGTCCTCTCTCCAGGAACGTTCTTTCCCCGGCGACACTCTTTGTAAATACTACTTCGCCGGGGCGTTCTTATTTGGTACTACTGCTGTCTATTCTTCGTAGGTGGTGTGAAGATCCTTGAGTATGGTCTCAGCATACTCCGCTACCTTGTTCCACGCCGATTGACTCTTCAGCATGCAGTCCATTATATTTTCTGGGCTGATGGACAAGCCTAGATTTCTCTCGAGTTCCGTCCTTATCTCCTCGTATAGAGGGCATCGAAAGAACACGTTCTCCGCATCTTCGGTCCCCACGCGGCAATGGTGACAGTTGGGGGAGTCATTTCTCTTGAATCTGTGCAAGTATGCTCGAAAGCATCCATGCCCAGTCAAGAGATGGGTGATGTAAAATCCAACCTCAATGTGCACACGAGTGATCCATTTGGTGACATCCGGGCTTAGTCGATGTGTCCATCGGTGGTTGAGCTGTCCCATCTCACTTGCCAAAGACGATGACTTTCAGGCCTCTCTTCTTCACAGAAGACCTGTCGCTGCTCGGCTTTCTTTTTGCGGTGTTGTCGCTGGCATTCTCCCGCCAAGATGTCGATAGGCAGGCATGATGCCACTACACTCACTGTATCCTGTGATACCGTCCGGTATGCTGACGCCACTCTAATCGCTGAGAGTCGGTGGACTGATGTCATTGTCCTGCGATATGTTTTTAGTTCCAGCGATTCTGACCACACCGGTGCTCCGTATAGGAGGACGGAGGTAACTACTGTTGCAAGTAATCGTCTCCGGGTTTGCCTGGGGCCTCTGATATTGCGCATTATCGGTGAGAGTGCGCCCTGAACTGCTCCCGCCTTCTTGCTGACGCTGGAGATATGCTCCTTGTAGTAGCCTCTCATCCAAGACCACTCCAAGGATACCGGATATGGGGTTGCGACTGGATATCATGGTCGCCTACTCTGATGGTGATGGTCTTCATTTTCTTCCGGCTACTCACTAGGAGTGCTTCAGTCTTATGCTCCGCCAGCGACAGGTCTGCCGATTGCATCCACTGTCTTATCCTCCTGATGGTGATGGAGAATGAAGCTTCCAGCTCCTCCAAGTATTTCGCCACAAGGACCGCCACGTCGTCCGCAAAAGCCACGAGTGTTGTGTTGGCCGGTAATTCAAGGTGGAGCAGACCGTCGTACATAACATTCCACAAGAGTGGCCCCATGCACCGCTGCTCCCTGCCCCGTCTCGTAAAGCAGAAGTCGATCGCTGAAATATGATCTGACCATCCTTCGTAGGTAGTAGGGTACACCCATGTGCTCGAGAGCCTCCAAAACGCGATCCCAGCGGGCTGAGTTGAACGCGTTCTTAATGTCCAAGGTGGCGATGAGGCAATACTTTTTGGAACCGCCTTTCCATCTCTTTCCTGAGATGGCTTTCTTTGCGATGTTCGTGACGAGTTCCAGTGCGTCGATGGTCGATCTCCCCTTCCTAAATCCGAATTGGAATTCAGAAATTTGATGATCGATGTATTGCTCCAATCTGTCGACCACTATCCGCTCCAAGTTTTTCCCCTCTGAATCCAGCATGCAAAGTGGACGAAAAGATGCTGGGTCGTCCGATGGTTTCTTTCCTTTTGGGAGAAGAACCAGTCGTTGCTGCTTCCATCGGGTCGGAAATACGCCTTGCTGCAGGCAGGCGTCGTACATGCTTATAAACATATCCGGTCTCGCGGCAATTGTACTTTTGAGTGCGATGTTGGGTATGCCGCTTGGTCCTAGTGCCTTGCCATTCTGCAACCTAGTACAGGCCTTCTTGAGCTCTTCTATGGTCACTCCGGGGATATCCATTTCTCCATCCTCTGGGTGGAATTCGGGGAGTTCTGGTTTTTCCGGGTATAGGTGTACCACTATTCTGTGCAGCATGTCGGGACAAGTTGGTGTTGTTGAGGGTAGGCTTTTAATCCTATGCATGACCGGTTATACGGTCTGCCCCACGGGTCCCGGTCCACTTCCGCACAGAGTTCCTTCCAGCATTCTCGCTTACTCGAGCTGATGGCGTTTCCCAGGAGACGGCTTTTCTCTTCATAAATCTGTCTGAGCTCCTCTGTCGTGGCCCTGTCGCGCTTTAGGGCACGCTGGTGTTGCCTTTTTCCCTTGAGGCACTCTCGCCGGTGCTGGGCGATGGTCGCGTTCCACCAGTGAGCTGGTGGCCGGCCGTTGTTCTGTCCACTCCTCGGCATCGAAGCGTCGCAGGCTGCCCCCAAAATGGCTGCTACTTCTTCCGTGATCCCCTCTGCAGTTGTTGTTCGGGGTACTGGTGAGGCCCTCATCATCAATTGTAAGGTTTCCACATCCAAGCGTTTGCTGTTCTAGCCTGATGGCTGCCTCCTTGTGATCCTCTGGCGCCGACCGCTGCTGGGATGGGTGTTGATTTCCCAGATTATAGCCTGATAGTCGCTATTTGTAAACTCCTCATCGACTCTCCATTCACAGCCTCCTTTTAAGAGGACACTGCTAATGAATGTTAGGTCGATGATTGAGCACGCGGCGCCTTTGGGGTAGGTGCTCGTATTTCCCTCATTCATATGAATGAGGTTTAATGATGAGAAAGCCTCTTGAATGGCTTTACCTCTTCTGTCCGTCTCACGGCTGCCCCATTCAATGGACCGGGCGTTAAAGTCACCAGCGATTACGACTGGGTCGTGTCTCCTCCTCACGTCTTCCACGAGAGTGTCCAGAAAGGTCTCGAATACTTCGATTCAAGCACTCGGCGGAGCATAGCAGCTATACAAGTACACTCCCCCCATAGCCCTAATGAACCATGAAGTAGGCTTAGTTGGTAGCTGCTTTGGGGGGCAGTCTACCGCATGCCCATATGGCTGCTTTTTTTGTACTGTCTGAGACCCACGGTTGGGTTTCTAAGTCGTAGTATTGCTCACAAAGGATGGCTACGTCGGCTTGCGCTTCTCGCACTCGTTGTGTCAGCAGGTCTTTTGCTGCCCTGCAGTGGTTCAGATTAAGTTGTAGAACTCTTATTTTCCGTGCTCTGGACAGCTCTTCTAGCATTCTGGAAGATGGGACAATTCCATCCCCCCGCCGTATGACTACAGTTACTCTTAGGATCTTTCTCTCTGCATAGAATGCAGCTAGGAGTTTTCTTGCAGGTTGGGGCCCTGTGGCCATCTTGTCCGCATCTAAAGCAGGTTTTGCTGCGATTCACTCCCTTCCTGCAGTCGAGAGCTTTGTGCCCGAAGTGCCAGCACTTGTAGCACCTGTTGGGTGATATTTTCTCCCGAATGCGGACTGTTCCCCAGCCCACTTTCATCTTCCCCAGAATCGCCGATTTTCTAGCGTAGATGGCAGGAAGGCAGACCACCGCGGTCTGCATCGAGGCCCAGCTTTTCCTCAGGGATTTCACCTCATCGGTAGTGAGGCCGTTCAGGTTTGGAATGCGGTCTTTTAGAAGTTTCACTACCTCTTCTTTGTGTGTCCAATCGTCCAGGTCCCTGATTTCTATTTCCGACTCCGGGATTCTCATCTCTACTTTCGCCTTATCTTTGAGTGTCTCCCTAATAGACGCTCAGTAGGTCTCCATCTCCTCGTCCTTCGCTTTCGCAAATACGATGAGCAGGTTGCCATTTGCCGTTCGCAGTGTGTGTGTGTGTGTGTGTGAGTGTGTGTGTGTGTGTGTTCAGTGTTCAAACAAAGAGAGAAGAGCAAGTATTTTTTCAAATATTTGTAATAAATACTTTTTATAATTATCTCTCCGACATACAAGATTGCCTTAGCGATTCGCTCATAGATATATAAATGCCGACTCAAAACTCTCTTGTCAACCCAGAATATTAATATAGCTGAGAATATATGGTACAACCAAACCAAAACTGACCATTAATAATTATATTATTATTTATTAATTATTCCAGTATAATAGTAATGGGTAACCGCCAACGCAAGGGTCTAAGACACTCGAAGAAATTTCTCAGGACTGACGGAGAAAAATCGAAGATTTTTCTCAATTTTATAAGAACAATCTCTGCATTGTCACGGGATTTTTAACAGACCGCGAGACGTTTAGTCTCCTCAGTGAATACCTCAGTAGATTGGAGCTAAGAAACAACGGTGAATGCAGATTCTGTGGGGAAAATGGGGAAACCACAAAAGACTTAATCGCTAAGTGTGCCCAGACGAACAACCATTCGTGCCATAAATATTTGTACGACCGATATCGGAGATGGAGAACTAACCTCCAGAAATCCGTCTCAGATACTGACTCTTGTAGTAGTCTATCATTTTATAACTCAAGAAAGGGAAGAACAATAAATTTAGATACAATAGATAATTTATAATCTGTTTGGTGCATAATTTTTTAGAGAAAGTGCCGCATTGACTACTGATATCAATAAATATATATGTAGTATTACTTGATCTCCCCAGCAGTTGATTTCCGGTAGATTAATATCATCTATAAAAATAATTAGTTTCTTTCCATTGGGGGCTCCAAAAGTGTTTCCCATACGCTTCTCCACATAGCTCTCCACAGTTTTTTGGAACTGGTAAGGAGTAGTTGCGCTGGAAAAGTTAAAAGCTCGATGCAAGTACTGCTCAGGGTTTGCTTTCTTCATATAAGACTTGATCATAACCTACAAAAATTATTTCTCAGTTTATACATTACAAATTTAAAGTCACTTTTTTTGTTCTTACTGTCTTTGCTGTTCCTTGTTCACCAATCAACATAACTCCTTTGTCCTGTTTAGCTATCGTGTCAATCAAATAATTTATTCTTACGTTATCCATAATGGGTATAAGGATTGTGGAATATTCCGGAGTTGCCAATTCTGGATATACGTAATTTGTTACCATCGTAGTCCAGAGAACCCATTCGCCATCATAATTCACTACATAATCAAAGAGAGTAGCCTAAAATTTAGTGAAAAATATTACGACCAAGTTTCCAAGCAAAGACTTTTATTTCGGTTTTGTTATTTTTTTTTCAAAATATAATTGAAACTTACATCAGGATTTTTACTGGTGTTTACGGGTAAATCCAAGAATGTAAGGTTTTCTCGTACATACGAGTCATATTTTTGTCTATCTTCAGCCTCTAAGTAAGCACCCGTACCCCAGGTTAACACAAACACATATAACTTCTCTAGATGTTCCGTAGTGAAAATTCTTTTTTCCTCAGATTTGTCTACTTCTTCTAAAAGGTCTTCATCATCGAAATCAGATTTTGATGCGTTGGTATCATCAGTACTCTCCATTTGATTTGGTATTAACCCTAATAGAATAAGGACAAAATATAAGTAAAAGGCTGGATAACTGATATAAAGTAACAAGTTAAAACGTCATAAATTATACAGGGTGGGCCACTGAAAACTTACAATGGCTATAATTTTTAAACTAAAATAGATATCAAAAAAAAATAAAAAAATACCGTTTCTATAATATTGAGGGAGAATATATATGACGTATTTTTTGAACCACCCTGACCTACCCTTTAGGCGACACCCCTACTCACTTGAAAATCTTAAATGGCAACACCCCACTTGTGGCGCCTTTTTGGAAAGCCCATGAAAAATGCTAAACGATGATCATAAAGTTTTTAGGGTGAAATTGAAAAACTACCCCTTACACGAAAAATTAGGTGGACATTAACGAAAAAAGTGATTTTTCAGCATAAGTTACAAATTGGGATCCAGCTAAATGAGGCAAATGAGGTATTTTTCAAACCACGCCGACCAACCCCTAGGTGCCACCCCCTCACTTCTAATCTCCAGATAGCGATACTCCACTTGTGACACTTTTTTGGAAAGCTAATTGAAATTGCTAATCGATGGTCATACAGACTTCAACTTAATTATTGGTAAGTAGTGATAAGAAATGTATATAGGTGTGACAATTTGAAAGAAATTTAAAATGATAATTTACTTTAACAATTACTCCAAATGACAGTCGTTTTGCTCCATACAAAAATACAAACGATTATCAAACGTGACATTTTTGTGCGGATTTCTCTCATTGAAAGCACGGGCCGTTCTCAAATAGCACATACCTTCAGCACCATAAAGAACAACTATTTGAATTCTTTCTTCCACAGTATAAACTATTTTTCTTTCAAATAAGCGAATCAAATAAAGGTTTAAAATACCACCAAATTTGCAAACGATTGAAAATCGATAGAAGCTCCGTAGCAAGAAATTTCCTGTCTAGCCTATGCTATTTGTATACGATTGATGAGTCACTAGACAGGAGAAATGTTTACAGAACCGCTAAGCTGTAGTGATGTAAAAATTCTGAGTAATCGTTACAAAGTAACAGTTACTTTACGAGGACTCGAAGTAACGCTTACTATTTGAATTTAGGACTCGTTACTCGTTACTAAGCTAATTCGTTACTTTTGCGCCGGCAGTAATCGTAATCCCTGGAAATGCACGAACCGAGGACTCGAAACTCGATACTGAAATATTCCTTACTTCGACGTAGGTCTAGTTGTTATCAATATGTTTATGTTTAAAGTGTTGACTTGACGCCGGCCGGTGTTTTGGATGGCAAATGTGTGATATTTTTATTATCATTATTATGATTGGCTCATGCCGACCCGGAGGCAGTCTGTCCCTTTGCCGTTTGTTGTCGCTTTTTATTTATAGAATAGAATTGTTTATTTAGATTAACATGTCTTAGATATTAATTAAAAATGGATTCACGTTAGTCACAAAAAATGTTAACATTTGAAAAAGCTGAGCAACTATTTTTCTTCTTCAAAAGAGAATAGATATTTCGCCACTTACACTGTTAGAAAATCTACAAAATAAAAATATTGTTACGGATTCCGTGGGTCCACTATTTAAACTCACGATAAAATACTTAACGAATTTATTTGTTTCACTCTGTACACACAACTTATACTATTTCCAACACAACTTATGCAACATTGATTGTTGCTTTTTTTCCATTTTTTCAAAACTTTTCTTGATACGGTCCTGCTCTTCAAGTTTTTCTTCTTGTCGACGCACTTCAAAACCTTGTAAAATTTTCTCGAGCCGGTCCTGTTCCTCTTGTCTTTCTTTCTGATAACGCGCCTCTAAGCCTTCCAGAATTTTCCCAAGCCGGTCCTGTTCTTCTTGTTTTTCTTGTTGTCGTTGTAATTTTTCCTCTTCCTTATCTTTACGTAGTCTTTCTTGTTCTTCTTGTTTTTCTTGTTGTCGTTGAATTTTCAAATCTTCAAAAATTTTCTCAAGCCGGTCCTGTTCTTCAGCTTTCTCTCTTCTCATATTCTCCATAAAATCGCCCAATAATTTGCTTACCTCTTCCATTTTCTTCGCTTGCTCCCTTGTACCAATCTTCCAATCCACTTAATTTCTTCTTAAAATCCTCTTGAATCGCACTTCCGACACCAATTGTTACGGATTCCGTGGGTCCACTATTTAAACTCACGATAAAATACTTAACGAATTTATTTGTTTCACTCTGTACACACAACTTATACTATTTACAACACAACTTATGCAACTACTATTACTCTAACGGTATTTCGCGGTATTTTCAAACTTCAGACTATCTTCAGACTTCCCAGCTGTCAAAGCGCGGGCCTTATATACCCCCTGGCGATGGTTTCTGGAATTTTCTAAAGAATTCTGTAATTTTCTTTCACTTTCTGTCGAATTCGCCAGGTTCCTCAATGCACCGTTGCGGTTATGCAACCAGTAATACACCTTAACAATATGTTATTTTTAGTAAACACTGCTGCGTTAATCCAAAGGACTTTTTTGAAGAGATGAATCCGCCACAGAGGAATATACATTTTTTTAATATTTTTACGTTTTAACAAAAATATATACATTTTTTTTAATTTTTACTCTTTAATGTTTGCCTATTTATTAATGTAATACAAAGAGAGAGAGAGAGAGAGAGAGAGAGCGAGAGTATAAAAAATACTTTATATTTATTATACACATATTTTCTTTGTTTGATTTGTTTTCCTTTGTTTTTTATTTATTAATAGTACATAGTTTTATTTAACATATCATTATTAAAATATTATACATATTATTAAAAACATATTATTCAGTACTTGAATACCGAGTATTGAAATTATCCTATTAAGCCCTTACACTAGAAGAAAGTAGAAACCCCTTATAGGTTAAACCGAGCATGCAACGAAGATCGCCGCGCACAATAAGTAACGAAGTTCCACGTCAAGCCCAAGTCATCCAACCTAGTACACAAAACAACGATTATAAAGTAACGATACTAAGTACCAAAGTAACGAGTAACTAAAGTAACGAGTCCAAAATAACGAGTCCTATTACCAAAAGTAACGAGTCCATAAAAGTAACTAAAGTTTACATCACTACTAAGCTGTTTGTTGAAAGTAAAAAATAGATAATAATGAAGAATTTGCGTTATCGTAAAATTAGGCTGAACGATTAGTAAAACATCTTTGTGTTGCCTTTGTAACATTGAAAATGTTTCTGTTATCCTATATAAGAAAGCTCAAATCGAATTAAAATGCTACATTTGCCACACCATGACGTCATCACGCGTATATGTATAGGAAATCTCGGCGCAGAGCGGCGCGGCTGCGGCAGTCGGACATCGCTAATTGTTTATTGATATATCTTTATTAGTTTAAAAGCAAAAAATATGGGGTTTGCTTTGATACCTTGTCAAGACATAAGCGAAACTTATAAATTGTTTCTTTTTTTCATTTAGGCCTTTGTTTTTCGTTAAATGAAAGTTATATTTAAAAAAGTCCATTTTTAAACCAAATTTTCGCATGATTGAAATAAGTTATTCATGTTTAAAGTTTTTTTCGGTCATAAGCGCTAATGGAAATGTTTTTTTTTGTAAATAATTATAAAAAATTACTCTCTACGAAGACTTTATTTTGTACTGGATCAAAAAATAAGTATTTGTTTTCTCTATACGGTGGTATTAATATATCGATTTTTGATGATAGTGCCCTTTTCCCGGTCTAATTTTGTACTACTTTTGGAATAAGGGTTCCCATATCATGTACTTGTACTTCCTTCCCTGAAAAATTCAGCTTGTGACACCGAAGTGGGATACATATATAAAAGCTCAAAGGGTTTTTTTGTTACATCCATCCCGCCGAAACCACCTCACCTCCTAAGTTTTCAGTGGCCCACCCTGTATAGGACAAGACAAATTAGTTGGCACAATCCTGTAATAAATAATTGATCTGTTAAATAATTGATCTGGATAAATTTTATCTTTAAGAAGCTTCCGATATTGGTTATTCATCTACAGTAACGAAATATAATAATATGAGAGTATTTAATTTTGAAATTAAAAATAGAAAATTGGTCTAGAGATAATACTGATTATCAAAAAATTATTGGAGATCTATATGAGTGTATATATTATCTTTCATATTTTTTATCTGGTTTAGACTTATGGATATTGTGGATATATAGTTGGTATCAAATTCAGAACTCGGAAACTCGCCAAAAAAATTTTAGTAATAATACGAATATCTGTTATGCCTATTCAACATTTTATTTTAGCGAAAAGGTCTTTCTGTTGATATACTTAATGAATATTATTGTAAAGTACCTTCTAATAATGTAGTAATTTGTAGTATAATATTGCATTCCAAAACATCCATTACAGGTGTTAAAGCTTGAGCCCCCCAACTTTGCACAACTCCAAAAGACTCCTCAAATAGTTTAGTAAATATTTCCTGTTCTTTGGGACTGCGTTTCTTTAGCCAAGCTTTTACTATCGGCTTCCAGTTTAATCCAGAAGAGCTCATGTAAACCTAGTATTTCAAAGTAATATATAATGTTTAAATAAGGTCTATTAGCACTCTTGATTTTTTAATAGCGCTAGTTTAATATAGTGCTATTAATGGTATAATAAAACCCTACTAAATTCACGTCAATGGTGATAATTTTGTAGGTAAAAGAAAAGAAAGAAAGTACTTTTATTATAAATGAACTATGGATAAAGATACCAATATTCTACAGAAGGAACTGATAGGCAATACCGTGACAATTAGAGAAATATTCTACAGGAAGATAACTTATAATAATCAGAATATCGACAGATAGTAAGCTGTATCTACTACTCCTATGAAGATTTAAAATAATTACTGATTCTTTATGGGCATACCATTAAGTGCTCAAAAAGGTGTCGTGTGACAATAAATCATGTTGAAGTAAGTCAGAAGACATGCGCAATATGATGTTATCAAAAAACCGAAGGTTTGTTGAATACTTCACTCACTTGAAGGCTTATAGCTATCATAGCTTAAATATTTATCTATCCAAAAAACTTTAAGAGATATTGTGATGCAACTGCTTGCAAAGTTGCAACTGAACTGTAAAATCTTTGCAGTTTTCCAATAAGAAACGAACAGTAATATTATTTTGTTGTCGAAAAGCAGTCTTCAAACTGTGACTGAAATTCTAATCGAATATCAACAAGTCATTGAACGTCTTAACACAATGAAGCTGAAACCAATTATTCTGCAGAGGATATGAGCAATTGGACAACAACTGGACAATCTCGTCAATTAGCCAATTCTGTATAAAATTATCGTTACTATTTTTGACGTATGGGAGATTATGTTTGGCTGGGGTGCAAGAGAGCCAATGGACAGCTGCAGTCCTTTCACACTGCTTTCCCATCTCCTTCTACCAATCAAATTAAATTAGGAAATATGTTTTAATTCTTGTTGAAAATACCAAGGTCTATTTTCAACAAGAATTAAAACATTATTCTGCAAAACGTAGTTAAATCAAGATTTAGAAAAAAAACACAATTTTATTCAAATATACGTTTTATAAAAATATAAAAATTTTATGTTGATATTTATAGAAAATACCCACCATTCCGTTTCTAGATACGGTGGCTGGAGAAGCATTATCAATATTTTCGGGTTCAAAAATAATTTTGCAAGTTGGAGCCATGGACAATCGATCACCATTTGCTAAAGTTAAAGTTTTATTATCGTCCAATACGGAATTTAAGTTCTCTATCCAGATACTATCCACTGGACCATCCAAAACCAACCATACATGTTCGCCTAAAAATATATTTTGTCTTACCTCTCGGTTTTTATTTTGCCAGTAACAATTAATTGTTTGTCATTAACGATAGTTAAAAATACAAAAATAGAACCCTTACCAGTTTTCATTTTCAATGTTTTCCTCCATAAGGCCGAAAATATTCCATCCGTCCAATCGTTAGTGGCTACGTCCAATCTTCCAAACATTTGAGCTGCTGTTATGGCCTTTGGATTCATTCTCATTTCCCTTAAATGACAAGATTTAGTTATTTCAACGTATTTTCTATTTATACATCTAAAATAACTAAATAAGTAAATTATTAGAATATACTTTACTTATGAACAGTTCCCATTTGGGTCAGAGCTTTCATTAAAATTTGGATGCAGCTGGTTTTTCCGGCTCCTGAAGGTCCCAGGGTCATAATTCCATGTCTCACTCGTTGTGTTTCGTATAACTACAGATAAATACATATAAATGCAGAACATATATGTCTAAAATTAATATGAATATTGTCTAGACTTGTATTTATATCAATATGGGAAAAAGCATGTTAAATATAATTTCAGTAACGTGATGCCTACGTAATGTGGCATTTTCTATATATTTATCATTACTTGAATCAATTTCAAAGACCATGATGGATGGTTAACCAGCCCCACTTCTTCCACCTGCTGGTTAATAGCTTCTTCTAATTCCGGATAAGTAGTCTTCTCCAGCACCAAATTTGGAAAGAGATCGGCTATGAGTGAAATAAAAAGCGGTTCGTCTTCATCTATTAATTTGGACAAATTCATATCTCTAAGTACTCTCATTACTATAGTACTCTCTGAGTCTTTGTTGTTTACTCTTTTCGCTGCACCTAAACTCCTAAGTACGGAGAGGATGTTTCGTAAACCAAAATCATAATGAACCTAAAAATATTACCATAGATAAATATAAAGTAGTCTAAGCAATCTAATTTTTAATCAATCATTCTTAAAAATTTTAGTGACTGACTGCTTACTAAATTTTATTTGAAACTGAGAGTGGGTCGTACTTATTTTTGCTTATCATTTTTTGACATATTTGTTAAGAATTTACTTATTTTTCAAAAAAGATGTTGACACTCCAATGTAAAATCAATTTAAAAACATAAAAGCGAAAAACTTCTTACTTCTTCTTACACTTCTATGTTCCGTAAACAGTAGATATATAAATAATAATAATAATAAATAAGGCTTTATTGTACAAAAAGCCAAAATAGCTCCATCGACAAAGCATTTAAGAAACAAACAAAAGCACAAAAAATATACAAATAAAAAAGATGATAAATCGCCAAATTAGTATATTTTTTTATTAAAAGCTTGGGATTTTGGCACAATCTATAAGTATGTTTTTCAGAAAAAATCTAATGATGTCCAAATTACATGTAGCTACTAGCCCTAAACAGTTAAATGTTAAGAGTACGTTTTTTGGGTAGCATATAGTTTTTAAAATGTAATACCTATATTAAATGTTGCTTAATAAATATGAATAACTGGATTTAAAGAAATCTATTAAATTACCTGTTTTGTTAGTTGTTCTTCACATAATTTATACAGGGTATAAAATTTTCTTGCCAATGTTATGTTCTCTAGAAAACCACAACTAGCTAACTTCACTCTAATAATGATTTGTCTATCAGGCACCATCATAGCTACGGTTCTAAACTGAATCTTTAGATTTTCAGGTAATTCCTTTCTACCAGCATATCCAGGGTTCTATAGAATCGAATTTGTCTAATTTATGGAATAAAAAACAAAATTATATTTTACCATAGTAATGAAAATTCCAAACTCAGGACAGAGTTCAATCATGTCCCCATCAGTAAATTGAAAAGTCTTCTTTTTCTCCTTTTTGCTTGCTAAGACTACTGCTACTTGTTGAGCAGCTACTGATAGAACTGGTAGTTCGATCCTGTTAAATTCGTCAAAGCAACCCCAAGAGCCAGATTGTGCCAATCCTTAATAAAAAATACCACATACATATTAATATGATATAATAATTCATATAAAGTTTAGTTATTGTCTTTAAGAGAGAAGTATGTACGTAATTTTATGTTGAATCCAATTCTGTACATAAAAATAGGACAATTTTTAAAAAAAAAACTCATCATTGCTTTTTTGGGATACCCTGTATATAACAATCAGAGCTGCAAGCTCAAAGAAAATTTAACTCTTTTTTTGATTTAAATCATTTTAATGACTTAAGTCATTTGATTTTAAGTCATTTTTCGAAAGCTGAATTAAGACTTAAAATTTAAATCTTTTTGAAAATGATTTGTGATTTAAATCTTTATTCCGAAATACAAAAAGATTTAAGTCTTTTTAGAAAAGACTTAAGTCATTAAAAATATTTAAGTTTTTTTTAAAGGCTCAAGTCAGATTTTTATTTATTTTTAAGATACATTTTTAATAGCAGCATTTCTAAAAAAGTTTAGTAATAACCAGCCTTTTTGACTTGAATTTACTGAACAATTTGATAGATAGAAGGCAGGTATTTCTAACAGTTAAAATTGAAATTAAATTTAGATTTTGAATAATTATTTGATTATTAATTATGTATACCTTTGTAAATCCTTCCTAAACCTCTGTAATCCATTTGGTCTGAACAGTTGAACACTACGACGTATTTTGCTAGTGTCTTTCCCATATCTTTGACCGTTTCCGTTTTACCTGTACCAGCAGGACCACATGGTGCACCACCCATACTCATAGCCAGAGCTTGAGCCAGTGTAATATAACATCTGAAAATAATTAAAAATTATAAGATACTCCAACTGAAACCGCCCAAGGTGAATTAAAATTGTAAGAAGCAACCTATTGTTCTTTGTTAATATTGAGCAACTTTTCGCGTACTGTAGATGGAACTTTACGTAGTTGTACCGGGAAACACGACATAGGTTAGTTATACAATTATTATGTTACTTCGTTAGTAATGTAGTGAGTGTTTTAAAATATAAAACTGAATATGAATTTATGTTAATCTAAGTTTCACATACCTATCTGTTAAAGGTGTTATAACCAGTCGATCAGTACATCCTAAATATTCATTTTGATATGAAAAAGTGACATCTGTAATAATTATGAGAGTCTTATCCTGTTCTTCTTTAAAATAGAACCTGCATTGTTTTAACCATTCGAAATCGTTGATATGACGAACGTTTAATCGACACTAAGAATTTATCACAATTCAATAAAGTATGAAGCTCATTTTTATATATAACTTACGAGAATATCAAAAATATCTCTTTGATGCACGTGGATGGTGATCAGAGTTTCAAATTTGGTTCTTTCAATTCTGGTAAGGTCTCTTGTGGTTTGATCAATAAGGGTATTTAATAATTCCAAGAATTTATTGTTAGTATCAGGCATGATTTTCTTGTCGTGCCTAGCTTGAAGTAGTGCTACCTCAGCGTCTCTGGTCCATATCATTTGTAATCCCAAGATACCAATCTAAAATCAGATAGTATGTTTTTATACAGTGTGTCCCCGGATTGTCTTTACAAGAGGAAAAACTTTTTTATTATTGTCATTTTGAGAAAAATGCATTCTTCATAAAAAATTTTGCTTGATCTAAAATGGTTAATCCCGTCTATGCTTTTCCAAATTTCCATACCCTCTTAGAGAAAATTAAGAAAAATATGAAAATACGGTTGAATTTTTCCTAAGTCCCAAAAATCAAAAGGCGTTTCTATGGTAATATCAACTCGATTTCATCGTCAGTGAAATGTGTTAACCAGGGGGGTGACAGTGAAATAGGAAAATTGGAAACAGTCATTAGTGTCATTCCTGTCATTCTCCTCACGACAAGTATGGCCGCCTAGACAAAGACAGCATTGATTTTGTCTAACTATTATCTAACTTCACATTTTAGAATTGACAGATTTCAGTTTCAGAGACAGCTTCAGATTTGTTCTAGAACAAATTCGAAAATATTCGACGTCATTTTAATTCATTCCGTTTAGTTTCGTTTTGGAAGTTCAATTTGATATTTCGGCTGAAATTTATAAATATAAAGGTAATAAAGTATATAAAATATATATTACATGAAGAATCCTCGAGAAAATGACGTTTTTGCAGTAGTAGGTATGTCCCATGTATATGAAAAATAGGTAGTAAATAAACACTGTTTTTACATTTTTTAGATGCAAGAAAATGGTGTTATAATCTCTTTGATCGGCGATTTTTTTGAAAATGGAAACAATTTACAGCAAGGTAAGATCATTTTTAACTATAGCCAACATTAGTTATCTCCAATATGTGCGATTTATTGTCAATAATGCAATAAATCTGACTGATAATCTGATTATGTTATCCGACTAAAAGTCTCTTTTTGCATCTTTTTGATTTATAAGCCAGGTTCTTTGGGAATAATGGACGGTTTTTTTAAACAGTATATTTATATTTTATACCTATTGATATTTTTACATTGTTAATTTTAGCATAAAAAAATTGTTTTTCTGTTTTCAGGTTTTTGTATAAGGCTCCCGTTTTCATGTTCCTGTGTCCGTTTTCTGTCCTTGAAGTTTGCGAATGTGTGTGTTTATTTACAAATTACTGTAAGTCATGCTTATACCTTAACTAATTTACGTTAAAAGTGCATATAATTAACTAATTGGTATTGAAACAATACAATCCTCTATATTTTTATATTTATTTAGTCATGTTGTTCCATATTTCAAATAAATATATGTGAATAAATTATTTTTTGGTTTTATTTATCGTCAGTCATACTTACTTGTGCAGGTAATTTCTCTAAAAATACTAATAGCTGAAAGTTCGAATCGTTAATTAAGACATGAGCCTGCCGTATAATCGAATGCAAAGATGCTTGAGACGTCTGCAACAACTGCGTCAACCACGTCTCAACACTCCCTTCAGCTCTCACCGCTTTTTCCAGTTGAATCATTTCACCTTCCGATGAAATAATAGCTGTGATCTTATTATATTCAATATCATGGAATTTCACGTATCTGGTGTTATCGAATATAGACAGTAAGTGGTTTTGGATAGTGTGAGAATCGCTGGCTTGACCTAGAATTTCTAAAAGGGCAGGATCGGATACGAAGAAAAATCTTGGGAACATCATTCTCTTTCTTTCTAGATACCCGCTGAGTGATTTTTGGCATAGTTCTAGTTGCTCCTGGAGATGGGGTAAGAGTTGTTTCAGCATGTCATCGCCTAAGAAATGAAAATAAGTAAATGTGTGAATTATCTTACTTTGTAATAAGAGATACAAAAAATTCATGTGCAATATTATTTATCTATCATCGTAAAAAATAATATTTTCAGAAATTCGATTATTAGAAAGATACCAGAAAGTTTGTCTAGTTTTTGAAATCATTGGGGGATATACTAGTAGCAAGGATATATAGAATAAGGATATTCGACTGGCCCAAAAAAAACGTGCCGTATTTTGTCGAGGAAGACGATTTCGTCACGACCAATGGGCGTCGAGTATTTGAAATTGAAAACATATAAATTGACGGTAACCTATGTTTTTTGACTCATTTCACTGACAAATGTGATGAAATCGTAGGATGAAATTGTTATTGTAATTTATAGATCCAAAATCCAAACGTTTTTTGAATAAATAATTTATTTTAAAGTTATTTCCTAGAGGTTTGGTTTGGCCTTCTATATTCTGGTATTTGTCAACTAATAAATAATATCTTATTTTGTATTTCGATGTATGGAAATCCGCAAGTTTTGTATCTGAAGCCGCAAAAGAAATTTCGCTCTATAGTGAAAAATGTTATATCTTTTTAGACGCGTAGAATAACAAAATTTCTTATTTCAGATGTTCTAAATGTGAGTGCTTAATGTCAAAAATTAAAATATATACTTGAAATATTTCAAGTTATACCCTTTGCCCTTTGGAAGTAAACAAATATTGAAGAAAGTGTTGTGCCTTCACAGAATTTAAATTGGCATTAGGAATAGATTTCCTTGATTTAGTAATGATATTGCTCATAGAAATTGGTAATATACTATTTTATATTCACTTGTTCAAGTGCTGATCTATTTTTAAATTGAATATTTATGTAAGTATTATGTATAACACGATATAAATAATTTAAGGACATAAGAAATTAAAATTTCAAATGCCAATATTGATTATTTTTCCAGTTTTATTCAAATATATTAAAATTAATATGGAAACAAAAGTTCATAAATATTAGTTTGAAAAGCCATGTCAGAAGAGTAGGATTAAAGACAAAGTATTAAGGTAACATATATTTGCATACAGTTTTAATAACACTGACAATTTTATTTGTTTATGTTTATTAATTAAAATTTAGTTGCAATTTATTTCATATTCTAATATTTTTGAGAAAATTTTACTTAGATACATACCTGAATATTATGCTGCTTTTTTATTTTAAAGTGTGCCGACTGTGCTGTTATTTTTATACTAGTAATATTGTATACTGTAGGTATCGTATTCATATATAGTTTATATGAATTTATATTATATTATATATATATATTATATATATATATATATATAATATAATATATTATATGTATATATATAATATATATATACATATTATATATATTATATATATATATATACATATATTTATATATATATATATATATATATATATATATATATATATATATATATATATATATATATATATATATATATCATTAGTATAGATACTTACTTTCTTTCTATGTGTACTTATATCCTTTATAGTCTTTCTAAGTGCATATAATACTACTTTTTAAGAGAAGGCAGTTTTTAATAATCTATTGTTAATTCCCCCTAATTCTGTGTCCCCTGGTTCTGCTATACAACAATTATATATTTTCTTATCATTACTGATTTTAAAGTTTTTTTCAAAGAATTTGACCATATATTTTTTTTTTCAAGTAATTGGGCTGTTCCTGAACAATATTGAATATAAATATTCAAAAAATATGATTGATAACTGCATATTCTACTAAGTAGATCAATACCAAAATCCCATTAGAGAAATAAGTTAAAATTATGTTTTACTTGTATAATTTTCTTGCTATTTGTCCACCATTATTTGTGACTTAGAAATTAAATAGTCAAAAAGAATTTAGTACCAGTTTTTATTTCCCAAAAAAATTGTTAAATAATTACATATTGCTTCAGATACAGTATATTATATTGTGTTTATAGTTGATAATTCGTTCTTAGTTGTTTATAGTTGATAATTAACAATATTTCTGATGTTAGATATTATAGGTATTAGATAAAAAATTTAATTACCAATAGCTACCTACCTATGTAGCTGCAGATTATATATTGTGTAGTAGGTACTGTATAATTCTTTAGTTCAAGAAACAAATATCAGTACAAGTATATAACCAAAAAATGTTGATGCAAAATTCTTTGTATAACATACGTACCCCTATGGTATTCAACTTTTCATTGTTCTTTTAATTAGATACACAATAAGCACATTAATTCGTTTATTAAACAACCAAAACTCTAACTACTTAAATTCACAATATAAATATCACAATAAATGTATAAGCTTTGATCAATTCCTATTATTAATACCTGACGACTTCATACTTTATAACTACCAATGGCTATCCTACTAACACACTAGCCAACTAATAATAAATCTGTTCTAAAAAAATACAACATAAAGACATCGTTATTGCAATAATATAGAAATATATTCCATGTATCATTAACTACCTAGGTATAAATACAATACCCACATCTTCTTTTAAGCGAATAGTGCGTTAGGAGGCAGAAATATTGCCTGCATTGTACATCGTACAAATTGGCTAGAATTTATTAATATCCATTGCAAACATTTCTCTTTCAAAGGGTCTAAATGTTTTGTCTTTTTACTGTGTCCCTGTAATATGTTATCAATTAACAACAGTTATCAAATATGACCTGGACAATAATAATTGTTTTACCTTTTTTTCAAACTAAACTCTTTAAACAAACTATATAAATAAAATTTATCTCATAACCTAACTTGCTGCTAGAATTTCTTTCTTGTTATTCTATGTTCCTGTATTGTTATTCTTCACATTATCAATTTCTATGAGCAATATCATTACTAAATCAAGGAAATCTATTCCTAATGCCAATTTAAATTCTGTGAAGGCACAACACTTTCTTCAATATTTGTTTACTTCCAAAAAATGTCAAAGCATATAACATGAAATATTTCAAGTATATATTTAAATTTTTGACATGCACTCACATTTAGAACATCTGAAATAAGAAATTTTGTAATTCTACACGTCTAAAAAGATATAATAACATTTTTCTCACTATGGAGCGAAATTTCTTTGCGGCTTCAGATACAAAACTTGCGGATTTCCATACATCGAAATACAAAATAAGATATTATTTATTAGTAGACAAATACCAAAATATAGAAGGCCAAACCAAACTCTAGGAAATAACTTTAAAATACATTATTTTTTCAAAAAACGTTTGGATCTATAAATTACAATAATAATCTCATCATATCTGTCAGTGAAATGAGTCAAAAAACATAGGTTACCGTCAATTTATATGTTTTCAATTTCAAATACTCGACGCTCATTGGTCGTGACGTAATCGTCTTCCTCGACAAAATACGGCATATTTTCCTACATAGCCCGCTATAGGGAGTTGAATATCCTTCTTCTATATATCCTTGACTAGTAGCTAGGTATTTTGTCTACATAATATGACATTATAGCTTTACGGAAATAATAAAGGCATTTGAAGTTTTTCTCAATACTGGTATAAAGGCATTTAAAGTTTTTAATATTAGCGTTGAAACAATTTTTTAGGGGAATTTCAATTTTAAATTGCTTTTTATATACAGGGTGTCCCATGTTAGTATGTTTTACAGAGTTTCTCGTTTATGAGATGCAAAGATGAGGTTTTCGTGTTACATGCTACTTTTTTATGAAACTAAAAATGGTACACACATATTTGTCCTAGCACTCTTAGTTCTTGAAATACAGGGCGAATTTGAAATTGTTGTATTTTTCAACTACCCTCGTATCTCGGTTATCTTACAACTTATTGAAAAGGTAAAAACTGGGTGCCATAGAGTTTTTCGCGTAGAATTCAGTTGCGTAACTATACGTTTGCTAGGTGCTGTCATTTTTTAAATATTACCTAAATTTATGTTTTTTTAATAGGGTACTATACGTATTAATTTTTTCTTTTAATTACCTTTGTTATGAGCTTTCTAAAAATATAATATATTCTATTCTTATTTTCACAAACAAGGTAAAAAATGCATTTGCAAAATGCAACTTTTTAACATAGGAGGCCAGTTTAAATTAAATCAAAATAATAAAATCATGAATCATGTAATCTAGAGGTGTGTAGTTCGTGAACGAACTAGTTCCGACCCCGAAATAACGGAATGGGAATCTCAAAGAACTAGTTCCTCAGGACCTATTCCGGGATCGAGACTGTGACCGATATACATACAACAATATGCGACGGCGACCGATCTAGGCAGGAGTGGGTAGTGCCAGGCGTATGCTATCGAATCCGGACCTAGAGGAACTAAATAAAAGACTAGTTTACGTATGGATCGGCCAGCGCAATCGATGCTAGGCAGGAGTGGGGAGTGCCATCCGTATGTTATCGGATCCGGACCTAAAGGAACTAAATAAAATACTAGTTTACGTACGGATTGGCCAGCGTGATTGATGCTAGGCAGGCGTGGGGAGTGCCAGCCCTATGTTATCGGATCCGGACCTAGAGGAACTAATTAAAAGACTAGTTCACTGGAATCTATTTAGTCGGCAGATCCGAAATACAAGGCGACGACGATGGATTGGGCCTTGTCTATTGCCACAGCCGGCATAATTACCACAGAAAATTGTCGTGTATACTGTTTTTAATTTTTAGTTTGTTCTTTAAATATTTATGGGAATGTTTCACTTTAGGTCCCTAAAATTAAGAAATATCTTATAAAACGAAGCAGATATCTGAATTTTTAGACAAAAACAAAAAGCTTGAAGTGAGGAAAAATGCAATTTTTCTTAAAATTTTCGTAATGTTTGCTCCAATTGATTTATGATATAGTTTTTTAAACTCTGATTTGAGTTTCTTTTTTAATTTTTTCATCTGCAATAAAACTTACCTATATATTTTTAACATACACAATTATTACACGTCTCGTTATATTTCGTACATTATAAAAATTATATACAGATCATACTGTCAATAATTTTGCCTGACATCCAAAACCAATTAGCAAGCAACGGGGATGTCAATGTTAGTCGGGAACTATTTTGAACTAAAGACCTAGTTCAAGGAACTATTCCTCTGGAGGAACTAGAATTAAGGAACTAGAATTTCGACCTCTAATATAATCATCAATGAACAAATTTGACGTCAAATTTTTGTTATTGGCTATTCCAGGCTAGTTTCTGTGTGAATTATTGCACAAGTGCATCAAAAACATTAAAAACTCTGATCAACAGTGTGTTATCTAAAAGCTGCACAAGTTCATTTTAGTGTAGTTTATTAAGATAATATGATGGGAAGCAAATTTGTCTGGTTCAATTAAGTTAAAAAAAAAAATAATAATACTCTTTTAAACAAGGTTTATTTACGTTAAATAGGTAAATAATGCAATTTTTACCTTATATATGAAAATAAGTATAGAGTATATTTCATTATTAGAAAGCTATAAAAGTCAAATAAAATAAAAAATAATATACAGGATGTCCCATTTAAAAAACATTAAAAAGTTTTAAAAAACATATTTTGAAAATGACAGCTCCCAACGAAAAACTAGTTATTCTACGTCAAAATATCTACGGAACTCAGTTTTCACCTTTTCGATAAGTTATAAGATAACCGAGATACGTAAAACCTACGAGAGGAAAGTCGAAAAATGCAACAATTTCAAATTCGCCCTGTATTTCAGTAACTAAGAGGGTTAGGATAAATCTAAGATAGTTTAGTTTCAGTTGAATAAACAAAACATTATTATAAATGATTAGCTAAATTATAAAATTAATAATATTGAAAACCACATAAATAAATTCTAACCAACGCAGCAAGCTACAACTCCTGGTGTTTCATGAGCTCTCTGCATGATCTTTTGCCAGGACTTGTCAATTTTCGAAAACCTTTTTGCTTCTTTAGGGAGTTGTTTAGCTATGTCACCTCCAACAAACACAGCTTCCAGATATACCCACATATTCTGAACTAAAAGCCATCTCTCTAGTATTTCATTTGTATTGGACAAGTCATGTACCCATTGCTGAATTTGTTTCTTAAATGGTGCATTGTATCTAGAGAATATTTAAACTATAACCACAAAAAACTCAATTCGAATAAATAATACGTTACCTGTTGGATAACAAAGATCCCAATACCATCAAACTATCCTCCAATTGTCCAATGGTTTCAGCTGTAGTGTCACCTCTCAATAACAACTCCCCTCTATTATTAAATGTCATAAACGTCAGCTCATGCACGGACCACTCGTTGGTAACCTGTCTTAATTTCGCTTCGATATCTTTCTCCTTCATAGCAGATATACAGATATCTTCTATATCTTCCTTGTGCTGGAGCAGAGGAGCTTCTAGAATATTTTTCAAACAGAACCCATCACTTTCTAGTTCGAAAATGTGCTGTAAAGAATCCATGATGCGTTGCCAATGGCGAGGCTTCATAGCCTTGTTGGCCATGAGTTCCAACAAGGGACACATGTCGTTGAAATCGTCGATGGTTTTTTTCAGGGCAAAGAAAGCCGGCCATTCTTTCAAACCCTAATTAATCATTGGATTAATTTAATTAATTTGATTAGATAATAATGTATTTTTTACTTTTGGTAATTTTCTGCATCTGTTTTGAAACTCCATAAGTTCGTTGTTAATTTCTTCTATATTGACATCACCCCAAGGGATGTCATAGTAACTGTTTACTCTGTCGATGACATCATTATATAATTTATAGAGCTTTTGAAGCAGATTTAGTTCTTTACGTATTTGTGCTAAATCTGGATAATCAGTTGTAGGTAGCCCAAACAAATCTTCACCGCTTTGGTATGTTTGAAGTTTCCTCCACATTCCATCAAAACGATTCTATATTTCAAAATATATGTTTAATATGCATTACTTAATTAAATCAAATATATTCGATACCAATTAAACTTTTAGTTACGTAATAAGCCAACCATGGACATATTCGTCACCGGGCTGACTAACTGAAATTTAAATTTCCCGCTGAGAATTCAAATGGTAGCTCTGCTGTAAAAAATGTCCAGTTGCCACTTTTATTTATTTATTTCTTGACGTTTTGGCATTAGTTTTGTATTACGAGTTTTTGGTTTAAATGAAAAAATAAAGTGTTGTAATATTTTAAATTTACAAAATTTTACTAGCGCACCTTGCAGGCGAACATTGTTCTTTTTAGAACCTTTTTTACTGTGAAGTGTACAAGATAGCTTAATAGCCGTAAAATACTCGTCGCAACTTTATTAGAATATCTTGAACGGGAAAGCGGTAGTAATGGCCCTTTATGTCCCTTAAGTGCTTTTAAGAAAGTGAGTTTTGTTGATGTAAATAATAACTGTGTATATATTTATAATTAATTTATTTTTCTTTTCTAAAATATTTTGATTAAAAGAAAATATATAAAAGTGGGCAACGCTGTGCTGGTCAAGCTTAATCACGTGACTAAAAGTTTATTTGATATGAACTTATATACAAGGTGGTTCGAACTGTATTGTATGTATGTATAAATGTATGTCTTAAAATGCTTAGTTTCGGAGATACAGAATGTAGAAGTTGCATTTTCATTTCGATTTTTTCCAAATAATTTCTGAAGTAACGTCAATATTTGGATGAAAATTGGTGTCTGGAAGTTTTCTGACATGAAAAATTTGATTTTGATGTCAATATGACTCGTATTTGCTGGAGGCGCCACATACATGTATTTTAACTGTTTTGAATGAAGAGTAATAACTTTTCGTCCGTACCTGTATAAAACTACTTAGAGATAAAATATACATCTTCGTGACTTTTTACGTAAAAAATGTCTTTTGGTAAAAATCGCTACGAGCAACCAAGGAGCAACCGTTCTCAGGATATTTAGAATGGAAATAGTCAATACATGTCATTATTGACAATAGTATATTAAACAACGAGTTTCGAAAACGACGGCGACTTTTTGCGCACGATTTGCTCAGTTTGTTGGCTCGAGCCGCAGGCAAGAGCCACAAGTCGAACGAGTGTACAAAGAAGTTTTCGAACGAGTTTTTTACGCTATTTTTTCTACGACTCCAAATTAGCAGCAGACTCACTCAGTTTTTGCCAGTTTTGTGAAAAAATTTGCGATGTAATGATGACACTTTTCTGGCGGCTGCGTTGCGTTTGGCGTTTCAGCTAAACATTGGAGGTTAAAAATGTTAAAATTGGCACATGTCTTGTGCAAAATGACACACATAGTACACATAGATAAATGCAACAAGTTTAGATTGGAAAGCCCGTAAAAATTTTAGGTCGCGAAATTATTTTGGGTCGCGACCGTTATACGCGATCTGGCGCTGCTATAGCGGTCGCTAAGAACAACGGCAAACAAAAACAGAAATAATTTTCTCTTGTCAAAGTCAGAATCTTCAAAAATCATAATATTCTTTCAAAATCTAAACCGCTCTCATTAAATAAATCCTGAAAAGTGTTTATAGCGTCCATTTTCAAAGTAATTATTGCTATCTTGTGAGTTTAATTCAAGTTTTATTTACTCCAACCGGTGATAATTGTGAAAAAGTGGCATTAAAAACTTAATAAGCTGTGCTGTGAACTTTGAACTGCAAAAACCATCGTGGATTGTGGCATAACGTCGGTTTCCAATGTTTCATAGGTATTCGTACATGCGTCCTTATATAAAATAAAGTTTCTTGTATGCAACACACTGTATTTTATTTATAAAATTAAACGAAAATAATAATAAATTTGAATAAACAATATTTGGCGATATAATTCCGGAAAAAGCCGAACCGCTCCGAAATTTTCAAAAGTTTTGGGTCGCGACCGTTGCAAGAATAGCGCCAAATAGTGTTTACATTGTCCTTATGGGCACTTTCCAATCTAAACTTGTTTCATTTATCTATATTAGCACACAACAGTTTGCAAAACGCGAATTTCAGATCGAGTTTTCCGCGTGTCAAACTGTATTTTCTAGACTAGTCGTAGAAAAATATAGTTATTTTACTGAAAAAATAAATTTGAGAAATTTTTATTTTTTTAAATTAATCATAAATTTTTCTACGAAAAAATTATGATAAAACAGTTTCTGTTGAACTTCTGACACAAAAATATTTCAAATTTAATATTTCAGTCTAATATAGTCTGTGAAACGAATAACTTTGAATTTGACAGTTCCCGCGGGCTCTTCTAGTGTTTTGGTTAGGTTAGCAAGGTTAGCAACTTGCGGCCATGCTGATGCAATGCCGTCTCTAATAGAACAGCTACGGAGCGAGATTTATGACGTCACGCTAGTTAGATAATACGGATTAATACATATGTTGTAAAATACATGGAAAACATAATTATTCCCCGTATATGTAATTTTTTGGATTATATTCACTATTTTTTTCATATGACACAACACTAATGAAGGCTATAAACGTTAGCTATAACGTTTTTTTTAAACCAAAAAAATAATGAAAAACCAAATGAAAACTTAATCAGCGTTTTTCTCGAACCTAAATAAATAAAAAAAAATTTAGAATAATTTTACATATAAAATGACAGCGATCTTTATTTCATAGCCATCGCTGACGCCTTTTATTCTATGATATTGTATTATTTGCAAATATAATTTTTCGAACATTGATGCTTGCCAAATATACATATAAATTTTGTGAATGCAAATAATAATACATCACTATTAGTAGATATTGAATGTTTTTTGTTAAATTAGATCGATTTTCAAACCCCATTGTATATTGTAAAACATTTGCTGCATTTGTATGGTTCTTAGTTTATTTGCCAAAGTATTTATTACTATAAATAGGTATATATATATATATATATATATATATATATATATATATATATATATATATATATATATATTGTATTTATTAACTGTATATTATGTATATTTCATGTAAACTATATCATTTTTAAAATACAAACCAAAAATACGAGGAATAATTATGTTTTCCATGTCTACAACATATATCTAACTAGCGTGACGTCATAAATCTCGCCCCGAGGCTGTTCTATTAGAGACGACATTGGTTTGATATTTAGAAATGTCAATAGCTGATGACATTTTACTTTTGTCAATTATTACATTTCGCGTTGATTTTTGCAAGAAGAGGAAGAACTGTCACTTGTTTTATTATTTTCCTTTTCTATTTCACGAAAGTAAAAAGAGTTACCTATCTGATTCGTTCAGGCACTCATTTTAAATAATATCAGTAACTTTTTGGATAGAGGGATTTTATATTTGCCATGTTGGTAAAAAATAACGGTCAAAATTCAAAGTTATTCATTTTATAGACTATAACTATTTAGCCAACATGTTTAATTTACATACATACATATATACTGCCATTACTCGCTGACGAGTATTCGACACGCATCAAACGATGGTCACCCAAGGCGTCTTCTTTCATGAGCTTTTCTATGAATGAAAAGCCCGATACGTGATGTTATTTGCCTACCGCACTCCGGACATTCAAAAATCTCATTGGTTTGTTGCGTCTTTACTTTTTGATTGTCGCTGTTAACTGAGTTTACAATTCTTCTCCATTGAGTTCTATTGTGAACTACTTCATCCTAATGATTCTGCATGTTAATCCCCTTTAAGTTTGCGTGGAAAATGTCCTTGTACCTTTTTAGTTGTCCACCCTGTCTCCTCTTACCGTCTACAAGCTCACCGTAAAGCAGAGATTTTGGTATGCAGTTTTCTTGCATTCTGCATACGTGAGCAACCCATCTTAAGCGGGATTTTGTAACCATGACTTCAATACTCTCGCAATTAGCTTCTTCAAGAACCGATACGTTTGAGACATGATGGAGCCACCGGATTCTTAAGAGTTGTCTAAGGTGTCTCTGCTGCAACTTGTTTAATGCGTTCATGTGTCGGCGGTACGGCACCCATGTTTAATTTATGTCAATGATGACAGGTATTGATAATTTCGATTCCAAATATCTCGAGAACCATTACTCGTTACTCTTTACCAAGAAACCTCTTCTACGTCAAAAACATCGTTAATGTATATTCTTTTACGCAGTAGTTATTACTCTTTAAACCAGTTAAAAAATAAAAATATGTAGGTGGCTCTCTCTACAAGTAGGAGTCATATTGACACCAAACTCAAATTTCTCATGTCAAAAAACTCTCAGACACTAATTTTCGTCCAAATATTGACGTTATGTCAGAAATTATTTGGCAAAAAACGTAATAAAAATGAAACTTCTACACCCTGTATCTCCGGAACTAAGCATTTTAGGACATACATTTATACGAACTTTTTTACTTATTTTAATGTGCATAATATGTTGCGGAAGTTTCCGGAATACAGTTTGGACCACCCTGTATTTATTGTACCTGGAATAAAATTAGTCTATCAGAAGCTTCTCTTGGTGAGAGTCCAGGTTGCATAGGTCCAGCTGTTCGATATTCGTTACAATAATCAATTTTGTCTTGCTTGAACTTGTCCAGGTTGTTTTTGAGGTCGCTTTGGAATTGTGGTTGCATGTCCAGAAGATTTACTTGAACTTTTAGTGCGTTATCCAGGAGTCTTTTCCAGGTGTACCTGAGACTGTCCACCTGTTCGATTATTTCATGTTCAATGGTTACGTCGAATCTACCAAGAACATTGAATGCGTCCTAAAAAGTTTTGGAATATTAAATTAATACGCTCAAATTAGTTTGTATACAGGCTGTTTCAAAAAACATGTGCCATCTCTCGTGGGGATATTCGTCACGTAAAAATAAGATTTATTTTCGTATCATATCAACATAGGTCCGATTCTGCTTTGTTTCGTAGCTACAGGGTGTTAAAGTCTTAATAATCTTTCGATTTATTATAATTCTCTTCCAAGTACTTTTAGTGATAAGGTAGAGGGTAAAAGTTACTTCATGTGCTACATATTTTAATGCTAAAGAAATGTCGACATCAGGGACGTGCATATGGGTTACCTCTGGATTATTTTTCAAAAAAAACATGTGCGCTATTGACTTTTTTCTTTTGATATAACAATTGTGTAGGCCATTTAATGCCATTTAAAAGGTATCTCTTGATATTTTGAAGGTATCTCTTTGATATTCGAATTCGGCCTCCTTGATGAGATAAACGCAATTTTATTAATCTCAATTAATAAAATTGAAATAAAAATAAAATTAATAAATTATATATTTTACCTAATTTATTATTAAATATTATTACTATTAGTTATTATTACTATTAGTCCAACATACAGCAATTCCAAATAAAAAAATAATAGTATTTAAAATAATTACAAAAAACCTAATTTTAAAAAGTTTTAACATCCTGTAACTCTAAAACTATGCATTTCCATATCCATGTTTATAGGAACTTTCTTTCATATTTTTTGATGAGGAATCAATGAATACTTATTTAAAACTTTCGCAAGTTAATGACATTAAATTTTTTTAAAGGTTTTTATTAGACTTGGATCAAGGCAAATTAATAAAATTGCGTTTATCTCATCAAGGAGGCCGAAATCGACAAAATATCAAGAGACAACTTTTAATTGGCATTAAACTGCTTACACTATTTCGCTAACAAGAGAAAAAAGTCAGTGGCGTACATGCTTTTTTAGAAAAATATTTAATTAATAACCAATATGCACGTCTCTGGTGAATATGTCGACACCTTTTAGCTTTAAAATATGTGGCATTTATAGTTACTTTTACCCTCAAACTTTTATTCGAAACGCTAAAAGTACTTCGAAGAAAATTATAATAAATCTCCCCACGAGAGATGGCACATGTTTTTTGAAACACCTTGTATATGTTACACAGGGCGAATCTTAAATAAGTGCAAATATTTTCAGGGCTGGTAGATCCCGAAGAAAGAAACATATTTTCTGTTTGCCGTTTTTCAAATCAGTTTAAAATAACCGCGTTATTTTACTTTGAAAATTTGAAAAAATACTTTTTTTCTTAAATTTTTAGAATCACTGAATCTTTTGTGGGTTTTCTTTCTTGTAAATTTAATCTACAATCTATGCTGTCATATTATCAAATAATTATGTGTTTTAAATATAAACTAAAAAAATCTTTTTTTTTTAAATGCGTAATTTTTAATTTTGCAAAAAAATACATCACAGTACATATTTTAGGTTTGCACTTAAACAAAATTTACAATTTTTTTATTCTAGGAGCTATAGATGCTCGACTATTGCCGGACCCTGTAGATATATACTATAAACAAAATAGCTAGATTTATAATATTAATAGAAGATATTTGTGAATAATGAAGTCTTATGCTCAAATATAGTTACTGATCTTTGTTCAAACTTGTCGACAAAAACGCCACCTATTGAAAAACTGTGACACCTCCCAACATTCAAATAAACTAGGAGATGTCACAGTTTCTCCCAAGAAGACGTTCATAATTTTTTTCCAATTTCCTTTAAATTGATATTGTCTTAAGTACTAATTCTTTATTTAAAATTAAAATTAAAAATAGTACCTCTATAGGATCGATCTTTAATTCCATATCAACTTCCTGTTCTCGTATTTTCTTCAATGTGTCCATAATCATTCTGACATCGTCTAAATCGCGAATGGTTCTGTCTAGTTTGCGTTCCATCTCGCTTATAACAGCATAAACGTAATCCATTTCTCTTTTGTATTTCTTTTTCATAGCCTGGCCAACTCTGAAATTAATAATGTTGCGGTGCCATTTTGTTTTGGCAAGTCATAATCCTACATACCATGAGACGCATTTCTTTAAAAGTTTTATAACTAAATATATTTAGAACTATTAAGTTACTATATGTTATATTTGTAAAGGACGGTCCACACTTGCTATATAACACTGTTATATAGCAAAGTTATATAACATGTTACATATTTTTTAGTCATATTTAGCAAATTTCCCTGCTATATAACTTGCTAGATGTTATCCATTTGTAGTCGGTAAAGATCAAAAGATGTTGCGCAACACTGCTATTCTAACATGAAACAACGCGTCCAGACTTGCTAAATTTCTAGTTTAGCCGCTCATATTTTCAGGGACGTACGCGACAGAATCTTAGTGTGTTGAGCTGATATTGGTTCGTTTATTTACTGGTCAATAATACCGTATGATCAAAAAAAACTACGTCCAGTCGGCCTCCCGTCCAGTTGGCTTGGATATGACGATCGATGACATTCCCATATAATTTTTCATATAGAATGACATTGATCTTCATTTCATAGCCATCGCTGACGCCATTTTTTTTTCGATCGTGTATGGTTCTTATATTATTAATGGAGTAGAACCAAGAGCAGACTTGTCAACTAATTAAACTGTATACAGAGAAGACCAGGCTACTAGTAACATAGCAAGTTGCCGGACGAATTTACGTTTACCCGATTTGCGTTCGTAGTACGAACTTCGTACTCGAGAGTCACTGCCGCCTATTAGGCTGGTAAGACAGTCGCAGTTGCAGTTGTGCTTGAACGGGTCTGTCGTGACACTAGGAATACGACGCGAGGAGTGCCGAGTATTTATTATTTTCATTTTAAGTGTTTACCTTCACTTAAGGTAACATTTAAAATAAAAATACTTAAATATTTATTATTTGAGTGTGTTTACAAGCCAAAACTAAAAATAAATAAATTCTCTAAACCCCAAAAAACTAAAATATTACTCTAAATAAAAAAAGTTATAACAAGTGTTCAAAAAGACCACCTTCTTGTGCTAGACAGAAGCCTAGGCGGTCGTAAAATCCCCGTCTGACATTGGCTAACATATTAGGACCAATCATATGCTCCCATACAAAACCACCCCAAACACTTAGCTTTTGAGGATATTGCGTGCGTACCTCAAAATATCTGTGCAAATTTTCCCAAGACCAATATCGTACTTGTGTAATGACGACTCAATAAAGGAAAACTTGATTCGTCGGTGAAAACTATACGCCGAATAACAAATAAATCTAAATTGACCTTTTCCATTATAGATTCACAAAACGCCATACGCCGAAATTGGTCTTCATGGAAAATTTCTTGAGTTTTGAGCGCTTTATACCATCGGTATCCATTCTTATTAAGGACTCTTTTAACAGTGCTAGGTGAAGAATCTGTTACCTCAGCAATTTGATTACTTGAACACGTGGGATTTTGATCCGCGATAGCACAAAGGAACACTTGCTTTAACTCCTGTTCTTCATTAATCACCACATCAGGCTTTTTGTGCTTTTGTGGGGACACGCACCCATGTGTTTCAAAATTATTAATTATATAGTAGGTAAAGATGGAATTGGCCTGTTTACAAAAGTTTGTGGAAAAATTGTTTGTATATCCCGATAAGACCTATTTTGGAAATACCATTTTACAATTTGAATTTTCTCATGAACTTCGTAAACATCCATTATTTTACTTAAAAAATAAATTTTACACGAGAACTGTCGCGAGAATCTATGTATTCATTTTGGCTATTAAAACACGAATAAATACAAATTCTGAAACATTCTTATCACATATCTACCTATTTTTATTTGATCGCATTTTTTCACCTGCTTTTTATCCGGCGGACGGGTATACGCTAATTCGTCCGGTTCTGCCTATGTTACTACTACGGTAGCCCGGTCTGTATATAGAGATCATACAGTGTTATGGGACATCCCTAGTCCCTCATTTAAAGTGAAATAAAAAAAGCATGATAGTTAAAAATTGCAAAAAGTATGTATTTGGAAAGAGAAAAAGTTGAGAAAAAAATGCGTTATCTAATAGGCCAGTTCCAGAGGGAACAAAAGAAATGCAAATCAGGTACTGGTTTAGATGAAGTGGATAATTCAAAATGGCTTGCTTTTAAGATATTAATATTTTAATGAAAGTTTTATAGAAAGTTTAGCAATTTTGTAGACAGACATTAGGCTACTGATGACACACTACATGACAGTGTCTTAATTCATATTTGTATCATGTCATCAACATTTTTTAAAAACTAGATAATTTTTATTATTATCGACTATAAATTAATTTCAAAACTTCTTACCTGTGAGTGCAAGACTTAATTTCAGTCATTATTCCATACTTCAACTTCTCCGTGGATATAGCCAAACAATTGGCTATGGTACACACGTCGGGCTCGGTGGTCAATCGCTCGTTGAGCTCTTCGTGCTTCCTCAATGTGGTCTCGAACTCTGACAGTTGGCAGTTGAGCAGTTCGCGCTGAGATTTCTCGTTTCTCCACAAGATGCTGTACAGTCGCCATCTTGAAAGAAACTGTGACATCTCCTGAGGACAAAAAAAAACGCCAGGAGATGTCACAATTTTTATAAAGAGGCGTGTTATGAAGAAACGGAAAGTTTGGATCCTTTAAGCGTATTCCTACTGCTAATGTAAGGCTTGTGTACAAAATAATAGTGTAAAGAAGACTTAAAAGTCTCACTTCAAACCGACACAGTCAGGAATTCAATTTATATAGCCTTATTCTAGATTCTTAAATTAAGTAGTGTATTTTGGAATAAAAATGGTAATATAGTAGACAAAGGAAGCGATCGACAATGGTTGAAATGATTTGTGGCGATACTGTGGTAGAGAATTTTAGGATTAGTACTGATGTAGAATATAGAATGTTTAGGAAGGGGGTTAATCACCGCGACCTTGTAGATCGATTGTATGTTCCTCTCTCCTGACTCATCATAATCTCAGGGCTTTGACAAAAATCGGTATCTCAGACGGATTCACAGAGGCCAGTTCTCTATCTCCGATATCAGTCGTACCAAAGTTTATGGCACAAATGAGGTTGCAGTTGTTTTCCCATTTCCCCACAGAATCTGCATTCGCCGTTGTTTCTTAGTTTCAATCTACTGAGATGTTTGTTGAGGAGACAGTATTCTGTTAAAAATCCCGTGACACTGCGAGTGTCTTCAGTTTGAGTCTTACTTAAATTAAGGAAAATCTTTGATTTTTCTAAGTCATAAGTTCTGAGAAATTTCTCCGAGTATCTTGGTATTTTGAGAGATACGTTTCGGGTGGAGTGTTCCAGGTTCTTGAGCTCTGCTTTCAGTTGGTTTTCACTTGGAAAGCGGAACCTAGTTCAGTTAGTGAGGTGAACACTAAAGAAGCTCCTATTCGAAAGACTGGGGATTTAAAATGAAGATGAAACAATATAATAAGCCATTACATTACTGAGCCCCGCAGATACATTTTATCTTTTGAATTTGTAAAACTATGCAGAAATTCTTGCTACTAATTTCAAATGTATGTTATTCCTCCAAAAAAGTCCTATGGGTATTTCGCCAATGTAAAAAAATCTACAAAATAAAAGTTATTTTTAGGGTTCTGTACCCAAAGGGTAAACACGGGAACCCTATTACTAAGACTTCGCTGTCCGTCCGTCTGTCACCAAGGTCTATGTTATGAACCGTTATAGCTAGACAGTTGAAATTTTTACAGACAATGTATCTATGTTGCCGCTATAAAATCAAATACTAAAAACAGAATTAAATAAATGTTTATAAATAAAAAAGTACTTTCACTAAACATTATCTTTGAAGTAAGAATTTTACATAGAATCTTTCAAGTCCTCGGTGTCCGCGTGGTTGAGGCGTTAGGACTTTACGCTGCTATGACGTTGGAGCCGTAGTAAGGCAGGTTCGAATCCCAGTCAAGGCGACTTTTTTAATCGTTTTTTTTTTAATTTTTACATATTTTTACATATTTATTTTTACTTTTTACATATTTATTATTGATTAATACAATTTTTAGTAATGTGTTTCTTCATTTTTTTGAAATTACCTATACGCGCATTGAAAATTTCAGCTAAATCGGAAAAAAAGTTTATAATAATATAGTGTCTAATGTTGTATAGATAATGAATGGTACGGAACCCTTCGTGCATGAGTCTGACTCGCACTTGACCAATTTTTTTGTAAACACTGCTGCGTTAACAACGGAGAATAATTGTCAGCAATGGTTTACTAATAAAAAAAATTGCCTAACGGACAAAAAAATGCTTAACGTTTCAGAAAGTATGTCTCTTTCCATCGTCGGAAGCAAAAAAGCACAAAGAACAAAGGAAAACACTATTTAAAATATCTAAATACAACTACAACAATAATAATAATCTATACTAATATACAGGGTGGCCCATCGAAAACGTTCCGCAAGGCATAACAGCCAGAGTAATTTTTTTTCAGAAAATTCAAAAACACGTCAATTTTGTTTGTGGGAAGGGGGAAAACGTTTGCCTCAAAAATTATTGCAAAATCTTCAACCCTCTAAGCGGCGGTATCATCCCCCATTTTTTTTTCTAATGGGAAGGGGGATCAAGTGGCACCGCAATGAAAAGGGCTTTCTATTATCTATACTTTCCCGCTTCGTTTTTGAAAATCGGTCGAGTCATTAAGAAAATATGAAGGATTGAAATTCGAAAAGTTTATTTAAACATTTATCAGAGTAAATGATAAGGATAAATTCCTTCGACCAATTTGCTGTTCTTTCTTATTATTTCTAGATGTTTACGCATTTTTTCACTTACCACAAGGTGGAACGATCAGGTGCGGTAGTTGCTAGATAGCTGTTCAGTGACTTATGCGTTGAAGTTCTTCTCAGTATCGTTAAACTTTTTAATAATTATGGTGTACTCACTTGCAGAAAAACTGAAAATAATCGAACTTTATTTTAAAAATAATGAATATGGCAATCGATTTGCGCAGATATTCAATGAACACCATCCTGGCAAACACCTTTATGGCAAAATTGTTCGCGAGTTAGTAGCAAAATTTCGCGAAACTGGTTCCGTTATGAATAAAAAGAGGCAGAGGGAAAATCCTGTAGTAAATGAAGCTACGAGGTATTCGTATTGGGCCAAGTTGCCATGGATAGTACGCTGAGTACAAGAAAATTAGCTAATGAGACCGGCGTGAATCGTACAAGTGTCCAAAGGATATTAAAAAAAAACACAAGTTCCACCCGTACAAAATTGAGTTGATACAAGAACTCAACGAAGACGATTTTTATCGTCGCTTGCAATTTTGTGAAACTATGGGTGAACGAGTGGCGAATAATAATAATTTCCGATTTAATGTGTGCTTTTCGGATGAGTGTACTTTCTTTTTGAACGGTGTAGTTAATCGGCACAACTGTCGGTACTGGGCTGAGGATAACCCCAGGGTTTTTCACGAGGTGCACACACAAAACCCTCAGAAATTGAACGTGTGGGCTGGTATTTTTGGAAATTCTATTGTGGGTCAGTTTAACGATATTGAGAAGAACTTCAACGCACAAGTCACAGAACAGCTATCTAGCAACTACCGCACCTGATCGTTCAAACTTGTGGCTAGTGAAAAAATGCGTAAACATCTAGAAATAATAAGAAAAAAACTCAAATTGGTCGAAGGAATTTATCTGTATTATTTACTCTGATAAATGTTTAAATAAACTTTGCAAATTTCAATCCTTCATATTTTCTCAATGACTCGACCGATTTTCAAAAACAAAGCGGGGAAATATAGAGAATAGAAAACTCTTTTCATTGCGACGTCACTTGACCCCTCTTTCCATTTAAAAAAAGTTGGGAGATGACACCCCCGCTTAGAGGGTTGAAGATTTTGCAATAATTTTTGGGGCAAAAGTTGTCCCCCTCTCAAACAAAATTGACGTGTTTTTGGATTTTTTGAAAAAAAGAATACTTTGTCCGTTATGCCTTGCGGAACGTTTTCGATGGGCCACCCTCTATAAAATCCTTAAGTGACTGACATACTGATTAATCACGATCCTGCTCAAACCACTCAACGTAAGAAGCTCAATTTTGGCATACAGGTTGATTCTACGGTGTAGAGGTTCGATAAGGAGGGATTTTTCGAAATTCCAGTTCCAAGGGGGTGAAGCCACCCCTCAAATATTACAATACTTTTTATTTAAAAAACGGTCAAGTTTCCGAAAAAACGTTTAAACATGTATATTTTATTTTGTTTTTTACATATTTAAAGATTTTTTTAAAAATGTGTACAGAGTGTTTCGAAAATCTGGTCATTGATTAATCACGACCCTGCTTAAAGCGCTTGACGTAAAAACCTGATTTTTGGAAAACAGATTGATTTTAGGGTGTAGAGGTTCGATAAGAAGGGATTTTTTGAAACTCGAATTCTAAGGGGGTGAAACTATCCCTCAAATATTAAAATATTTTTTATTTAAAAACTGGTGAGTTTTTCGGAAAAACTCTTAAACACGTATATTTATTATGTTGTTTTACATATTTTAAGATTTTTTATAAATTTATACAGGGTGTTTCATAAAATATGGCCATTGAGTAATCACGATTCTGCTTAAACTGCTTGACGTTTAAAGCTGATTTTTGGCAAACGGATTGACTGTGGGGTGTAGAGGTTTGATAAGGAGGGGTTTCTCGAATCTCAAATTCCAAGAGGGCGAAAACGCCCGTCAAATATTACAATATTTGTTATTTAAAAAACGGTTAGTCTTTCGGGAAACACGCATAATTTATTTTGTTTTTTTACATATTTTGAAATTTTTTAAAAAATCATACAGGGTGTTCAAAAAGTTGGGTAATTTCTTAATCACGATTCTGCTTAAACTGCTTGACGTAAAAAGCTTATTTTTGGCAAATGGATTTTTCGAAAGTCAAATTCCAACGAGATGAAACTACCCCTCAAATATTACCAAGTTATATAATATCGCCATATTGTTTTTTCTCATGCTGACATAAATGTGAGAAAATTTTCCAGTTTGTATGTTAATGGAATTTCTTGCTTTGCTTTATCATCACCATTACAAATGATTAATTCGACGCGAACGAAGTCGCTGGTACACGCTAGTAATCTAATATAACGTTAGGCAAATTTGTTTATTTAAACCACTGCTGACAATTAGTCTCCGTTGGATTAAAGCAGCAGTGTTTAAAAAAATAACTATTTTATTTTAAATTAAAAAAAGGTAGAAAAAAGACTCAAAGTCTCGGTCTCAACGTTTATATAATATTAAACAGTGACACGTGTTTCGCTCATACGAGCATCATCAGACAAATACAATTAAACTAAAAAAAATATTTTATTTCGTAGATTTTCTTATAGTGGCGAAATACCCATAGGACTTTTTTGGAGAGATGTAGATCCGCCACAGAGGTATAGACAGTTTTTGTATTTTATTTTATACGAAATACCTTCTAACACACTTTTTTTTAGAAAATTAGTGTTTGATAACTTAATATGTGTTGTATAATCAAAATTTCTTACGAACATGTAACCTAATCTATATTTTTTAATTCGCATACTCAATAATTAAATTAGAAAACCTTCAAAATAAATCCATTTTTTCTCATTCAAATTAATCACATTATTTAATTTATGGTTTATTTTGACGCTAGTGATAACAGCTGAAAAATAACTGAATTTCTTGATTTATTGCCAATCAAAATTAGAATAGTCAACTATTTCAATCATGGTTGATCGCTACATAGTAACATCCGCCCCAATTAAGTTTACAGTTAACTATATTTATCAGTAAAGTTTTTGACAAATATAGTGAAAATTCTAGACCTTGTTAGACGGTAAAACTACTTATAAAATACATAGTTTCTGTAATACGTGTATTTTCTCTAGAAACAATTTATATTCGCATGTGTCTAGGTATTTTGTTCTAGATAGAAATAAATAGAAAAATGCCTGTGAAAGTCCCGTAAACAAAGTCGTGTGTATTAACCATAACAAATGTCATGTTTCCATGAATAATTAATATCCAAATACTACTGACATCTACCAGTGCTAAACGAAAATATATTTTTTTTATATTTTTCGTACACAATTCTTACTTGACTAATATTTATAACTAAACTATAACCTTTAGATACATTCAACTACTTCTATGATGTATAATATAATTTAGAAAATATTATTGCTACAAATTTTTATAAAAAAAATATAATAAAAATGTTAAAATCTGATACAGTAACGTTTCGAACATATGCTAATCGCAAAACAATTTTCGATGCACGTGATCAACTTTGAGTGAGCCAGATTGTGATGGATTTATGAGATGAATCTTAATTTAAAAGTGACAAAGAATATGTTTATTATATTATTTTTTTAAAGATGTTTACGTTTTATTTTAAATTTAATAACTAATATTTTAGTAATTAATTGATTTATTTGTTTTATAGCTTATTTTACTTATTACATATTGGCAAAAACTAGTCCATTATGAAGAATATTCTAAGCGTTATTATGGGTTATTTATTTATTGATGTAAGTACATCTTACAACGCCGTAAGTGGTAATAAGTAAGAGGGTGATATTAATTCACAATTTAACAATCCCAGAATGCAATAAAAACTAACGTAGAAATAACTTTGAAAGTGGTGTAATGTGTTTATCAATCAAACTTACTTCTCTGACTGCAGTCAAGGGTAATAAAGGACCTTTATTGTCACGTTCTCGTTCAAAATACACACACCGGAAAAATCTAGGGATATCATTTCATTAAAGTTAAAAATAAATGTTTTGAATAAACAACCACATATTTGTAGGCCGATTCTTTCTACTTCGATTGAAACGAAGTAGTCGCACTAGTTATTTCTAAATTTGGGATATTTGCAGAAGTGTTTGTGCATTTTTTGTCAAATGTATAAAAACACCTAGCATCAATTGTTCGAATTTAACCTGTACTGGCTATGTTTTTATGATAACTGGCCAGAATTCATTCAAATAACTCTGTTTAGTATTAAACGACGTTATGGAGCGTAGACATATTAACAGAGACGAAATGCTAAGGGCCATGGGTATGCTCGAAGCTGGAATGTGCCAAATCGACGTAGCTAGAGCATTAAATACAACGCAAAGTGTAATATCGCGATTAAGTGCACGCTACCATGAAAGTGGTGATGTTGCAGAAATTGCACAGGGCGACATCGCATTACTACCCCTCAGCAAGATCATTTTTTACAATTAAATGCTCGACGCCGACCGACTCTTACAGCACCAGAGCTTAGTTTAATTCTCCAGGAAACACATAATGTAACCGTTAGTCCTGACACTGTTCGCAATAGATTAAGATAGGTCAACTTAAGAAGCAGACGCCCCTGGAGAGTTCAACCCTTAACGAGAGGAAATCGAGAGGTACGATATTTGTGGGCTCAAGATCATGTTCAGTGGTCGAATGAACAATGGGCCAATGTTCTCTTTACGGATGAGTCACGCTTTGGAATTCATCCGGATTCGAGAAGGCTTAGGGTATGGAGAGAACCGGAAAATCTTATTCGGTTGGATCATGTTCAGTAAGTGCACCCTTATCAAGGTGGAACAGTTATGGTCTGGGGAGGAGTCCAGTTAGGCCGAAAAACCGATCTCGTTTTTCTTGAAAGGTTTCTAACAGGAATCACATATCGTGATTTAATTCTTGAGCCTGTCGTGTTACCATATGCCAATGATTTTGGGAGAAACTTCATCTCCATGCATGACAATGCACGGCCTCATACAGCCAGAGTGGTAAGTGAGTTTATCAATGCTCATCAATTAAACATCTTACCCTGGCCGGCACAATCTCCTGACCTCAACCCCATCGAGCACGTATGGGACGCGGTCCAAAGAAGAATTTTGAGAATGGGTATGCCTCGTAAAACTCGTAGGGATCTGGTTCGGGCCGTGAATGCAAGTGGCAGGCTGTACTTCAAGAAGAGATCGACAACCTGATCAGGAGCATGGAGAGACGATGTAGGGCTGTAATGAACAGTAGAGGAGGCCATACACTTTATTAAGTAAAAATGGTTTTATCTTTTTTTTTAATTCACAGTTTAGAATAAAAAAAATGTGTGTATTTTTTTGAGTTCAATAAAAATCAAAGTAAATTTGAAAAATTCGGTAAATTTCGCATTTTTATTTCCAATACGTCCTGTAAACTATTTGTTTATTTTAATTTTATTATATCAGAAATTCAAATAATAAAATTACTGACGATGGCTGGATAAAATTGTAATATCCCTAGACTTTTCCGGTGTGTGTAGTTTATCGGGGAAGCTACAAGCTCTTTGCTTCGACTGTTTAAATACTTCGGCATATTTAACACATAATTTCAAGAAATGCAATACAAAAACTCGAAAATTTAGTTCTTAAAAGAATTGTTTGTGCTCAAAAGTACAATTTAAAAAAAAAGACTATGAAGATAGGCAAAAAAACGAGAATTACTCACAAAGATTCAACAACAGCTCGATATTATTCAAAATAATGACTGATAATTGTCAAATAATAAACGACAACCTTGCTTAAAACTATTTTTTGCAGCTTTAATCTAAATAAAATATCTGTTACAATCATTTGCTCTATAAAGTAAAATGAAGAGCTGCTCGGTATCTTAAATTATACAACAAATTTAAACATTTTTGCCAAAATTTAATTTAGTTAGGTTTATAGACTTTAGTGTCAATGTCGATATGATTGATGACGTGCATCAGAAAATGTTGCGATTACAATATAACTATATTCTAAAATTACATTCGCAATTAATAAATTAGACAAATACTCACACAGCGCATATCTTGCGTGCAAGATGCCAACAATGACAGAGTTTTGATCACTTCTTTGTTTTCCATGACGTGATTGTAGAAGTTCCGTTGTTGCATAGGAAACATGTCTTTTTCCTCGGTCATCAATCTATACAACTTCCTACGCCTCATTCTCAAGTCATCCTCTTTTGTTCTTATGCAGCTTTTACTCGGCTTCTAGGAAATTTATATTTTATTTTTTTATATCATAACTTATTTGTATAAAAATTAGTTATAATTTTATAGCTATGTTGCAATTATATGTGTTATAATTTTATAGCTATGTTGCAACTATAGGCTAGATCAAAAGTTCTAGGCATTATGACGTCTGGTGCACAAAACATCCCTCTTTAGAACATTTTTTCTAATGGCAATGACTGGTAAAGTAGCTATATGTGCGAACAAACACTGGAGGGGCTGCTAGTCATTAAAAGATTAACAAATATTCATTTGTTTTTTGAATATGTCAATATTTTTATTTCGTTGTGTTTTGTGAATATTTGGTGTGTGATTTTGGCAATTCCCTCATTAATTACTGGCGTATTTGTACTTACTTTATCAAGAACATTTTATTTTAATTATTCATATTCAATTGCAATGACATTTTTCGACCGAGAACGCAAACCTGCGAAGAAAAATTGCAGGGTTCCTAATTGCGACAACAAAAATGGCAGTTTTCTTCGTTTTCCAAATCCCCGAAAAGATTCGAATTGTTTTGTACGTTTTTTTTTTGTTTATAGTAGTAAAATATATAATTTATAATAACATCAATAGTTGTTTTATTTTTATAAACGTTCGATCGGGTATAGATATAAACATTTTTTTTAATTGTAACGAAATAGGTATATAAGTATGTGTTATATATAAATTACAATTTTTTATTGTAATATTTAATATACTCGTATAATGTAATTTTAATAATTCATCATTCTATTTCGTTACAATTAATAAAATGTTTGAGTAATATTCAATAAAAATTAAATTAAATATACGGATCGTGATGGATTTAGTGCGCGAACAAACTCGAGCGCATCACTGATAAAAAAGATAGACTTGAACTAAAGTCGTCATCGTTCTTGAAAAAAAAATTTAGTGGCAAGAGAATTTATTTTAGCGTAACAGAAAATATTTTGCCTGAAGGAAAACTCTCTTAACTCAAGAAAACTGGTTCTCTTGAACAATTCGAAAATTTCTCTTGAATCTATTTTCATTCAACCAAGTGCAAGTTACTTTCTTTTAAGATAATAAGAAAAATACGCTAGAAAGTACTTCATTCAAGAAACATGGCCATTTTTCCAATAGCTAAATACTCTTTTGATGAAAAATAATAGCGACACGCAAAGACAATGACGAAGGATGGTATATACAATCAGTCGGCAGCCCGATCAGTCGTACGTCGCATTTCATAGGTCGCACATCATAGTACGTACGGGTTTTGTTGCTTCGAATTTTCCATTTGGAATTTTGCATAATTTGCTTTTTAAACGCATATCGTATAACAAATTAGTGATCGTTATTAGTATGCATTTGTCATTTTTTATGGACAAATTTTAGGATATATGGATTCTTTAAAGGAGTTTCTGAAAAAATGGAAATTAGAGCATTTATTTGCTATATTTGAAGGTAAGAGACATTTATCTAATGCACCTGTTTAGATAATGCATGCGTGACTATAGATAGAATAAGAATATAGGTATGAATTTTTTTATGCAAATAATTACAAAAATTTTAGAATTTCAAGTCGTTAAAAAAATTCAAAATGTGACCAAAGCTTATAATTTTAATAATTTATTTGCTTTACTTTGATTAATCGTGATGTAACATTTTTTTGTAATTTGTAGTGATGAACCACCCCAAAAAATACCAAGGAGTGAAGAAGCAGAAATAACTACTATCGAGGAAAATAATATTCACTTTACCAAAGTTTACAGAATAAAATATAAGTTCGGTCACTTAGCATCGGCACTTTGAAAATCGCGTATCAAAAGCCAGAAGCCGCCTCGTCCGATACGCCGGATTTCGATGAAAACAGGAGTGGAAGCCGGGGTAAATAGAAGCCGCATTTTTACCGATCGCAATGTGCGACAAGGTGTAGGGGAACGTGGGGTATTTCAAAAATACCTAATAGTAAATCTACAAAAGAAAAAATATACTATCAGTTTATTGGTGTATTACATATAAATATTTAGACATGGCAAGATAAAAAAAGATATAGCAAAAATAAAATAAATTTTAAAAACAAACACAAAAAATAAAGCTACACAGTATCAACAGTAAATAATGTAGTATAAAATGTATATAAAATAATAAGTATATTACGTAACGAGTGTTTTGGAAAAAATAATATTACGCACGAGTGCAGTATTCCATGATTGCATAATATGGTTTTCCAACACGAATTACGTACACTATAAAATTCAAAGCTGAAACTATTAAATGTCAACAACTTTTGATGTTTAAATGGTATCCTCGGTATTTTTTTACGTTATTCGATAGAAAATGATACTCTGAGTAGAAAGACATATCATATCAGCTTTTAACAGTTTCACATATGATTTATTTGAGAGTGTAACACGCGGTTTATAACGACAATTTGACTCGAAATACCAAGTGTGTGGCATGAAATTATTCGTAAAAAAATACTTTTTCCAAATATACTAATGAGCCACCTTCTTTCCAATTGAAAAAAATTAAGATATGGTTAAAAATACCATTTGGGCATCTTTTAACCGGCCAAGACAAGACATGGAAAACATTAGACGATCAAATCTATATTTCCCAGGACTCCTTGATTAAAGTTTTGTTTTTAAAAGAGCTATGACACTCAATATTGAAATTTTAAAAGATTTTTTTTAAGCTAGAATGCCAAAAGTTGACATATGATATGTCATTCTATTGAGAGTGTCATTTTTTATCGAGTAAAGTAGAAAAATGCCATTTTCGGTGAAACCGGAAGTGACCGAAAAAAATTGAAAACGTTAATCAATCCTAATTTAGGTCATATACTAACACACCAAATCTCGTTTTTTTATCTGAAAAAATAAAAAAGTTATAGGGATAAGCCACTTTTGAGACACACCCAGTATATGATTTTTCGTGTAAAAAAATAAAGTGTTCTTGAATAATTCTAATTAGATATTTTAAATAATTTTTTTTCCAGTGGCGAAAAACTCAATATTATTTTTAAGAAATAATAAAAATAATTATGCTTTTTTATAATAAACTAATAAATAATTAACTAAGGCTAATGTTATCAGTAACACTTTGCAATGAAAATTAAATAACCACTTGAAAAATAATTCCATATGCATGCGAGACCACTCTGTAATAACGCCAAAATCAAAGTAATACGCCGAACGTGATCCGCCGTGTATGCTGGGTCCAAAGTCCACACACCAGTAATACACTGGGAAATACGTGCGTGAAGCGGCTTTTGATACCTGCCGCCGGCACAAGTGACGGAACTTATATTTTATTCTGTAAACTTTGACTTTACTTACTACAGAACAGGAAAACCTAAATTTATCAGAAAATAATATACCTCGTAATATGCCTGTATATGATGTATAGACTTCTCTTAGATCATAATAAATTTTAGTTGAGTCAATAGTATGCGCTATTGGTTTAAGAAAAGTGTCTCTTTAATCAAGAAATGTCCCTTTTCAATCAAGAATTTTTGCATGAATCAAAGAGACTATTGTTCTTGTATTACAGTTGAGGGTTGGAACCTTTGGTGTTACACAGCAAAATAAAAACACTAAATCACCACAATACACCAAAACACTTTTACTTTTACACTGGACGCGCGTTTCGCTAACCATGTTAGCGATATGTTTATAATCATCTGCTGATGATGCTAACATGGTTAGCGAAACTCGCGTCCAGTGTAAAAGTAAAAGTGTTTTGGTGTATTGTGGTGATTTAGTGTTTTTATTTTGCTATTGTTCTTGTAGCAAGAACTTCTTTGCATATTCATTTTGGACCAAGAGTGAAATACTTTGGACAAATAGATTCTTCTATTCTCTAAAGTAATTTTTTAAAACTTATGAAAAGATAGTTAATGCTTTGGGCAAAGAAACGTCGTCCTTGGCCCTATTGAAAAGCGCCAATCTTTTGGGTCAAAGTCATATTCATTTCGACTGAGAGATCCTTTTTTCGGCGCTTCTACTTTCATTTTATGGCATATAAGTCAAAATTCTATAGGGGGATGTTTTGTGATCTGGTGATAAGTAATCGTTACACAGACTGCAATTTCGTTGCTCTTCATACAATTATTAATTTGGTTTCAAAACAAAAATTCGCAAAAAATATGAATATCATTCCGATATAGCTGGAGAATATTAAAAGGAACTCTGTAAATATTATACATATTTTCATAGAGCTTAAAATTCTCCTTTTAATGTATTTCTACACGGTTGTTATTATTTTTCAAAATGGCGATGAAAAGCGGTTTTAATTCATACCAAAAAAACCCTATTATCTTAACATAGGGTTTATTTAATGGCAAATTGTGATATTATTGTCAAATGTAGAAAATAATATATAATAACGTTCTACGTAAATATGCAAAACAATATAGAGAATGATGCTTAAAATTCTACATTTAGGCTCATATTCAGTTAGACCGGAAGTGATATTCAATTCTGGTGAAGAAAATGTGAAATGTTGATGACCTACATTTTAAATTAAAGTCTCAAATTTATTTGCTAAAAACTAATGAATTAAAATAATAAAGTAATCAAATACTATTTTTCCTGTAATAAATTTGAAATGTTGTGGACTTGTTGGGCTTTTTTTAGAATTGTTTGGACTATGTTTTGTTTATTTTATAATAGGTTTTATACAAGGTTTATAAATCTGGGAACATATTGTAACAGAAGTAAATTAAGAATTTACGAGGAATAAAGGCAAATTACGAAGAAGTAAAATTAGAATTTAAATAATAAGTAAAGAATTGGTCATAAATTAAGTAAATTAAGAATAGTAACAGAAGAATTATATTGAGATTATTATGAATCATATCGAGATAAATGCAGAATCGTCAATATTGTTCATATGCTCCTACATTAGTCTTTTTGTTTAAACGTAAAAACCGATGAAATGTCAATCTGTGCAACGTTTTCTATATTGGGACCTACCATATATTATTGCCAACCCTATTTTATACATTGTTTAAAGTGATTCATTATTTCTGAATCCAAATAGCATAGAGCTTTTACAAAAATAGTATCATCTTTATACTATTTAGTATACTAACTTATAGAAATTTAGCAAGCGACAACGTGATAACACCGGGAAAATTCTTTCTTTGTCACCGAAATTAGAAATTTAGGGATTCCCCAATATACTTCTTCTATTTTAGAGACATAGCTACTGATTTGCCGTTTTAATTTGCAAATTGCTGTATTTAATGCAATTTTTTCTTCTATTAGTTCTAAATGTTCTCAAAATTCTTTTTTTTGTCGAGATTGATAAGAAAAAACGAGAAAATTCCGAATAAAATCTAAAAAAGTAACCGACTGATTTTCTAGCCTGTCTTCTTTCCGCTAATTTTAGATTAGAGACATTTGCTCGTTTATTGGTGGTTTATTCTAGATCGTTCTCGGAAAACGATTGCAAAATATAAATTTTCGTGCATTTTGTAACACTATCCATCAGTATAGCAATAACACCTATGTGATAAAACGTAATTATAGACTAAAATCCGGCGGCCGTGGAGGCACTATGATATTACTTCCGGCAGGAATTTTTTTGAGAATCGGTTTCGGGGACGGTCTCTCCAATTCTCAAAATTCCAGCCCGAGGTAATATTATAGTATCTCCGCGGCCGCCGATTCTCCATCTAGTATGCACTGAAACAGTTTAAAGTTCATAAATTAGGCAGATAGGTTCTAGTAACTTATTTCTAACTACCTGTTGGATCATTCTGGACCGATTGACCACATCCATAAGATTTGGAGACGGTCCTGCAATCTTTTGCCAGCCAGATTTTCTACTATACTCCTTCTTTAATGCATGCATAGTTGTGTATAGTGAGTGTAGTAAAGTATTTAAGTAAAGTGGTAATCAAAAGTAATGCGTAAAGTAATCAATATTGGTGGTAGTGGTGTGAACAATATAATAGAAGTTGTGCAAGTATATATATATTTTTTCATTGTAGTGTGTATGAGTAAAATAAGTGAAACAGTATAACAGGTAGAGTAGAAGGGAAAACAAACAAAAGAGAAAATTAGTAATTATTTTTTAAATATATAGTTGCAAAGGCAGTTGTAAAAGTTTACTTACATAGAAACTATTACAACTATCCTCTCTGGATGTTGCCTTAAGCTAAAGGTTTTCGAAAAAAAGTGTGTTTAGTTTAATGTAAATATATTTAACGAGAAATATTAATTAGAATCTTATTTACATTAGCTAAGATGACCTACATCATGTATTGTTATTATAGAACATTAAATTTCATAATCTGAAAACTCTGTTATTAACGGCAAAAATACATCTGTTGAGCAAAGTCGAGCACAGCCGTACCATCCTTTTCTCGAAGGTATTAGCGGCACTTTTGACCACCCTGTAACTTCGTTGTGGATAAAGCAAGAATATTAATTTTCACTATACATGAAGACATACTATAGCTAGCTAAGTTACCAAAATATCTAATAATTATACCTCATAGTTTATGAATTATCGCTTGTCAAATTTCTTTAATTTCGACAGATCAGACGAATTTTGACAGATCATCAAAATTCTAAGGTACTTCTAGATGTGTCACAAACTTCAAATTTCGAATTTTAGGTAGATTTAAGCTTATAATGAAAGAAAAAAATGAAAAATCTCGAAATATCCTTATGAATTAAAAGTTAGCTGTCTAGCTGCTACCGGTCATTGACTTTCCAGTCGAGAACAAGATAGAAAATTAGAATTAAACCAAGCGGTCTCTTCTGATTTTATTTGTATATCAATGTTGACCTAACCAACAATAATTCAAGGATTATGAATTTTTTAAAGTTGATATTTAGGTTATAACGAAAGTCGGAAACACAAGTCTTTAGAAAACTAGAATTAATCCATTTGATATTATCTGACTTTATACGATAATTCAAAGTTTATAAGTTATTGCCCCTAGTCAAACTTCTTTAATACTATTTTGAAAGATATATTACCCGAGAAAAAAATAGATCAGATAATAATACTAATAATAGATGATAATACTAATAATAGATGATAATACTAATAATACATGAGCAACAAAGTAGTTAATAGACATATAAAATCAATTGATTAAACCGCAAGAATAATAACATGATGAATGTCATCTGTCAGTTCTATATAGTTTACGACTAATAAAATATCACGAAAAACTGTAAAATAATCATTACCTCGGCATTTCCAGCCCATTGCCCAACACCTTTTGAAACAGATGTGATATTTTTACCAGCTAGATTCAATACTTCTTGAACCTCTTCCAAATTAGGTCGAATTCCTACTTTGGGTATTAATAAAATGGCGTTGAGAACAAAGACCGACTCGCGTTCTTCTTTATCTGAAAATATTAACATAAAAACACTATACAACACATATAAACTATGATGATTAGAGAAGATTAGATTAAATCAAGATTGTGATTAAAAGTAGTCACAATAATGAGTATACGCCATTATAACGGTAAAAAAGATACAGAAAGACATTTATTTTATTTTAATAATAATTATTTCCAGAGCCCTTTTTGAACGTTTTCACAATTTGTTTGTACACGATTACATTTTCCTTTTAGTTTTGTTTTTAGTTAATATGTTTTAACAAAAATGCTAATATTTTGTCTTTAACTTATTCGTCATAAAATAATTTTTAGACACTAAAACCATCCTCAAATTAAACATACCTTTTACTAACATTTGTAAAAAGTATTGCATATGTAAAATATACTTTTATTGTGATTAAAAGTAGTCACAATAATGGCCACAAATCTCTAGAATCGTAGAGCAACTCACCAGGGCAGAGAGAGGCGAAAACTTACTTTACGGCTTGATAAGCAAAGACAGAAAGACTGTCAAAGATGTAGTGGGTCTACTAAAAGAGCATTGTAAGCTTAATAAGCTGATGGGATTGACGAACACATATGAAGTTTTTGTCAATCTGAAGAAGAAAAGACCGAACACATTTTATGGCAGTGCGATAGCCTGGCAAAATATGCGGTCCTTTATATTAGGCAATGATAAACCATAGGCAAAGAATGTTCTGTTCAGTCTCCAAGTTGTTAGATTTTTGAAAATGATACGACTTGAGAATGTAATCCTAGAGATCAGAAGAGAACCACAAAATATAAATTTATTTGTACTTACATTCGATGCAAAATCTCCTCCTTAAAGAATCTAGGGAGGTTCTGGTAACTTTAACCAATACGTCAATGACCTTTCTGGTGTAGTACCGTCTCATTTCGCTCACAGCACCTTTAACAACGTCTTGCATTGCTTTGCTCATGCCACCGCTGAAGAGTAAATGGGGTTTTTCAAAACATTCCCATACCAGCGACCAATCAGATTGCTGCTGAGGTGCTGCAATATCAGGCGGTTTTTCCTCTTCTAAAGAAATTTAAATAATAACTATTAATTTAAGTTAACCCCAGTTTAATAACTGAACTATACTTGTGAACTATAACTATACAATCGTAAACAAATTCTGTATTTCTAGATAATAGACCTCAGTCATATGTAAAACTTTGTATTAAAACATTTTATCCAAAAACATTTATATAAATTTAAAAAATGAGAATCGTTTTTATTTTTATTAAAACTAATACCAAAAAATAAATTAAGATAATTTATTAAAAATATTTTCACCCATTCATTTTGTTTTTGTTGAGTTTTAAATGCGTTCAAAATCTGTTTTAAATAATATATCTAATAAAAATGCATTAATAATTCAAAACCATGTAACCAAACTATCTTCGATTTTATAAACTTGTATTTTAAAAAAGATAAATCTATCTAATATAAAGCAAGTCCAAAAAATTGATACAAAGAAATCAGATTTAATTTAATTTTGATTTGGTTTGGTTTAAACTTACCTTCGAATACGAAATCATCCCCTTTTTCAGTAGACTCTGCATTATCAATTTTAGCTCTTTTTACCAGAGACAAAATTTCTTCTACTGCTTCTTCAATCATCATCGATTTTTTGTGCAATTCCGATGCTGCATAGCAACAAATGTCATCTGTCTTATCATTAAACGTATCTAAAATAAATAGCAATTTAAACATGCATACAACGTAAATACAAAATGATCGAAAAAAACGGCGTCAGCGATGGCTATGAAATGAAGATTGCGCTGGTATTTTATATTTAACAGTGCTTTCGGATGGAGTGGACCGTTCGCGACGGAGCGTCCGTCGTGTTCTTTGAAGATAGCCGTCGTACGAACTCCTTCGGACGGTCCGCTCCATCTAAAAGCGCTGTAAAATTATATGGGAAATGTCATTGATCGTCATTTCCAAGCCTTATGTCACCTAAAATTATAAATACTATTTGAGTTATAATGTATGCTATGTGTTGTTAAATAAGATATAGACAAAAACATTTATTTTATTTTAATAATCATATCAAACTCCTTTTGAAAATTTCCACAATTCGTTAGTCTATGATTGTTGGTTCCTTTTAATTTTGTTTTTAGTTAATTTCTTTTAACAAAAGTGCTTTATTTACGTTGTTTTTAATATCTTCATCATGATCATTTAATATCTTCATCAAATGATCTTTTTGATAATAGAACCATGCGCAAAAAGTGATACTTTTACTGACATTTGTATATACAACATGTTTTCAGTTTATTTATAGTATTGACATAGAGAAAATAAAACTATGACATAGAGAAAATAAAACTACTATGTATTTTAGAATCGAAATTGAAAGTAAAATAACTTACCTAAATCCCAAGGAGATTCGCCTTCTTCTGGCAAAGCGTGTAGCTGAATTGCTTGCATACTGGTTAAAACTTCCAGAACTCTATTTATGTATATGTCATGAATTCTGTCAGTCTACAACACAAGCATCACGGGGGTGTCACTTGTATGGGAAAACAGGCAACAGTCAAATTTAAACGTGCCAGGATAAACGACAAAGAAAACAACATCTGCCAGGCAAGTGCCATGCATTGGCTTTCTTTGTCACTCACATTGCTTAAATCATGATACCGCAGCCATTTTGCCAACAAAGAAGCTGGCCGGGCTGTCCTGGCAAGTGATTTAAAACAATTTTGCTTTTTTACAATATTAAATTACCATTTGGATGTATTTAATGCAATTATTCAGTTAACTGGTAAGTCAGAAATTACACACAAATACTTTATTCGTAAATACAACTAAGATGTAAACGTATTTTTGTATTTTTCAGATTTCAACTTTTGCAAAGACCCGCCGATAGAACTTGCCTGGCAGCGTACCTGTTTAACTAAACGTATTATTTCCTGATAATAATATCAAAACACGTAAGTACCTCTATAATTTATGATGAAAAATGATTTTGATTATGTTTTAAGTTATTTAAATACTTTCTAACCTCAAATAATAGTAAGATCCTTGTTTATATCGCACAGCCCGTTCAAAACTGTATTGTCTTCAAAAAATGTTTACAAAACAAACAATTATTACAAAATCAATGTCCTTTTAATCTGATTTATACCTTAGAAGGATGCCAGTAAAATTTTATTAAATCAACATTATATTATTTGGCCATTAATATGCAAAAAGGAGCATTTGCCTTAACTTAAATTTTCTTTTATTTCTCTTGTGACAATGTTCTCTATATTCTCTATTTTGAGTTAGTAAACTTTTGAACGGGATGTGCGATATATAAAATACAAAAATACATAATATATCCATTTTTTGGTTGTTTATGCACATTGGCTTGGTTTATGTTTTATCCAGCTTATATTTATTTGGTATAATAGTTTTTTTGCTTTGGAATGGCATGCATTGAGGCTAGATAGTGTTTCATTAGATCATTAAAGGAATTTAAATTAGCACATATTTTTTGTGATATTAGTGTGTTATTATGATACAACTGCTAGGTAGTTGTATCATAGTGCCTTATGCATCTTATTTACCTATTATATACTTATGTATTATCAGTAAATAGATGATAACATACTACTAAAATGTATTTTTAATAGTATGTTTATCTTTCCAATTCCCTAGTTATTTGCAAAATGTATTTTGAACTAATTTAAGTCATTAATTGATCATCTTTCTTTTTCAGGTTCCCGGATATTCTTTTTCATTGTTAAAAAAATATATATATTTCAATATTATTGTAATATAAATATTATTATTATTGCAGCTCTAAAAAATAAATGATATTGTTTATTGAATGTGTAATTTATTTACTATGAATTTTCTCTGAAAATAATAAGTCTTTAATAATATCATTGATTTGCTGTATAAAGTTAATAGACATATTTTTTAATACTTTAAATTATATTAAAGTAATAAAAAATATGTTTATTAACTTTAAACAGTAAATCAGTGATACTTATAAAAATATTTTTTTTTAAATTTCCCCTCTTTTAAGCCCCGCCCCTCCAATTCCCCTCAATTTAGCTAGTACTGCCAGGCTATACCAGGTGGCGTCTGTTTCCATTTTTTAACATGAAGTTAGCATTTCTTTAATGTTGCTATTCTCTGACAAGCATGTATGTTATATTCTATTTAGAATATTCTGAATTTTAAATTATTTATAGATTGCAAATCTTACCAATACTTTAAAGTTATGAACCGACTCGTTAGCTGAATTCACGTACTCTTGCCAGTCTTCAGACACCCAATCCAACTGTGTTAGCCCTGGTTCTATTTTAGAGCATAACTTGATCAGATGAGGTAAAAACAAAGGTCTTACTTCAAGTTTAACATTCTTGACTACTTTTAGAAAATCGTTGATAAGAAACTGTAAACGAAAATATAAAAAATACTGTGAACAGGTTTGTTTAGATTAGCAAAATATAACACTAATACAACAAAATACTTCATTTTTAAAACTAGACACGCATTTTGCTGCAATACTAGCAACAAATCCGAGTTATGCAACCATGTTATCATCAGCAGATGATTAAAACTGAAAAGTCGCGTCTAGTGTTAGAAGTAAAGTGTTTCGGGTGTATTGTGGTAAACTAGTGCTTTATTTTGTATTTCCAAAGGTAAACCCACTGTATTGTTTAAAGTAGGTAAATACTGACATATAATGATTATTAAAACTTAGAAGAAAATTCTTGGGGATAGCGGTCTGAAAGCAAAAGTTAAACAACGTTTTACATACGCCAAGCTTTCGAAAATTTTATTTCCTTTTTCAAGATATTATAATGATTTGGTTTGGTTTGGTTTGATAATAATACATATTAGATGTTATTGTTAGTTTGCCTTTAATATGTTTGAAGATATTTGTGAAAACTAAATTGCCTTGATGTAATTTTTCTACATTTTCAATTTTACAAACATTGAAAGCTTGACACAACTTTTTTAATCACAATAAATTATATCGTCTCTACTTACTATTGGATTTAATGGTTATTGTTATATTTTTATATCTACCTGTAATGAATCTTGTACAAGACTGAAATGATCTTGTTTAGCGTACAGTGTAAGCGCAACCATAGGCACAGGCAGATCCATTTTAATCATCAAGTCAGCTTCTCTAATAAGAAGTGGAATAGTTGTATGTAAATTGACTTTTAATTTTTGTTTCTCGGGGCAAACCGCTAGAAGATGTTTGGTTAAACAGCGATCGGCGTCTGATACCTACAATATATTTTTTTTATTTTTAAATAAAATTTTAAACGACTGCATTTGTCTACGTGTTGGTTCATCCATAGAGCCACCATATCAGTTTCGTATATTTTCAACATATTTTCAGCTGACCTATGTCTTTTTGATAGTTCAACGGTAGCAGGTAAGTTTTTCATTACGTGGTGAGTGGTGACGTTAGATAGTAACTCATCTAAATGTGAAGATAAGCATCTAGCCCATTTTATTCTCCCTGGAAAATTAGTTTTATTTTACAAAATTAATTTAATTAGTTTTTAGAAAAATTTGCTTTATTTCAACAGAACTATAAACTAATAAAATAAAACACTAAGAGAAACAATACAGCAGAATTTTGTAAAACAAGTGATAGCTAAATTAGATCAAATAAAAAATCGGAAGAATTTTGGACAACTTAATTATATTTTATAATTATACAATTAAGGCTTGGTAAAACCGTTATTTTTAAATATCAGTTGAACTGTTATGCATTTATATAAGCACCTGGAAAGTATACATATACCGGGTGCGTCTCAAAGGTGGCTCACCCCTATAACTTTTTTATTTTTTCAGATAAAACAACGATATTTGGTATATTAGTATATGACATAAATTGGGATTGATTGACGTATTTAATTGTTATCGGTCACTTTCGGTTTCACCGGAAATTACTACAACTTCTGATTTTTAAATGGCATCCTCGGTATTTTTTTTACTTTATTTGATAGAAAATGACACTCTGAATCGAATCACATATCATATGTCAGCTTTTCACATTTTGGCATATTGTTTATTTGAAATTGTAACATGCGGTTCATAACGACAATTTGACTCAAAATACCAAGGGTGTAGTATCAAATTGTTCGTAAAAAAATGCTTTTTCCAAATATGCTAATGAGTCACCCTCGTTCCATTTGAAAAAATTGAGATATGATTAAAAATACGATTTGGGCATCTTTTAACCGGCCAGGACAAGACACTAAAAACATTAGACGATCAAATCTATTTTTCCAAGGCTTCTTGATTAAAAATTAGTGTTTTTAACACAGCCATGGCACTCTAGATTGAAATTTAAAATAGAATTTGTTTTTGAGTGACTATGTCAAAAATTGACATATCATATGTTATTCGATTCAGAGTGTCATTTTCTATCGAAAAAAGTAAGTAAAAAAATATCGAGGGTGCCATTTAAAAATCAAAAATTGTAGTCGAAAACAATTGAATACGTCAATCAATCCCAATTTATGTCATATACTAACATACCAAATCTCGTTTTATCTGAAAAAATAAAAAAGTTATAGGGGTGAGCCACTTTTGAGACGCACCCGGTATATATTTTTCTTTGATGGATTCCTAAGTTACAATTTCTTGATATCGTTATTGCTGATAAGTGGGTATATTTGATTTTTGAAGAACTTCAAAAATCATCAAGAGCAATGAAAGTACATATATAAAAATAGTAACAAAAATAACCAAATATTACTGCACAATAAAATCTTTAGAATGTAAATAAATATTTAACATTAAGTTATCCAAAAGTAACTAACTCATGACAACAAATGTCTGAAAACAATTATTCTAATGCCAGAAACTTGATTAAGGCAATTCTCTCTAGTTCAGTTATTAATAATAATTATTATTTCCATTGACATTTTTATATTCAATGTTTTTGCTACAGCTGTTAACATTTTTTCTTACCATGGAGTATTATTGATGCTGAAAATACAGAGAAATCCAACAAAAATATATATATAATACCTACCTGCGAAAAGACAAATTCGGGTAATTTGAGCTTATTTTTCCACACATTTGACACTGTCCTACAATATTAAAAATTTGCAGATTCAAAAGTACGTTAAACAAAAACAAAAGCTACTGAAAACCACTGAAAAGTTCACTTCGGCCTTGATTCCGACTTCAAACACACCGTAAGCTAAACGTAGTACGCTATAACGGACCAAGGGCTGTCGCGAGGGGTGGTGGGACGGACGGCTCATTTCATTCAGGAAGACTAGCAGCGATGTTGTCAATAGTTCTAGACGTTTCAGCACATTAAACAGTAAACATGTCCTTTAATAGTAACGCATATATCCTCTGGTTAATAACCCCCATATTATTACGCATGCTTCTTTAAAAATAAACTATTAATTTAATTAAGAAATTGAGATTTATTGATATCCGGTGAAGGTTTTAAAGTCACCTTTTCTGCAAATCAAACTAAGTAGATAGGCGCAAATTTGAGATGTGGCAATGTCGCCTTCTCTATCTCAGTTGGTTTTTACAGTACGTAGTCAACCTCCGATTGTTTGATCGGGTTAAAATGCACAATGTGATATCTGTTCTTACTAAATCTATGCAAACGACCGACTTAGCTATTGCGAACCACACTTCCCCTCCCGAAAGTAGCATAATTCGCTATTACATACCAAACATTAAAAGAAACTGTTACTTTTCATCTCTACTATATCGGTTGTTGCGCGGTGATGACTGAGCCTACAGCTTATTTATGGCAGTTATTTTAGAACCTGTTTCTAGCCTAAAGCTACCACAAAACCGCAATAGAGCGACACAACCAAAAAAAACTGTTAATTCCTGGCTGCTATATCTCCACCGTCGAGCATTTTCGTTACAGGTAACTTATTTTTTCATTTAGGTTATTTCTTTAAACTTTTGTGCGCCGAAAGTGCACCGAATACATATCACGACCCATTGATCTCTAGTGCTGTTACTTTATACCTGTTATTTTTTTGAAGTAATAACTGTTGTGCCATTATGTTATTTCTAAATAACTATTGTAAAATAACAGATAGTTAAATAACGACTCATCTTTTTATACAATACTCTACCTGCTATAGGTGGAAACATTCTAGGCACAGGAGGATCGTCCCTCTGCTTCTTATACATTTTAATAATCCTATCAACTTCTTTTTCACAATACTTCAATATACGATCGTATTTTTCTTCTAGTTTCGCCAAAGGAATTTTTTCACTGACTTTTTCGAAACGTGTTAAGAATCTTATACCTTGGGGCGTTTCCCATACGCTGTCAAAGTTTATTTCGATTATTTCTGCAATTTTATCTTTCAGTTGATCAGTGTTGGACAAGAAATTGTCGAAATCTTTTTCGAATTCCATGTTGCGCTGGTCCAGATAATCGTATTGTTTATTCATAACAATAGATTTAATTTCTGTAAATTTCTGGATAGATTCTTCAAGAGCTGAAAAATGCAATCAAACCAATAAAAATATTCATTAAAATATTTTTATTGAAATATATACTTTTACTTATATAAAATTGCACATATAGGGATCTCGTAAACTAGAAAAGATACAAAGATGATTGAACTAAAAAAAGTTGCGCTTTGCTAAATACCACATATTATCGTGTATTGAAATCTAAAAAAATGATTACTTTCGGAGATATTTAGGAATAATCGAATTCTTCCGATTTTATTTTCATTTCTTCTGACTATACAGGATGTTTAAAAACATAACATGTGTTATCTCTAGTGAGAAGATGAAAATAAGGCGTAAAAATAAGATTTATTTTTTATATCAACATAGGACCGATTCTGCTTTTATTCGGGTTTAGTTACTTAAAGTTCTCTTCTTTTTCGATTCATTATATTTCCCTCTGCCCTTGGCGATTCGTAAGAAATGTTGAGGGTAAAAGTTATTATAAGTACCGCATATTTGCTAAAAAAGTGTCGCCAGATTTGCCAGGGATGTGTATATGGGTTCGTATTCGTATTCAATAATATGTATTTTGAAACTAAACCCATGTGTCTAAAACAACTCTTAACATACCATCGCCAAGCAGTAATCCTTCCATTCTTCGTTGAAACAACCCAGTATAGTCATCAATCAAATCAAACATCGAAATTATTTTTGATAATCTCTTACAGAAAGAGTCGAATTTTCCAAATATGTAATTTTCCGAAAAGTTAAACGGCCGATTTAAAGGCAAGGTGACTTGGTTTTTCACCACTAGATATGTTTTTCGATAAACTTTGTTTAAAACGATACAGTGGGTGAGTTTCTCTTTCATAAGGACCCTGTCTTGGGACCAAATCGTTTCTTGGCCTCGACAAGTAACGTATCCTTTGCAAGTTTCAATCATTTGGTTGGTTATCTATAAGTAGAAAGAAATACACAAATTATATATCTTAGGATTTTTTATTATTTGAAAATTTTTCAGCATTTCGTTATTTGTGTTTAAATTTTATTAAATATTTTATATTTATTGTGATTTTACAACAACCATGTCAAAATCATATATTTTTAAAGACCGAAAACTATAAAAGAATTATGTTTGATCTGATAAATTTTTGTAACAACGGGATGATATTTAATATTGTATAGTTATTTGTTGTTCTTTAGTAGGTATAGTAGGTAGCTCGATTTTGAATTCTGAAATTCTATTTTTTAACAACAATAGTTAATTTTAAGATTAAATAAACAATTATCGCTTGCAGTATTTTAAAATATTGCAAATGATTATAGATACTACCTAGATAAATATGTTTATAACATATTGTATATATTTTAGCTTAAAATTAGCAAAGATTAACAAATCTCAATTCTATTTGACAATATTTTTATTGTCTGTAGCGCAAATTAGAAATGTTTAGGAAAAATATATATAAATTAAACGGTGCATAATATATTGTGTCAGGATACGCACATTTTTGTTTAAAGAATATTATATTGCGTTATTTCTAATAATTATTTATTATAAAATTTTTTTTATTTATTATTTTGTTTGCCAAAATGAAAATGAAAATTATTTTTCACTATAAATTTTGAGTAAAAAAGTTTTTTTTAGAATACGTCCAAAAGCATTCTTTATTATAAATAATCCTTTAATTGAAGTATAGTTCTATTGTCAATAATATTTTTTGTCACAAATATCTTAGTCTCAGATTTAATATAAAAATATAATAAGTTGTTATCAAAATCATAAAAAATATTAAATTAAGCGTAAGATTAAAAAACAGTCAAATATTTATTTACAAAGACGCATACATATAGTATTTTTAATACCTATTTAGAGGTACCAGCCGTTTTAGTAACTTAACGTATGCGGCTTCTTGCACCATCTAAACCCGCATGAAAAAAATTAGGTTATGACCTTTGTCATGTCAAATGCTTGACATATTTCTTATTGCATTGGCGGAGTGACTTGAAATTTCATATTATCAGTGGCGGTTTATAATAATAAAAATTAATTTTATGAAATTCTAAAGATGTTGACGTAATAAAAAAAATATAAAAGAAGCGCACTAATTTTAAAAATATTGTTTTAGTAACTAGATACCGAGTTTTCTTAAAAAAATACCTATATTATTTAAGATCTCGATTTAAGGCTTATACCAAAGAATATCTTAACTTATACTTATGCTTAATGTAGTAAACTATATTCAAAACGATTTAGGATCTCGATTTAAGGCAATTCAAAAGCGTCTGATGCACTAAAAGTATAATAAATAATATAACAAGAAGTCGAGCAAGCAGTAATAATATTTATTTAAGGGCTCGTTTAAGTACAAATTCTACAGAAAAACAGGTTTAAAGAGCTTTTCGCTTTTAGCAGCATGGTATTTGTTCAAAAATAATATTCTTTTTAATCTGATTCCAGGCATTTCCAATAACTGTTTTCTTCCATCCCGTTTTTTGAAATGAAAACCCATTTTTTTAATTCCCAAATATAACGAACTTTTGGAAATCTTAGTTTCTGGAGACTCTTCGATAAATTGCCGGAAAATAGTTTCTGTGATTTTATCCTTTCGCGCATACATTTTGTAAATTACTTCCCTCAAACAATGTAGGGTATTCTTTGTAATTCGGATTTTGCTCCGGGAAACGCTTGCAGACATTTTTCTTTCTAAATTCGAAATCTGTAGCTCTGTTTGGTTTTTCAAAGATTATATAATGTGCATTCTGGAACTTTTAGTGCTTCGGACGCTTTTTGAATTGCCTCAAATCGAGATCCTAAATCGTTTTGAAAATAGTTTACTACATTAAGCATAAGTTTTTTGGATTCATCAGAATATCGCATTTTTATATCTTATTTTGCGTTATGACATTAACATGAAATGTAACTTCAAAAACGTGACATCTAACAAATTATTAATAATCGACGTTCATTTTTGTTGGTAATTTTTTGTTTCAACTGATTTATTAATAATAAATAAGGATGGTGTTATTCTAAATGGGTATTAAAAATACTATAAATATCAATTTTTGTTTTTATTTTTTTATAAACAGCAAATTTATCTTACCTTTACCATTAAAGCAGAACATCTCTCAGAAGTATTATAGAACTGTGACACATTAAATATCAACTTTACCGTTTGTAGCAAACCTGTGATACAATCTTTCATTTTAACCTGTAATAAAGACATTATGACATATTGTCCTAATTTTGTTTTAGAGATTGGAAAAAACGATTTTAACTCTTACCGGATCATCTAGATACAAAGAATGACACTTAGTCTCCAACGCTTGAATAAATTTTGCGTTATCCTTGGCTTCGTTGTAACAAAACGAAATCTTTTTGTCTGTTTCATTCCAGTCCTTTAGAATTTTGGACCGGGCCAATTTTAAACAGAAAACCGTCATTTGAACTTCTTTTGAGTTAACTTGACTGACTATCTGTGAGAACCGAGCTCCCCTTTTCTTCCAGTACTCCAATTCATCTTGAGGTCCTTGAAAGATGATAATAAAAATTCAGCTTTGTATTGTATACAATGGACAGTTTGCATGAATTTTTAATTTCCTTGAAACATCATCTTCCTATTTCTATCAAATGTTTGAAAGTCTTTAGCCAAAATATTTATTCAAAATTACTTAAAATATACTAGATAAAGCTTTATTCAAAACCTTAAAATTAGTGGAATAAATTAGTGGTTTTAATTAGCGTAGAAGTTTGTTCCTCTAATATTAATGTAAGCATTCACAACGTCTAAATTAGTGGTAGTAATCTTCAATTAGTGGAAAATGTTAACAAACTTTTAACTTTTCTACTAAGCTTGATTTTCATGCATCCGTTGTCCGACGATACGTTGATACGATATTAATTTTATTGGTAGAATTTAAAGACGTTGATTGGTTAAAAAATAACGCAGTTTTTAAATCTATTGCATTTTCATGCCTCCGTTTATCGGATATACGTTGGTGTTATTTTATATTTTCGTTTCCATAACGATTTTGTTATTTTACTGATACTTTTATTAAGGTTAGATTAAATTTGTCAAAAAAGTGTCAAAACGTCCGTTATCGTATGAACGGGTCCATTGACGGGCTGAAGTAAAATATTTACGGATGAAAAGTGGCACGAAAACGCTATGACCAATCAGAGCACCGTCGGACCAACGTATAACAAGAGTATAACGGATGCATGAAAATCAAGCTTTACACTTCAAAATTTGCAAGGAATGTCATTTTGGCCTTTTATTATCAACCGTCAAGAGAAATTGTGGTTAGAAATGAAAAGTTTATTGTTTTATAAGCTAAATATTAGGCTTTCTCTGTGGATACAACTGACATGAGCAAGCTGTTGCTGGGATATTCTATTAATTTTAATTGTGTTTTTAAAGACATTGTTGTATATGGACATTGAATGATTCTAAAATAAAAAGTATAATGTGTAATTGAAACCACTAATTTATTCCAGTATTGCGAGGTTCTGAATGAAGCTTAACTGACTAGTTTAATCGTCCGGACACGCCCATTTAATCACGTGACTGAAAACGGGGCGTTCCGAGCTGTGACGTCACTCCGCGGACGCGCTTTCTCATTTAGATGACTAGTGAGTGAATTTGTATTGAATATTTTATTTGTTTTTCTTGTTATTTTGTGTTAGGGATTAAAAGAGTTAGAACAATATGGAACCAGGGTTTTTACAAGCACAGTTTAAATTAATAAAAATTTACCAGAAGAATCGTTCTCGCGTCTAATCTGTTCGCTTTCCTTAAGAATTTCATCCAGCTTTTTACACCAACTTTTCACTCTTTCCTCGCAATGCTGTACTTTTTCCGGAAATTTTGACATTTCTTTAACTTCTTCATGTGTTACTTTCTTCATCATCGTCTCGCCATCGTCGAATAAATTAATTTCTGTAGCTACTTCTTCACAAACTTTAACGAGAGATATTTATATTGAGATAATTATATCACAATTCATTTGTAATCTAAAATTTTGAAATTTGAGACCAATCTACTGTCTAAAATATTGAGACGAGTCATTACGACAATATTTTGACAATTATAGATCTATAGTCAGTAGTAAATAAGCATTTTTTACCTTTCAAAACACTGCAGAATGATCTCAGACTTGGTAACAGCTGGTTTTTGACCATGGGACAGTTAGCTGCATCATCTTCGCAATCCAAACTCGGATGGGCTAGTGCCTCCATAAAAACATGTTCTATTACTCTTTCGATGGTAGTTACTAAACCTATCCTTTCAGCATCAATAACTCCGCAAAAAAGATCCTGTAAATAAACAAATATTCGATAAATAAGGAATGGAATAATACAACAAATGTAATTACAAACTTACTAACGGAAATATGTAATAAATATATCGATTAATTGAAAAAAAATACTGTTTTTTTAAGAATAAATTTTACTAAATTCCAAAACCTCTAACGAGGGTTAGGGGACTCAAAACCTCACAATCTTTTCAAATATTTATTTCAAAAAAAAAAATTGTTTAAAAATGGGGCAACACGTTTCAATCAGTTACTTTCCATCATTCAAAAAGACAGGCCCAAAAAGACAAAAGTCATGCCTGACTTTTTGGGTACACATCAAGATGTGGAAAAAAAATTGGCGCCGGGAGGCACGTATAGCCATATAAAAAGCCCATACTAAAATATGTTAATAAAAATTTGGTAGGCAGTTCTTTTAGTTTCAAAGTAAAGGCATTTTTCCAATTTTTTTTATCTCAAAAACTGCGACTTTGACTGTTTTGATATTATTACAAATTTTGTTGCAAATATTATTCCTAATCTTAAATTGAAAACCGCGTTTCGCTAGCTACTGTAATTTTGGAGTTACGATTTTTTAAAAATTTTAACCCCCTACCATACCCCCTTACCAACCCCCTACCCCCACCAAAAACTAATGGCCAGATTCTCGGGTGCCACAGTATTTTTGGGCCAAATTTGGTTAAAAAGGGTTTAGCGGTTTTTGAGTTATCGTGTTACAGACGGACAGACAGACAGGTACCATGAAAATATTTTGTATTTATGTCATTTATGACCCAAATAACTGATTTTGAGTGAAATTTAAAAAAAAAATCTTTTTGCCGATCTTAATAGCCTACCATACTTGTTAGTATGGTCGGCTAAAAATTTGCCTCATCTACAAAAGAAAATGTTTCTGGTTGCCATGGTAGTAAGTCAAAATAAAGGCATCTTATTGATTTTAATGATGCTTTGAATTCTGATAAATCATTTAGTCAGGTGCCTATTTTCTCTTACCTTTTGAAACCCCTCTTCGGGCAGCTGCTTGCTACTGTTCGTTCGAAAGATATAAATACAGACACCTGTGAGTCCCACCTCCCAACCGTCAGTCAGAAACAGCCGTTTCTTGTAGATGGGTGTGATGCTAGGATTCAGATTGGCTCTGCTGGTACTGGCTTGGAGCTGTCGACTGATGCTGGGTTTGCTGGGCTCCGCAGCGGCCATGGCTTCGGTGTCCAGCATGTCCTGGTAGAACCACATCAGCTTGGTCTTCATGTGGGGCAGGAAGAGTTGATTGATTTCGTCTAGCTAAATATTTAAACTATTTATTAGCGAATATTATTAATAAATATGACATTATGATAATAAAAAAAATAATATAATAAAAAACTTGTAAGTGTTTTTAAAACTAAATAACGGTAATATCCTCTAAAATTTAAACATTTTTACCTATAACATGTTTGCTAAAGCTTATAGGTTAAGCTTTACGGTAGTAAGCTAAAACCTATAATTTTTAGTAAGGCAGGGCGCCCACCGAAGTAACGTGTTTTACAACATGGCGTATGATCTAGCAAGTGGCATGCATCTGACGTGCTACATCAAACTGAACCAACGTAAACAAATTACAAGAACACACCAAAGTGACAAAGCGAGCAACGCGCATGTCGTGACACGTGGCATGTCATGCGACTGCATTTGATCGTTCAACTTTGTGGCAAGTGAAAAAATGCGTAAACATCTAGAAATAATAAGAAAATACAGCAAATTGGTCGAATGAATTTATCCTTATCATTTACTCTGATAAATGTTTAAATAAACTTTTCAAATTTCAATCCTTCATATTTTCTCAATGACTCGACCGATTTTCAAAAACGAAGCGGGGAAATATAGAGAATAGAAAGCTCTTTTTATTGCGGCGCCACTTGGCCCCCTTCCCATTTAAAAAAAGTTGGGGGATGACACCCCCGCTTAGAGGGTTGAATATTATGCAATCATTTTTGGGGCAAAAGTTGTCCCCCTCACCAACAAAATTGACGTGTTTTTGGATTTTTTGAAAAAAAAATATCCTGGCCGTTATGTCTTGCGGAACGTTTTCGATGGGCCACCCTGTATATTCGTAGAAAGCAAAATTTTTTATATGTTATCATGATGGACTTTTTCTTGTAGAACATTTGGTTAATTTTAGTATTAATTTTAGTTCTGTAATTTCATAATACATTGATGAACATATAAGTATCTAATTTGGTCCCCAATTGTATCTCTAAAACATTAATTAACCATGGTAGAGATCAACTTCTAGGTTTAAACCCTCTCTGCTAGAGTAACTTCCAACAGATAATAACAATATGATTTTTCAATGATAGTAACATTCCAAAAACAATAAACAGTAATTTATATCGTCTGTCGATTAAGATAAAAGCATACTTTTAATGCTAAAATTCTTAAGCTTTATTGTCTTGTTCTAAAGCGAATAAAGATGAATGAAAAAACAAACTATCGAGAAAAATAGTTTTGCTAGAAACTGTTTAAAAAATCTTTAAAATCGGCCAAATAAAACAAAATACATTGAATTATAAATTACTTAAAAATTTTAAGGTGATCATTTCAAGGTGTCAATTTAATCGGACGGATCTCTTAAAACATTCCTAAAGAACGAAACAACAAGAGAATAAAAAATTCTAGTAAAAAAGCAAAATGAAAGAGTATGCAAAGTGGTTTATTTCTTACTATCCAACTATTAACCATTACAGAAAAACTAGTAGTATTACCATATCTCCTTCAAAAACGTGATCCATGATCTCGTGCCTAGGTAATCCGGTGGCATCCATGAGGATTTGGAAGGTGAACTCCAATCTAGGGTCCATCTCCCCTCTCCTCGCCTTTCGTTCGCATTCTTCCCTTCTTCGCTGTTAACAACATCATTTAGTTAAAATATTAAATTAACACAACAATTAAATATACTGCTTAAACAGCCTCATTCCATTTGAAAACATTGAGTTATGATTAAAATTACAATTCGCTCATCTTTTAATCGGCCTGGAAAAGATACGAAAAATATTAGAAAATCTAATTTATTTTTCCAAAGCTCTTTGATTAAAAATTAGTGGTTTTAACACAGCCATGGCACTCCAGATTGAAATTTAAAATACTATTTTTTAACTGAAAATGTCAAAAGTTGACATATAAGATGTTATTCTATACAAAATATCATTTTGTATCAAATAAAGTAAAAAACTCTAAGAGTACCACTTAAAAATCAAAAGTAGTTATTTCCGCTAAAACAGGAAGTGACCGAAAATCGAATATGTCAATCAATTCCGATTTATGTCCTATACTAACACACCAAATATCGTTTTTATCTCAAAAATTAAAAGTTATAGGGGTGAGCCAGTATGAGAGCCAGGGATTTTCAAATTTGACTTTCAACATTGAGATCTCGGAAACGAAAAGAGATACAGGGTGGTTCAAACAAATTAGCCTGTCGATAAGATCAACGATAATCAGTCAAGTAGTTCACCTTGCCTTTGTCATTTACAAATATGCTAGAAGAACCGAAATTTCCGGTTTTTAAAACTTAATATGGCAAAAAATGTTACCAACTAGATCAAATCATCCACTGAAATATGAAGTAAACGTGATATTTATATTTATACAGTGTAGCATTTTTTATTTCCTTTAATAAAATTGAATTTAAAAATCTATTTTTATTTAAATTTCTTAGTATTGGCGCCATCTATTTGCTAGATGCCAAAGATACCAAACTCCATTTGTTACAGCTCACTTGTTTCGATATTTAATTTTTATTAGCGCATCTATTCGCTAGACGTCAAACTTCATTTCGTACAGTTTACTTGTCTTGTTTATTAGCGCCATCTATTCGCTATATGCCAAACTTCCTTAATTGCATTTCACTTGTCTGAATCTCACTTCGCTGTGGATTGCGATTTTCTGTTCTAATGATTTCGATCATATGATATCACTTTTTTCTCTCTCTTTTTCTTTCTTTCTGGGAATTTGGATCTGAAAAAGACGCGTGTGTCGGCGTCCGACAAATTTTCCAGTGAAAAGCACTCTGAATCCACTTTTCGATTTCGATTGCATGGGTATCCGATTTGGAGATTTGAAAACCTTGTAAAGTATGCAATTCAGAGTATAGATCGTATTTGTTTGGTTTCTTCTTGGAATGATCACCGTAAGTTTATCCGCCATTTTATATAGCCCTATCTAACTAAATTTTATTTCAGTTATTTCCGTTTGTTATTTCGTTTACTTGAGTATTTAATTACTGGTTTGGATCGGCATATGGTTTGAATATATTTATGTAAAGCTGATTTTCAGACCGTAAGTTGTTTTTTTTATTGAGTATCTGTCCTGAGAACTATTTTTTATTTATAGAGTAACTACCACATCGTACTCAGTAACTACCACATGGTACTCAGTAACTACCACAGTAACTACCACATGGTACTCAGTAACTACCACATGGTACTCAGTAACTATCACATGGTACTCAGTAACTACAACATGGTACTCAGTAATTACCACATGACCTTAAGACAGTGTTCCTGACATTACAATCGTTCTTTTGGCTGATATCGAAGACTTCTCCTGCCATAGTCATCTGCATCCACTTCTGTTAGTCTGGAGAATACCTAACTACCTGTTTACATCATAAGAAACTATATACAGATAAGTCTCTCTTAAGTTTGATACACAAGGTACGCTTTTATTTTATAATTTTTGAGACAACAGATTTAATAACCTGGTAAATTATCACTATTTATCCCACATATTGTTGTCAAAATTATTTTTTATTTAACATTATAAGTTATAATTTGATTCGTACAGTAGACTCTTACTTAGCTATGATATTTTATATGAAAATTATTAACACGTATCCATTTTAAAGGTTTTTGTACACGACATGTTTCGAAACATCATCGTATTGAGACATACATAAATTTCACCTGTTTTTATATTAAGTAGCTTACTTAGTTCAAAGAATACAGTTACTAAATTCGAATCTATTTAAAATAACTTGCGGTTTTATTGGGATCACTGTGACTAATTGATGATACTTGTGTTCGTTTTCAATAAATGTTTAATGTAGGATAGTTATTTCTGACTTTTATTCCTGATAAACATAATAGACCCTTACAGCTGTTGATTACTTTATTTTAGCTATGTTATGATATCGTATTTTTCTTTTTGGTTTCTTACTTTACCACTCTCATAAACAAAGTAAGTGGCGCCTTTTTTCACTGTCTTTGACCATACCTATTTGAACTCTTAACATCAATATTTAAATCTCTGCAGCCTATATATTATCATTTTTTTATTTTAATATTTAACAACATTAGAAAGTCACTGTGAGTCAGAAGCCTTACCTACGAACCCAGCTTTCCTCTAACCCTGAGCAACGGATTTTTTTTTCATTCTATTTGAGTAACGACAGAAAAGTCGTCACAACAGACTGGACCACCGTAGTAGTAACATAGGCAGAACCGGACGAATTAGCGTATACCCGTCCGCCGGATAAAAAGCAGGCGAAAAAATGCGATAAAATAAAAATAGGTAGATATGTGATAAGACTGTTATAGAATTTGTATTTATTCGTGTTTTAATAGCCAAAACGAATACATAGATTCTCGCTACACCTCTCGTGTAAAATTTATTTTTTAAGTAAAATAATGGATGTTTACGAAGTTCGTGAGAAAATTCAAATTGTAAATTGTAAAATGGTATTTCGAAAATAGGTCTTATCGGGATATACAAACAATTTTTCCACAAACTTTTGTAAAAAGGCCAATTCCATCTTTACCTACTATATCAAGAGTTATTAATAATTTTGAAACACATGGGTGCGTGTCCGCACAAAAACACAAAATGCCTGATTAATGAAGAACAGGAGTTAAAGCAAGTGTTTGGGGTGGTTTTGTAGGGGAGCATATGATTGGTCCATTTTTTATAAAGGGTAATTTAACTGTTGCAAAGTATTTGGACTTGTTACAGCAGCAGATTGTCGCTAGAATTCGTGAGTTATTGGCAGAAAGATTCCACAATGTCTGTTTCAACAAGATGGTTGCCCTGCCCACAATACCCGTATTGTTCAAGAATATTTGAACAATACTTTCCCCAACCGTTTAATTAGTGAACATGGAACTATTTTGTGGCCCGCTAGATTACCAGATCTTTCTCCCAATGATTTCTTTTTGTAGGGTTATGTAAAATCCAAAGTGTATGGTCATAATAGAGCTAATAATCTGGATGAGCTTCAAGTAAAAATATGAGAGGCTTTCCAAACTATTAGCCCTAATATGTTAGCCAATGTCAAACGGGGATTTTACGACCGCCTAGGCTTCTGTTCAAAAAGACGGTGGTCTTTTTGAACACTTGTTATAATTTTTTTTTTATTTAGAGTTTAGTTTCTTTCGGGTTAAGAGAATTTATTTATTTTTAATTTTGGCTTGTAAACACACTCAAATAATAAATATTTAAGTATTTTTATTTTAAATGTTACCTTAAGTGAAGGTAAACACTTAAAATGAAAATAATAAATACTCGGCACTCCTCGCGTCGTATTCCTAGTCTGTCACGACCGACCCGTCCAAGTACAACTGCAACTGCGTACTGCCTGACCAGCCGACTAGCCGGCAGTGAATCTCTAGTATGAACGCAAATCGGGTAAACGTAAATTCGTCCGGCAACTTGCTATCTTACTAGTAGCCTGGTCTTCTCTGTATAAATATCGTGCCTCGTTGCATTGTTTGCTTCCTGGTTTTTTTTGTGTTTTGGGATCGGTTTCATCGCTTTCTAATGCCTTACCGTACTGATGAAGCCTGAAGGCAGTTACATCAGTATACACTAGTGTAGGTGTGGTTGTGTGAGTGTGCGTGTCTGCACTGGTGTATACGGTTACGAGTTGTTGAGGGCTGAGCCGTTTAATCTTTTTCTTCTTTTTTATATTTATATATTTAGACTCAAATAGTAGACCATTTGAAAATGATTCATTTTTGAGCAGTTTTTTTGTCGCTCTTTTGTGAGCAATCATTCTCTTTTTTATAAATTTAAGTAATTTGCACATAAATACAAAGAGTATATGAAAATTTTATATTCTCTAAAAAATATAGAAAGCGACAACTTTCAAATCTTTCAATTAGCAGTAAGTAGTTTAGGCTTTAGAATATTGTGGCGGATTTATAACAAGTTGTAATGATATCGTAGTTATACAGGGTGTTTCAAAAAACATGTGCCATCTCTCGTGGGGAGGTTCCTCACGTAAAAATAAGATTAATTTCTCATATCAACATAGGTCGGATTCCGCTTTGTTTCGTAGCTAGAGGGTGTTAAAGTCTTAATATTTTTTTGACTTATTATAATTTTTTTCAAGTTCTTTTAGCGTCTCGAATGAAATTTTGAGGGTAAAAGTTAATATAAATGCGACATATTTTAAAGGTAAAAAAGTGTCTACATATTTACGACGGACGTGCATATGGGTTATCAGTTATCACTGAAATATATTTAAAAAAAATTATGTATATTTTATACTTTCCTATAAACATAGGTATGGAGAGGCATAGTTTTAGAGTTACAGGATGTTATTTTTTTTTTAATTAGGTTTTTTGTAATTATTTTAAATACCATTATTTTTTATTTGAAATTGCTGTAGGTTGGACTAATAGTAATAATAACTAATACTAATAATATTTAATAATAAATTAGGTAAAATATATAATAATTTATTCATTTTATTTTTATTTTAATTTTATTATTTGAGATTAATAAAATTGCGTTTATCTCATCAAGGAACCCGAATTCAACAAAATATCAAGAGATAACTTTTAATTGGCATTAAACGGCCTACACAATTTTGATATCAAAAGAAAAAAGTCAGTGGCGCGCATGTTTTTTTTTTCATCACGTCTCTGATGAATTTATTCGACACTTTTTTAACATTAAAATATGTAGCACTTACAAAATGTAACTTTTACCCCCAAAATTTCATTCGAATCACTAAAAGTACTTGGAAGAAAATTATAATAAACCGAAAGATTATTAAGATTTTAACACCCTGTAACTACGAAACAAAGCAGAATCGGATCTATGTTGATATCAAAAATAAATCTTATTTTTACCTGAGGAATCTCCCAACGAGGGATGGCACATGTTTTTTGAAACACCCTGTATAAATTAAAGACTTATACCTATCCAGTCATAAAGTTCATTTGTCTCTAAATATAATTCTTTGTTTCAAATAATTTTATCAGCAAATCTTTATAATTTAGTTTATTTTTATAATTAAGAATATTTTTAGCAAAGCTTATGTTAAAGTTAGCTATTGTATTTTGGATTATTTACCAGTTATTGACGTTTGTTATTAAAACATGTTTTAAAATTATGAGATTGAGTTATTTGAAAATAAACAAGTAATATTACCATAAGCAAGTCATCTGAACTAGTTTCATCGGAATCCGCCGTTTCATCATCAGTCGATTGCTGAACTACTTTCAACGAATGGACAAACATTTTCTTCACCCTTCAACTACGCTGCCCTTATCCAGTTTGATTTATTTTATTTTGTAACATTTTCACTGCAAATTTTGCGGCTTCTTTAGTTTCACTTTCATTTTCGAAATGCGATCGTGCAGAACGTGCACCAAGGTATAACCCGATATGCGTTTTAAGACACTCTAAATGAGCTTAAAGTGTTCCTATTCGTTTTATATCGCCCTTTGGCCGTGCCAGGCCGTATCAATCTTCGGGCGAAAAAAAGGAAGAAAAAGAGCCGTTTTGCGTGTTGATGGTTTTCCATGTGTGTGATTTTTAAAAGTATCGGTGAAAAGTTTATAATCTTTAGTTTGGATCTAGTTTCTTAGGAACCACCGTGCCGTTTCTGTCCTTTGGAAATCGATAATAAGGTTTTTTCTAATTTTAGAAAAATATTTTTATAATTTTAAAATTTTAATTTTAATGCAATAGACACACTTTCTATATAATAAGTATTATACTGGGTGATGGCACCTTAAATGTTATTCATCGGTATCTCGGATAATGCGTAAGATACAAATTTTGATTTTTCTTTCCGAGGTTTTTGACAAAAAAATATTGAACAAAGATTGTTTTAAAGGCATTTCTGGAAGAAAGTTTTGGTTTTAAAAACAAATGAAATAAAAATACAAGACTAACTAGTGTAGACATTATTGAAAGTCAATTTACACACCTTAAAATGTTTTAGACCACGACCGTAAAAATACGGCTGTGTAAGTAACAGTTATTAAAGAAAGAAAACTTGTCAACTGCTTCTAGACATTCACTGTCTATGGCCAATAAGGATAATAGATTAACTAATTACTGTATATAGAAAACCATCGAAAACAATGCAGTATTTTAGCCTCTAACTTACCAATCTCCCACTTACCAACACGAGTTTAACCAAGGGTCATCAAGGTTAAATAGTGAAAGATTAGTTATGTAATGACATAGAAATCTTCTAATTCAGGACCACGCAGTGTTAAAAAATATTTGGCATCAAAGAAAATTGCAGAAGAAAGGCAAGTAAAAAGATGGTGCATTCCACTAAAACTTGGCCATCAAAATGTATAAAGACTGTTCAGCCATAGTTCACAGTTACGTCATCATTATTTGTCAAATATGAGGTTTAGGATGTGTCTGAAGTCAGTTCATATTGTTTATTTCGGCATTTATTCATTTTTTCTTGAACTCTTCATCAGTTACGATCCCTTTAATTCCAATCTTTTGGACTGTTGAAATTCTTATTTCTAAAGCATCAACAACTCGGTATATTATTTAAAAGCGCTATCAATTTGTGTTTTACATAGGAATATTACACATTTGCATTGTACTTACTTCATACACAGCGTCCACGGGCAAGAGTGTTCTACCAACGTCTCTTTGTCAAAAAAATAATTTATGTTTTCTTAGCAATGAGCTTTTGTTCGTTTTGATTATATCTTTGAGGCATTTTTGCAATAAAAAATTGAAATTTGTTTTACAGCAACAATTAGATTTTAATTTTGGCATTGATCGATGTCCGTCAATAAAATTATAACCTCAAATCAAATGACAATGACTGTTATACAAAAAAAATGCCGTAATGACGTCACTAATCACTTTTATCTGATTGGCAAGCGATTGAGAAAGTTTGACATTATATGACGTGACCAAGACCTGACTTTGAACGATGGCTGAACATTCTATACCATTCCTCGCTACACAGTCGAAAGAAAAGTCGCACACCACAGGTGTTATATATTTCAATATATACCTAATATAACGTATATGATAAATTTATAATTAAATATATTGTTATTATTAAGTTATAAACTAATCATATGTTATATTATTGGACATATACGGGGTAAGTCAAAATTATATCTTTTATTTTTTTAACTGCTTCAAATGACACACTCAGACTATTTTACCTACCTACATAATCAAGGGTGTTGGCAAGGGCGGGCAGCTACCACCCACCCCTTCTAAAGATTCAAAAATTGCTTCAAAAGCCAAGATTTCAAGAAATTTACAGAAAATCCACGAAGATTTTGTTACACTGAACTTACTTTACATATCTATCATATTTTTTTAATAGATACAATAATTTTGTTTAAAAATTTGATTTGCCATACTCCCAATTTATAGTTTCTTCACCCTCCAGTTGCATCAACTTAGCCCATTTAGGCTATTAACTGGCCTATGCCCTTGTATATAACATAGTTTTTTCAAATTTTATGTTTTGTTAAGTGATTTATACCGGGTGCATCTCAAAAGTGGCTCAGCCCCTATAACTTTTTTATTTTTTTAGATAAAACAACGAGATTTGGTATGTTAGTATATGACATAAATTAGGATTGATTGTCATATTCAGTTGCTTCCCGTAACTTCCGGTTTCACCGGAAATTTCTACAACTTTTGATTTTTAAATGTCATCCTTGGTATTTTTTTATTTTATTCGATAAAAAATGACACTCTGAATAGAATGACAACTTTTGACATTTTCGTATATGGTTTATTTGAAGTTGTAACATACGGTTCATAACGACAGTTTGACTCGAAATATCCAGTGTGGTATCAAATTATTCGTAAAAAATGCTTTTTCCAAATATGCTAATGAACCACCCTCGTTACATTTGAAAAAATTGAGATATGATTAAAAATACGATTTGGGAATCTTTTAACCGGCCAGGATAAGACACTAAAATCATTAGACGATCAAATCTATTTTTCCAAAGCTCCTTAATTAAAAATTAGTCTTTTTAACATATCCTTGATACTCTACTCTCTTCAAACGAAAATGTCAAAAGTTGACATATGGAATGTCATTCTATTCAGAGTATCATTTTCTATTGAATAGAAAGTAAAAAAATACTGACGGTGCCATTTAAAAATAAAAAGTTGTAGTCATTTCCGGTGAAACAGGAATTGACCGAAAACAATTGAATACGTCAGTCAATCGTAATTTATGTCATATACTAACATACCAAATCTCGTTTTTCTATCTGAAAAAATTAGAAAGTTATAGGGGTAAGCCACTTTTGAGATGCACCCGGTATAGGCACATAACCTCAATATTTATTCAATAATTTTCTAACTAATTATTATAGTTATGAGTTGAACCAACATAATACATCGAATGTATTGACACGTAGAAAATTAATCACTTATAAGAATCTAATAAATAGAATAGTTTATGATGGGTGAACAAATATCACACTTTTAATGAAGAATGCATAACTGATAAAAAAAATATTGATTTTTTTAAACAACCAAAAATATCACAATAAATATGGTTTTTAAATTATAAATAATTAATTTGGTATGTAATTATATAATTAACGATGTAACAACGGTAAAACTAACTTACCAAAGCCGACTCCTCGCTGAACGATCTACTTGGCATCGCCAATTTTCTTATCCCTTGCAACAAAATCAACTTATTGCAAGCCTTTTTATTATCCTGCTTATTCTTCTCCCCCCTCAGCCGCTCCGACACCCTTTTTTTCGCCCCGTCCATTATTCAAATCGGATATTCTAATCAGATCGACGCATATCCATATTTCATATCAACCCCAAACGCCAAAAAAAGAATCGGAATCGGCATAAAAAAGCGATATAGCATGTAGAGGCAGTTTAGAGGAAAACGATAACTGTACAAATGACACGGTGATTCTGGTGTCGCGAGCGGGGCTATAATATATTTGGCGTGAGGCGTGACTGTATATATATTGAATTTAATGACATCGATGTTTGATCGAAGCCGATGTCTTTGCCATCCTATTCGACGACGTCAAAGGACGACACGGACGGTTTTAGAATCTGGGTGGTTTTTTCCCTTTTCGTTCTGTTCGGTAAGATCTACTTTAGTCACGGAAACTTAAATTTTTCCAGGGTGGGATGTCGATATTGTGTTCCTGAGAACACGGTAGTTTTCACATAAGATTTATAGTTTTTAGTTTGAACAAACTAACCCACTTTTGAACTAATATTTAATTTTTTGTATCATATAATGAATAATCATCATTCGTAAATTTTGACCACGTGACCACTACACCAAAGGACCCAGTAGGTATTTTATTCCTTTAAGGAAAATGTGTTCTAAGTGACGTGGTTGTTACATACAATAAAACGCATATACGTAACTGTTCCCTAATATTCCCTAAATGTGACAAAAATTTGCTCAAGTATTAATTTATTACTGTTAAGCAAAATGGGACAATATAGCAAAACTTGATATTAAAAGAGTATCTTCTTCTTTTAGTGCAAATCCATTAATGGATCGCTTCTCTGTTCCTGGCAGTGTTTATTAGCGACTGTACATCGTGTAGACCTGTCCACTGTCTAACATTCCTCAGCCAAGACATTTTCTTCCTTCCGATACCCTTCCGGCCTTCGATCTTACCTTCGATTAACAGATGCAAGAATTGATATTTGGGGTCTCGCATTATGTGCCCCAGGTATGCGGTTTTTTCTTCTTAATCAATTCAAACAATTCGCGCTGTTTGTCAATACGTCTCACAACTTCTTCATTTTTTAACCTAGCCGTCGAAGGTATCTTCAGAATTCTGCGATATAGCCACATCTCGAAAGCCTCTAATTTATTAATGGCAGCTGCTTTTAATGTCCAACCTTTCATACCATAAAGAAGCATCGACAAATCTTAATCTGAGGTTAAGGTCAAAACCAGAACAGACAAGTACTTTTCGAAACCTCAAGAATGCCTCTCGAGCTTGTTCGATGCGACATTTAATTTCCTAGTCTGATGTCCAATCTTCGGAGGGCCATATACCCAAGTACTTAAATTTATCTACCCTTTCTATGGGATGTGTATTAAATGTTATAATGGAGTTTATAAACACATCTGGATTTCTGGATATTATCATAAATTAGGTTTTCTTGATGTTCGTGTTTAAACCCATTGCTTTCCTCTGTTCTCCTACCTTGTTGACCAGTTGTTGTAGATCATGTATATTATCTGCAATCAAGACCGTATCGTCGGCGTAGCGGACGTT